AGCGATAGGAAGCGGAAAAGTTTAGGGGTGCAATTTGAAATTTAGATCATAAAATCACCGCCCAGAGCGGAACAATATGTTCGCAGAGAATGTGATGGTAAAGAGATGATTTGACATCCCTCAGTCGCGAAGTAAACCTGCACCTAAATCTTCTTGTGCAATGCGGTTTTAATTAATTAATTATTAATGAAAACGTTATTTAGTGCACTACCCTCCGGTAATTATTTTCAGAAAGTTTAACAACAGTTACTACCTGCGTAGCTTCGGGAGATTTATGCGAATATTTTAAAACAACGTTAAAATTATAGTGCTTAAGAAAGTAATTGTTTATTATTAGCAAAATGTTGCGGATGGCTTGAATTTAAATTGGTAATTGCATTTGTAAAAAAAACAAAGAGAGTTTACTAAACATTCGATACTCGGTAAAGCAAAAGGGACATTAAATAAATAAATATTTAAATATTTTGAAGGAAAGTACGCGGAAAGTCCTTCGATGAAATAACACTTACACCCACCAGTGTTCATTAAAAGTTTTTCAAACTTTGAAACCTTTTGGCGCTATCATCAACCGGTTTGGTAATCAAAAAGTTAATTAGATGTTAAATACAGCGGAAAAATCACAAAGCGTTGGAAAGTTTTAATTTTAACCGCCTAAAATCGACGAAATTAAATCGGTGTAATAATTAAATGAATGAATTAAAATTTATATTTTTCTCTAAAAATAAAAATTTGTCAGTTCGGTCCTGATGCAAAGCAACTTCATATTTTAATTTTCTCCAGATTCCATAACCCAGCCAGCGACTCACACGTCACACTTCTTCCCGTCTAAAGACGAAAACACTAAAACTTTCCTGCGATCCCGAATTCTCCCTTCTGCCTTTCGAATATGGAAAATTTAAATTGAGACCTTCTTTTGTCGTTGCATTAAATTTAATAAACGGTTAGCTGAAGGAAAAAAGAAGGTTCGGAGAACAGAAACCAAGCCTTTAATATGATTTTGCTCGCCTAAAAAAAAAATCGAAAATTCGAATTTCTTAGCTACGAAAAGACGCAAAGGATCCTTTGAGAATTATTGTATTTTTCGATTCGTTCTCGCCGCTATTCCCGAATTATATCAGTATTTCAATATTCAAACTTGTCAGGGTTTATTTTGTTTTATGAAGAAAATATTATTGGGCAAATCAATGTGTTTTTTTGGAATATTTCGTAAAAGATTTCCCCTTTTTACAGGGTGTTCATATTTAACACTTAACCAATTTAAATATTTATCCAATATGGTTGTTTTGTAAACGTCAGATGGGAATTATAAATTAGTAGAGGAGCCGGAGTTGATTAAAATCCAATTCTTCCAATTAAAGTACACGCGTCGCGTGTTATTTTCTATCGAGAGATGATTGATTACCCGATAAAATCTAAAACTGTAAAAGCGGATGGAATTGTTGGCGAGCACAAAAATCAATCAAAGTTTTTTTCGATTCGAGCCGAACAAACCGACATATTTTCATCTTAAATGATTGAATGTTATTGACGTTCCGATGAAAAAGGCAAAAAGTTAGGAAAGAATTAAACGGGAAAATTGGCCAATGAGTCTCGAAGGGCTCGTACTCAGGAAAATGTATTACTGAACTCACGATTTACCGTCGATATGCAAAGTTTTACAAATAATGCATTGTGAATTTTCTCCCAACACTCCAATATGTTTTTTATTTAATATCCTTAAAAATTTTAATAAAAAGTACGACGTGGAAACCCGGCAGTTTTAACCTCGTCCCGACTTGTCGTTTAAAAAAACCGGTAAATTTAATTTTCCTCTCGAATACCTCCGACCCCTATGGAATGAAACGAAGGGAGCAGACATAGAAACTTTACAGTGGAAGCGAAATAACATACGATCAACAATTACTTTCACATAATGAAATTTTCCCGCTTACTTCTTATCGAAAGTGTCGCTAAAAGCTTCAGCCGGAACTAAAAAATGTCGACGGCTTTTTTTTATTGCAGATGGCGAAAATTTGTAATTGTTTTCATAATTGGATTTCAGGGGGACGCGAAGGTATAGGAAATTCACTGTTCCTATCTAATTAGGTATTCCAAACGACCAGGATGTCATCCGGTTCATCCGGACGAATTTGCCTTAATTATGTGACATGCGACATTCCTTCCTTCACCTTCTAATGAGCCATGAGGCAAATAAATGAGGAAATAAATGAGGAAATAAATGAGGAAACGAGCATTACATTTCTTCAGTATGGCGTGCATAAAACAATAAAATTTGCATTTTAATAAAACGCAATGCTGGAATGTGGAATTACGGCGTTTAACCGTGAGTATACACATAAGGAAACAACACAGAGTTGCTGGTTTTTATAGGTCGATTCTATTCGACCATTTCCATAATTCCCCTATTAAACAATATTGTGGCAAAAGTACGGATCCAAATCCTGCATAAATATGTGAGGAATTGGACCTAACAAGATTCTACCTATTTTATATGGTGCACCGGAATTCCGCACCAAAATAATAATCCCTTTTTGGGTCGTACTTTACCGAATTCCCCACCGAAAATCAACAATACTTTAATTGAGTAACTGCAATCTTTAATTAATTTAGAGGGGATTGGATAGTAGAGAGTAGAGGGTAGAGAAGATTAGAGAGTAGAGAATTGAGTAGAGAGTATAGTAACGTGGGAGAATTCCTACTATAGGATTAGTGCAGCATGCAGCCCATTTTACATTTTCCCGCGTTATAAAAATTAAATAAAAACGCTCGTTTTCAATTCGACGATAAATAAACATACACGTAATAAAAATTGCTTTCCAGTTGACCTTTGCACCGCAATAAATGAAAAACCGGTGACATAATCCAACAAAAACGACCATTATCCTTAAAAACAATATTTGATGGAAAGCATCACAAATAATAATAAAACCTGCAATAAACGTCAAATAAACTATCGAAACAGTCGCTTTAAAACTTATAAAACGAAGTTATATAGAACTTCTACAGTGGATAATATACAATGTATTGGCTTTATTGCAGTCCGGATCGGGTTTTATAGTAAGCATCTTTATTTCGACGTAGAACCCTAATTAAAATAAATGTGTACAAAATAAATACTAATTTGAGTGATATACAGCGCAAATATTCGCACAGAAACCACACTAAAATTAATGATGATGCAAACATTCATCCGGTAAAAGGAATTTTCAAATAATCCCGTTGTTGTACGAGCGTAACTAATTTTATTTTATAAACACCCTTCAGTACGCCCCGCGCTCGTTTAGGGCCACCCCTTCATCGACACCTCTAGCACCCTAGCCCTTTGTCATTTGTCACGCGGGACCGTGTAGCTCTTCCGCAGCGAAATGCAATCAGGAATCAGGAGCAGTAATAAAACTACCGCCGAACGCGCCGTCCGTTGTATCGGTTACAATGAATAACTGAATAATTAGAGGCCGTTCATTGTAATGCATTGCACAAAATGGACGCCGCATCGGTGCATATCATCCCATACGGCTGGCGGTGAACGCTAACAGGCCTCTCGGTTTTTTATGTATTGGATAATTGTGTTGAATTCGGCGAACGATATTAAATTAAAACTCGGAAATTACTCGTTATAAAGTATCGTATCGGGCGCTCCGGAATAACGCTGTAGGGCGTTTTTTATATCTAACTTCCGTTTTGTGTGTAAGCATGTCGGAGATGTAATTTCTGATACAGAAAAAAAATTATTTGCCAGATCGAATGCGAGACGTATTGGCCGGAGTCACGAAAGGAAATAAAAGGAGAGCGAAGGAATCTTTTCATGCAGTAATTTCCAGTAGGAAATATTGTGCAGTTCTATATCTTTGATTGAATTTCCCAAAGAAAACGCCTCAAATTGAAAGATACATCTCGTATGATTTTTCTTTTGTTGCGCCAATGTTGACGCGAATATTAAAGAACGCGAATCAAATTCTCACTTTGTTGGGAACTGCTGGCGAATTTTGTTGCAAAATAATTGAAATTATTTTGTAATAAGTAGATAATGAAAACTGTTTCAAATATAGTTGTATCCAAAACAACCTTAATCTTACTTATGAACCAATACCAAAAATATGTCTAGGAATGAAGCTTATAAAACGGAATAGCTTACAAAATTAGAGACCTTAAAGCAAAGTTATGGAAACCATAGTTAGTTTTATTAACCAATTATTCACCAGTTGATGCTGTAAAATAAATTAATCAAGAATGCCTAGCCGTCGTCGCCTTTTGTATAAGATAAAACAAATGACAAAGCAGAAAGCAATCTGAGTCCCTCTCGGGTAACGAGATTATTTACGCTGTAAGTTAATATTCCGGAAAATATTTTATACTGTAAGATCTCGCTTGCGCGCAAAGCAATTCTGACCAGAGAGTATAGAGGTGATTTATTAATTTCTATAAAATTCACAGTTGCATGCGTTAAGAATTTAGCATTGATACTTGTTTTCGATATGTAAAACACGAACCATTAAATTTAATATACCCACGCGGCAATTAGTGAAGCCATAAGGTAAAAACGAGGAGAGTTTTGGATTCTAAATATTTTACTAATTAATCTATGCCTGTTTTATCTGTAATTAAACCTTTAAAAACTCTCTGCTCATTCGCATTATTTGTATAATTGTATTTTACCTTCACCTCCAATTATCGCGTATGTCGCATTATCGACAAGAACTAAGTATTAAGGGTTAAACTACAAAGTATTTACAATAATCTAGTGTTTAAGTGTTTGTAAAAATATAGCTAACAACTTCAAATTACTAACAGCAATTTTAACAACATTGATAAAGCACGGTTCGACAATATTACTTTAATTGCCACTAAGAAATATTTAAGCAAAATTTAAAATAATAACTAATCTCAACCTACACGGCTCAGAGAGAAGCATTGTGATTTTTTTTACTTTCAAGACCAGGTAAAAATTATAATAGCATTTACTATTAATACACCTACTAATGAAAAAATATTTTATAGGGATGATTTCAATAGAGCTGTTATTATTCATCGCTTCTATTTTGTTTCTAATTATTTACAAACACCTAAAAACCTTTAATTATTGGACCGAAAGAGGAGTGTACAGTCCTAAACCAGTTCCATTCTTCGGCAATGCTTATAAAATCCTCACTTTTACCAAACACGCCAGTGAAGTTTTTAAAGAACTCTACGACCAAACCGACGAGCCCTACCTTGGAATATTCCTATTCGACAAGCCGTTTCTACTATTGAAAGATCCAAAATTAATAAAAAGAATTCTGCTGAAAGATGCCCACTTGTTCAAAGACAGAACAATCGCACCATCAACCAACAACGAAATTTTCAGGAATTTCCTGCTGATGTGCCGAGGAGCGAGATGGAAGAAACTTAGAGACCAAGTCTCTCCGTTATTTACTTCGGGAAAACTAAAAACTATGATTGGTGAAATCAATCGAGTTTCCGACGAATTGATGCATCACATTTCCCAACGGGGAAATCCGCTGTGTGTAAGAGAACTGTACTCGAGTTTTATAACAGAGGCGACCGCTAGGGCCTTATTTAACATAAACACTGATTGCTTAAAGAGCGACCAAAGCGGCTTCAAGAAAATTATAAGAAAGATATTTAACCCGTCTTTGAAAACGTTGTTACTGCAAATGCTTTATTTCGTTAAAGCCTCGTGGGTTAACTACTTGGGTTTTGATTTTGTCGATAATACTGCCACAACATTTCTTACTAGGCTCCTAAACGAGGCTATAGAAACCAGAGAGTTGGTAACCGGAGGAAAATCCAAGAATATCGTAGATGTGATGCTTCAGAACAAAAAAACTGGAGATGAAGGATTTGGTAAGTCTGGTATGTAGAAATTGAAATGGTGCTATTACAAATAATTTCAGGAAAAAACGGACATGTGGCCAGCGGACTCCAATTATTAGTAGCGGGTGTCGATACTACCAGTACTGGTATAGCTTGGTTCACATACGAAATGGGTCAAAATCCCGAAATACAAGACAGATTGCGAAGTGAAATTATAGAAGTATTGAAGAAATATAACGGAGAAATTACGTGGGAGGCGATACATGAGATGAAATACTTGGACATTTGTTACTTAGGTTAGACATTTTCTCTGAATCCAAAGTATCTAAAGCAAGGTCAATTATATTTACAGCACATTTTTAGACACTGACTTGTCTAATATTAATTAATTCATTGTTGTCCTGATTTGTAGAAGTTCTACGAAGGCATCCTTTCGTGCCATTTGTGGAGCGGCAAGCCGCGGAAGATTATAAAGTCGAAGAAACGGGATTAGTTATCGAAAAAGGCACCGCCACTATGATTCCCCTGTTCTCACTGTTTTTGGACGAAAACCATTTCGAAAACCCTTTTGAATTCAACCCAGAGAGGTTTGCTAGCAGCAATCACGCGAACACTAATAATACTGGATTAGTATTCATGCCATTTGGTGCTGGTCATCGGTTATGCTTAGGTAAGTAAAAAAATGGTTTATACAGAGTGTGAGCAAATTATTTTAATGGTTTCAGGAGAAAGATTCGCTATCTTAGCAACCAAGCAAGTCGTAATAACAACACTTCTGCACTACAGATTGGAGAAATGCGAACAAACGCCCGCGTATCCACCAAAATACGATCCCAAATCAACGTTTCTCTGTTGCGAAGGGGGAATACCGATGAAATTTATTAAAATCCACAACTGAATTGTTATTTCATTTAACCACAACTGTACAAAATATGCAAAAAAGGAAAATAAAGCGGTGCGAAATAATCCCTGGTTTACGTTTAAAATATATTTCATGCCCCAAAAAATCGTCAAATGACACACCCCAAAGACTAGTCAGAAACAGGTGGCTGTATAGAGGAATTGTTATCCCATTTTCCTGTTCTCGTTTGAAAAGGACGCGCGTGTGCCACTAAAAATTAAATGAGGGCGTAAAAAAAATTCAAAAGAGGACGCGATCGAAGCGCTTATTAGAAAGGAACAAGCCGTATGCTGTGGAATATCGGAAATAATCGAGTTAATTCTCGTCGAGGAGACTGAATGTAAAGGGATGGCCGAAGGTTCCAGATTTCGCATGTACTAGATGCGGCGATGCGCTCGTGCAATTTGCTACATTATACCGACAAAAGGCTAGAGAAATTACTAATGCAATTTTTATTTGATCCTATTCGGGTAACTTGAATGTAAATTACTAACGTAGGTACGCTATACCATGTGTTTCTACTATACTTGTTAAATGTTAATATACACCTAAAAGAATTACCTAATAAGCCAATTTAAAACTTGCACATAAGGAAATAAACATCTTTATCTGTATAATAAAATTAGGTTAATAGATATTAATAGGTATTTGATGGGAATTAAGTTGAATCTATTAAAAGAAAATAAAATTGAATTCATTGCGTTTAAGTAAACAACAACAATCTAATTTTGATAAAATATTTCTCGAAGACCGAGAACTCAATCCCATTTCAATGAAAAATGCAATAGTTCGTTGAGATTAATAGCAGGAATAAAGAAAATAGAAATAGCGTACTCCTGTTTAATAGTAACTTGAAAATAATTCAGTCGCAAATAAAAATACGGAACCATTAATTCAGCTGTAGAAAAACCAGTTAAAACTTTTCTACACTTTCCCGATAATTAATTACGAATTTTTGCAATTTTCATAAATCAACTTTTTTTTAATAAATGATAAACTTTGATTAGAAACGGGAGTCTAATAGCATTAAATGGTCCAATTTTAATGCTTCGCATTTCAGAGGGAACTTTCAGCCATGCAATCGAATGAGAATATTTACTCGAACTAAAATGAAATATGGACGTGGAATGCAAATTTCACGTTGAGAGCAAGCCGAGTTTGAATTTCGATGACGAGTTATTACTAAAAGCAACCGGGAATTGGATAAAATGAGGAAATGATATAAAAAAATTAAAATAAAATGGACGATAATGCAGTAAAAACATTTTCTTTAATAGTAAAATGTAATAGGTAAACCTAATATAATATAAAAGTAGTTATATTTATATTGTTCTGTTTTATGATAATAATAATTGATGTGATATGTATATAGAGTAATAAAATGGAATTTTATTGCCTAACCATTCCACGTTCATTGTAATAGGTAAGTAAATTCCATATGTATGTGAAAAATTCATGCCGAAAAATAGTTTTTCCACGTTGATTTCCAATGCAGCTATAAATTACATTGCTGATTTATCTTCCGCTTCGCAGCATGAAATATTTTTCTATTTGACAATACCCGAAAAAACATTTCTGCAAACTTGGAAAGTCGTCGGTAAATCTTAATGTCGGAAGGCAAAAGAAAGTTTAATTTCTTTTAAAAATAAGTTCCCGAACTTGTTGCTTTTGACAAAGCTTAAATAAATAACCCGAAACTTTTATTTCTGAATCGACACCGTTCATTGTTAAATCTACTCCGGAATTTATTCAAAAAAGAAGACATGTTGGCGGAAATTGATTTTACTGCTGGATAAGCAATAATACTTTCCTTGTAATTTTACATTACATACATACATACAAATTCTTGAATATTCTAAAGTCTCCTATACATATTAGCATTAATGATAAGGCAAAATTCTCTATTTATCTTGCATTTTATACTAGTAGGTATACAACAGTTTGAAATTTCCTCATTCCATTTACATTACATACCTCATTTATTTATTAACAATTTGCATATGCTCTGCAGCGTCGATGCTAACTCGTGATTACCAAACTAACTTTTGTTTATTCTAAACTATTTGTTTACCGTTTACTCCCCCGGCTCATCGGACTGAACAATTTGCAACGAGAAAAGCACGTTCCATTGTCGCGCTCCCTCGAGAATACTACGAATATTTCACTCTACTCTGTCCTATTAGTACATTTAACTACGGCACCACTCGTCTCTTCGTTTTCCTTAATTAATACAGACTCCGCGTAAGGTGAAAGTGTAGGGAGAGATTTATTTAATAGGTGAGCAATTTGTTGATGGTCTCTTGTATTTTCGAGTATAAGAAAACGAGGTTACGACTGAGGAGGAGCACCAGAGGAGCAGCGGTACAAGGATTAGGTCTATGTGAATGTTGTTGAGGAGGATTCTAATAAAGGAAATGAGGAAATCTATAATGGATTAGCTAATGTGAATTAATACATAAAATAGGTTATACAATAGGAATCGTGCATTATTAATTTTGATTCTGTTTGTATATTTCATATTTGATTGTCATATAATTATAATGTTCTCTGCTTACTAAACTAGAGAATAGTAATTTGTAATTTATTTTACAGTAAAAACATTTTCAAATAAATTCGTGAGTACATGCAGAATTTTAATTAGCAAATTCAGGAAGTTAATTTCAAATAAGTTTTATTTCGAATTCTGTTAAATGTAATATCGACTGAACAAACTTTGGCGTAGAAAGTTCACGTGTGACAAGCTGGCATGTTAACTTTGGCAGAATCAAAGGAAAATATGTCGAGAATTCGTTGCTAATTAGTTGCTATTGTTTAGAAATTTGTTGTTCCTTTCGTTTTGAGTTTATGCCATCTCGATGCTTCAATCGTTGGAATCTCTTTTAGTATCTTTAAAAAAATAAATGCTTCGGAAGGCTTTTATGATTGAGCCAAAGTGCCGCTTGTGAAATGCGACGGACAATTTCCATTACGAAAATGACCGCAAACTCCGGCACCGCCATTTCACACTGACATTCTTAAGTCTTTCGGAAAATCCGGTCATCGATTTTCCGACATCGGTGACGGGGCTTTTATTTAGTTTCCAAGCCGGTGTTCATTTGACGTTCGTCGTGTTAATAAATCAATTTAAATTTGTTGCAATACACGCGGTGCACTGTCAATAAAGGCGACATATTTTTATCCACGTCGTACTAAGAAGAATTATGGCTTACCTAACAATAAAGCTTATATATTATGTGACATTATTTTTGGTCCTATCGCAGTGTTTAGTGCATTTAATTTATTAAGCTTCAGTGACCTCAAATCGTACTAATATAATTGTAGTAAACATCTGATACCTATAATATATTTGGTGGAAAAAAGTACCTACTGTAAACATTGTTAGAAGAATCGAAATTTCTAATCAGTGAGCGAGTGAATGTAACCATTTCACAGCTTTATTATATTAAAGAGACTATCGGTTCCAATATATCTGTGTTCATGCACGTAATCTATATTCCAGTATCAATTTTATCGTGGATCAAAGAAGATACGTTTCGCGTTTTGCATCAAGGCTATCAGAACATTGTTTCAGGGCATCAACATCCTAATATCCAATATCTCACTCTCGGACCTAATTTAATTTATAACTTTAGTTTATAACCTTCTCCCACCTTTTCGGTTTCGAACGTACGACAGGAATGGCTGCTTATATTGCGAAACCCGAATAATCCGAACGAGGAAACGCCGCGAAGACAGTGATTGATGTTTGCGAAGCTCCTTGTGTGTTTATGTGCGAAGGTGGCCTAATAAATCTGGTCAATCCGGCCGAGGGATAATTTCTGTTTTGTATAAAATATGGGGAATATGACCTATACTCTTGATTTGGTGGAAATTCCAATTTGCACGAACGGCATTACGGTATACAGGGTGGATTCGAGGGAAGATATATACTTCCCAATTACACTAAATTTTTATAGATACCTATAGAGAGATAAATATTTTTCACATAAGTTGGAATTCCCTCTGGAATTAGAGGAGTTCATTATCAGTTAATATTAGTAGTGGAATCGAAATTTTAAGTTTAATCACAATTTAATCGATCGGGGAACGTAAAGTACGACAATATCGGTAAGAGAGCAATTTGCGCAATTTCAAGTATACCGCTACATGCTGTCGACATAAATGATATTGCGGTTAATTTTCGTGAAATTACAAATGCTTTAATAATCGTCACGCGTCAATAGGTACCACATTAGCCGCATTAACAGCAAGTATTCTCTATCCATCGATTACCTATGTGTTTAGTCCTAAAGTTGCACGCACTCATGCAAATATTTGCACTATACATAATATACACTGACCGTCAATATTATAGCTACTCACCTTTTTGACATATTGTAAAATTGGCTATAACCAAGCTTGAGGCATAAAATTTTTAACACCCATAGCGTGATAACTTGTCTTTGCATCCACCAATTAGCATCAACCACTCTCAACCCTAAGCGATCGAACCAGCCCTTTTCCACAGATGATTCGAGAAGAAGATTCACCCCTTTGGGATGCCGTAAGAAACTATATTTTCTTCCCTTACTAATTATTTATTTATTGTTTATAGTATACTATAAAGTATATACTCTACAGTCTTTCGTATAGACTTAGGTTATGTAGGGCAAACGCAAAAATACGTTCCTGTAAAATAAAATCGGGTTAATTTCGTCGAGTGTGTGTCCGTGCAGCGTCCACTCCATCAATAAAAACATCACATTTGGGAGAGGTGGCGTTCGTCGGTCGGAATTTACGACATTACGTAGGTAGGAAAAAAAAGCGGAGATTGTTCCACGCGAAAATCAACCGAACATATCGAAATGTTCCCGTGCGATGGAGCGTTTCGCAAAAATGTGTGCAGAAACGTTTATTGTCAGTTAACTGCAGGTGCCGTAGGTCATAAATGGTTTTATTTTGTCGAGTATGTTTCCATTTCGGTGGGATATAGTACGGCGTCCTATGTGAATTATAAATGCCGGGAACAGAAATCGGTTAACGGATATGTGGAGTCGTTTTATGTAGATTGTTTAGGACGAATATTAATTCGTTTTAATTAATTTCGAAATTTGGCACAATTCTTTACAGGTCTTGGTAAAGGATATTCAACAAAATACAGCGTATTTATTTGATTTAATATTTAAGTGGTAGGTACTTAAAAAAATGGTGGATACACTTGCATATCCTGCAAATATAAAAATACTCTCCGCGTAAATTTAATTACACGTGAAGTTTACTTTTCTTATTTAGTACTTGCTCTGCACTGAACTTTTTTATGCATACCTACGTATAATTAAATTAATTAATGAAAATATTATGCTACCCGACATAAAACAGAAATCTTGTTTCTTTTCCTGCGGGTTTCCGCAACCAAATTGTAACTAAGTGACCTGAAATGGAAATTTGTTTTTTAAAATGATTCAAGTAGAATTTAATGCTCGGGGTTTATATTCCCTGAAATAATTGTTCTGTAATGTCGTTCGAGAATAAAAATATCACGGTCCGTCACACGCGTTTTTACTTAATGAAAAATAATGACCTTTTTTACATATACGAGAAGGGTGTGCGGGAGAACTCTCGCATTATTCGAAACGAGAAGAGGGAGGAAAAAATTCGTATTTCGTGCGAATTTTTTAGTATCGAAACGCATTAATATTTACGACTCGTTCGTTTTTTTTTCGGAATAATATATATTTTCGGAAGTAATCCGAAAATCATCGTCCAGCCGTCATCGCTTATCAACATTGTAAAAATTTACGACCGCATAACTCTATCTTAATAGGGGAAACAAAAGCGATCTCATTGAAAGCAAAAATACCCTTACTCTCCAGAGAAGCATCCCCAAGGCCGGCGAGCCGTCAACATTGATCCCTCGTTTTCATAACTCGTCTGAATGTAATTTAGATACCTCGTAAACTCCGCAAAAAGCGCAGATGTTATCATACACGAGCTGGGGATTGCGTGGAATACGCAACTTGCAATCGAATTATCTGTGCGTTCCTTCTCTCGCATTCCTTTCTTGTCGGAGGCGCCTGAATATAGGGACACTGATTCGCATACCAACACGTCTAAATATATTAATGATCGCCTAAGTAACCAAACTTCTAAGATGCGAAGTAGGTCTGTACCGTTTCCAGAGCAGAAAAGAGAAAATTTCGTGTGATTTATAGCGCGACAAGATTCCACGAGAGAACCCTCCACTAACTGTGAATGATATACATAAGAAACCAAACTCTTATATAACTATATCTACTCTATACTTATTACCCCAATATAAATTTAAAGAACCTCAAATTACTTGTACAATGTCAAATTTGTGTATCTTGGAGATTGGTTCGTTTCTAAACTAACAGCACCGTATACACATCAATCTTTCAAACTAAATTATTCCGAGCAGTAAAATCTAACAATATAATTCCCATTAAATTTTAATTATCCCTCTTCATCTTCTGCTTAAATAACAGCCCATTTTGTGTATTAATCACAAAGGATCAAGTTAAGTCTCTTTAAGTGTCTCTAAGTGAATTAAAATATTTTTCAGCACTGTTGAAACGACTGATCATAATATAAATTTTCATTTTATTCCTAAATTGAGAATCCTAAATCTCATACTATTCTTACAATTATTAAGTGTATTTTAGTGATTAGACTTCATACATTTGCCAGTAGATTATCCATCTTGTGATATTAATTTTTTGTAGACAATAAAAATATAAGTAATGAAATTCTGTAAAGGAAAGTCCGAGCAACACGAGAACGATAAACCAGAATTAATTCCTCTTAGGTAGAATTGAATGGACGAAAAGGAAGAATAGGAAAAGTTAAAGAAAGTATAGTTAAAGGTAAACTGGGAAAGAACGTGGGTAAGTGGATGTTAAGCCTCACTTCGGGCTACTTCAAACGTACTAAGATGAGCGCTACACAACAATAAAATGTTCACGAAAACGATAAATCATTGTATGCATTTGTTAAAAATTTCTGGAGTTTCTGCTGTAAGGAGCTTTTGTGTAACCGATAATACGGGTGTGTAATATTATTTAATGAATAATAACGAGAAAAAGTATATCAAAATTATTCGAACAAAAACCGCAGGTTTTACTCGGGCAGTTTTTTTAAACACCCCGAATTATTCAGCACATGGCAAGGACGCATGATTTATAGAGGATAATAAAATCAGATTATAAAGCGAAATATAAATAAGTTATAAATCGAGCGTGGAAGAAGTTTTAATGGAGTTTAAAATTAAAGAGAAAAAAAACTTTGCTTAATCTTCGATCGAATGTACGCAAAAACTCGGAAAGAAATATTAAATTAAATAATTGAAAGTATCTTCAGAGGGCTGTTTTACGCTCGAAGCGGAAACTTTAATGCGCCGTTAGTTGTTTAATAATTTCCTTACTTTTTAATAATTTCAAATTCTCAAATTTGCTTGGAATATTCTGAAATTTTAAGTAAAAGTTATTTAAGCCGGAAGATATTCAGTAAGCAATTTACTTTTGATTATAAGTTACAATAGAAAATTACAATTTGAAAAAGGCATAAAATTTTGTAATAGCAGAAAAAGAGAACAAAAAAAATATAAAATTCGAACAGGGGCTAAACGTAGGAGTCAGTTTTTACATGAATCAGCGAAACACATTCTCCCAGCTTATAATATAAATCAATAGGTATACAGCCTCGTTAGGCTTTGCAGATAAACTTTTAAACGCAGCATATACACATGAAGGGAAACAGGTTAATTAAACTGTTTTTTTTTTGTATTTAGGGGTACCGTTCGCGTTACAATTCAGAGAATCATTAAAAACGTATGTTAACTAATCCTTGTTTGTTCATTTCGAATAATATGTAAATATTTAACGGACGGTATCGATTAGGGATTATTCTCTTTTCTTTTTTCCTTTTTCTTTCTCTGTGCTCTCATTATATGAAAACTGAATATGCCTTTGTTATCCCATTGTTTTATTACTTAGATATACATTTCCTTAACAAATGTCGATGAAAAGTTGTACCTTGTTATTTAATGAAAAAAATATATACATATAAATATACACAGGGTGACCCATTAATATGGAAAAGCTCAATATATCTACAATGTATGTAGCTGTTACTGTATAGATAATTTCAAAAAACTTCTTAACAAAAGCTGTAGATACTTTGTAGAAACTCTGTAGAAACTAAAGTGTATCGTCCACAGTAACAGATAAATTGAGATTTTCCATACAAATGCGCCACCTTGTATATATTCTGTTTATTCCCTCGAGATGAGGAGGAAGGATAGAAGGAAGAAATTTAATGATGCTGTAAGAAAAGTTCAATGTATCTAGCTGATACTCTATAGACAGTTTCAAAAAAACTTTAAATTTAATGATGCTCTTTCGAGGATTTCAACAGTGTATGTAGAAACATTGCAAAAGTACTTACCTATAATAGTAAGATTAACATGAGTGATTCTCGTCGAACTCTTCGCGAAATCGACCTTGCAATGGAACACCTGCTCGTCGCTGAGCTTCGTCGGACTGATGTTCATGACGGCCCTGTGATCGTCCAATATCCTCAGGAAGTAGCGGTTCTGCAAGGACGCGTCCGCCCAACGAGCGGGCTGATTGCCGCGCACGTCGTACTTGTATATGGGATTCTGCTCGCCGCCCCTGTACCACAGCACCACGCTCAGCTTGTCCGGCGCCCCAGTGGGGCTCAGGTTGCACGGCAGCGAGGCGCTGCCGCCGTCCGACGCTTGCACGAACTCGGTGGCCGGTTCCGCCTCGCAGGTCACCAGCAGGACCAGGACGAGCACCAGGAAACCCGAAGCCGGCATTGCGGTATCTACATGGCAGGATATGAACGGTGAAATCTTTGTAACTCTTCGTTAAGGGTGATAGAAAAACCGGTTGATTTAAACTTCCTATTATACAGAAGTGTCCTTAATTAATTGGAGTCCGATTCAACTGTAACAAATAAGATGCTTAAATAATATTTCAATGTCCCGTCCTTAGATACTAAGGAAGACTTTATAACGAAAATTTTCCTAAAACTGTATAGTTTTTGGTTCATTTAAGGTTATTTATAATCTGGATCATTTAACAATAATTGTTTTGATGCGATTTTGATTTTATGTGAGGAACACAGCGTTAGTAATGCATCAGATTGGAGCAAAATAAACCGAAAAAAACGCGTTCGATTGTGTTGTGGCGTTGCAGGTATTCACATATTTTTCACGGAATCACGTTTATTGTGGAAGGCTTGATTAGTTTTTGATATACGATGAGCATTTTTCGTGTATATCCTTGTTTTCTTTTCGCGCTGTATTCGTTAACTGTCATAACTAGGTTGTAGAAGAGGCAACCAGAAAAACGTGTAAAATAAATCGACTAAAAAGAACATCGAATAATTTATTGCGAAATCAAAATAATCTTTTTGTTTTCATTTTTATAATTTACAGTAGGAAATGAAACTTCGACTATTACCTATTATTTTCTAGGTTGCGTGTCATAAATAAATTAAGTTCGACCATTTGTTGAATCCCTTATGTCCACAAATAAATAATTAATGAACATTTACCTTATCATTTATAATATATTTTTTATTGTTAAAAAATCTGTAAAACGACAAGCATTTATTAAAATGAATGAGATTTTATAGTTAATATAAATTTTAAAAAATTTTATAGTTAATATAGTAATTTTTCTAATGTTTCGAACTCATGCAGAAAACATGTTTAAAGCCGCAGGTGCACTTATATACAGGTACTATAATACGAAAAATTAACATTAATTGAGAGGTAAATTAATTCTACCAGCCTCAACTTCTACGAATGAAACATAATATTATGAAAATAGAGAACTACAAAGTTATATTATCTATTGAACTATTGAACGAAACATGGTTTATAGCTTGATGATGGGGATTACGAAATTGCTTGCAAGGTTCAGGAAATATGTGGTCCAATACAAGTTAATCTCCGCTATAAAATAATTAGAAATTCCCAAAGCAATCAAATTGGCAAATTAAATTTCGAATTAAATTTTTGAGATCGTCTTCGAGCGCCGCTGAGTCTGTTGTGATGTAGCCTGATGCCCGGAGCTGGATCCAATTAGAGCATAAAGTGACGCGTATAATCCGGGCAAGTTAACAACATTGTGTCAATTAATACATCAGCAGAAGAGATTCTATTTGAAGCCGGCGGAAGGGTTATTTGTTTAGATATACGATTCGCTTCGAACGAATAAACTTGTTATTACCGAGTAAAACTTATTAATTCGTCACGCTCAAATATATTAAATGTGGAGATATTGGAAAGGCGCGTGGTGATAATGAACTTGCGAATTGGTGTAAAGCTTTCAAATTTTTGGTAGGTATTTGAATTTTATTGAGTAATAAATGAAATATAGAAAGTCTTGAGCATCAAATATTTGTGACTAAACATAATTTTTCAATCTATCATATATCATTTAAGTTTATTGCGTTTTTTAACATATTATCAACAACATTTTGCGATAAAAAATTTAATCTATACAATTTCCATTTACAAGCATTAAGATAATACGATAAAACGATATTAGGGCATTATACTAGGGAGTTGAAAAGATCGAACAATCCGAAAACGCAGAATTAATAAATTTCCAATAGAAAATGAGTTGATGGATGGCGAATTCCTAATTCTCTGCGGGTATCAAAACGGCAACGACATAACATATAATAGTTCGGCGGAAATTACTCCCGGCGGTTCAATCCAATGAATTCCAATCTCTTGTTGTACCATACGTTGACAAGTTTCAAATTATTTATTAATAGATCCCAACTGCGGCCGCCGTTCTCCCCGGATTTAATGATTGTTAAACGTCTGTAGTCGTTAGCTGACGTTGAAATTAATACTGGAAAATTACGGCTGCTCAACTTAATTTCGTATTTATGCCTCGCGGTTTGGTAAATGTCGGTGCTGTATGTGGGCATATGGCGGAGTAAATTGTGAATAAAATAGCGTATACAAGCACACAACTCGATTTGCCAGGTTTATAGAAAAAAGCGGGCTAAGAAACCTAAATCACGCCCCGATAATACGCGAACGAAGCTAAAAAAAAGTCGCTTGAACACGTAGAATATAATAATAATTTTTTTATGTTAAAGAAAAATCGAATACATGCCCGGAATAATGTTTAGCGGGCGCGTTTTTGTGGAAATAGAGGAGACCCATGTCGATAGCACCTGCAAGAAAAATCACTAGATAGATTTTCATTAATATTTCATGTTAACCGACCCCACGTTATTAGCTACCGAAACTGAATTATTGATATTCCTGTTGACGTGTCGTCAAATACTCACCGAAAGACAACTTCCAAAATAAATTGCTGGAAATTTAAATCCCACAAAAAGAAGAAAAAAACCTATGCATAAAACATCGAACATCAGGAAGCTTAAGGAAATCCAAAGAAAAAAGAAAACCCGAGCCTTATAACAACGATGCCTGTTTTTCCTTTGCAACGTAAAGATAATATAAGCGAAATTGATTAAAATAAAATAACCGTTATTAAAAAGATTATTTTTATTCGATCTTACCTAATAAATGTCTAGGTAATATTAAATTAAAAATTTAAATATTTCAACCTAACATTTTTTTTAATACAAATAAATGTCACTTTCACAAGTAAACATTATCCCTATCCTGGAAAACCTTGGGAAAGCTGCCCCAGTTTTCACCGTTTTGCTGAAGGCGGTATAAGTTTTTATTTGTGTTTTTTCATGTTTATTTTTTTTCAAAGTGAAAGTAAGTAAAATTTTAGTGCATGAATTTCATCCAAGCATTTATTTACATAAAATTCAATTTGTAGCTGCGAGCAAAAAAACAAGGAAGTACCTAATGGAAAATGGTGTATTTTGTAGCTGTCACATTATTACGGCTCAAAGTTGTAACTTGCGGATCAACGAAATTTATATTAAGTATATTTACAATGAAAAAATTGTTATGATGTACATTTATCTCTACGTATTTAATTTCGGTACTTTAACTAGTTCCCAATTGGAAAAGTTTTCTATGACGTACACTCAAGAACTCGGATAATAAGCGGCTTTTTTTCTGTAGTACACACCATAATCCATTATTGTAACTGACAAAAATTGCTCGAAACTTATCCGGCTGCGCCAAAAGTAATTTCAAGTCCATAAACTGGGACTTGTACGTACATTACCGACGGAAAATGTTTCCGAATATTTTGCTCCTTTGCGTTTTTGCGACGTTCGAGCAGGATTTATGATCGGGAATTTCATAAAACTCTTTGAAAAATACGGAAAACATTAATTCCGTGTTTATCGCGGCGTCGTAATTTGTATTTTCAGACTGATATTTGAGTATTGCGTGACTGACCATTTTTAAGAAGGATCGAAACAATTAATAACTATTATTACCAGCTCGTAAAATTGAATGCAAGCCAGAGTTCATGTAGGTGATATATTGGACAGTGTACAAGCAGAGGTTTAACAGATTGTCAACTTGTTTGTGGCTTTCGCTCATGTCGAACCCTTAGGGGATGAAAATAAGTATCATAATAATAAAAATGATATAGATTATTGAATCGATAGCGCCACTAATTACTAATTAAAAAACATCAAAGTGCCCTTCAGAGTAGATTATTATTTTAAAGCTAAATAAAAATTAATTAGTAACTTACGATGCTTAATTTCATTTGCAAATAAGCCCGGTAATTTACTAATAACGACGCTTCATAGCAGTTTTAATTTCGTTTCATAATTTTCGAGCGTTATTCATTTAAAGCAATTTTTCAGAACAGCCTAACTTAATACGGTTAAAAAATAATCTCGTTTCATTAATTAGTAATTTCTGAACTAATTTCAAGCAGTTTTTTTTATTTTTATTTACCTGCCTTTTTAATTTTATTTAGGTATACTTTAAAATTTCATCATAGGAATTTTACTAGAATATACAGACATAAAAAAGAGCAAAGCACATACACATCCTGAATATTATTTGAGAAACTACGCCGGTACGTATAGTGAAAACTTTACATCTCGAGAACTTCATTAACTTTCACGAGATACCATGGAGAATTATAAAATACTTTATTGACATACAAAATAAGGGAAAATAGTATTCACGAGAAGAGAAATTCCCGTGTAAGTTAAATCTTATAAATTTGTTGCCGGTAAATTCTATTCGAATCACAAGCGAACTCCAAAACATTCTGGATATAAAAGACGCGAGAACTGAAATTCAATACTGATTCCTGATCCTTCTGTGTAACTCAACCTGGCTAGTTTCACGTAGCGCTTCTATTAAATTCCTATTTCCAGCGATCTACTTTAAACGTTTATCATCCCTTTTACTTATTTATACCACAGAAATCGCTTTTTCTATCGCTTAATTAGAGTGGCATTTGTCATCTGTACATCTTAATCCGCTCTCTTCGAACCCGTCTCGGCTAAATTCCCGAAATGGATGGGTGTAAGTAAACCAAAAACGCGGCTCCCACTCGAAACTTTTGTTGTGCAAAGAAGTAAAAAATGATTTGCATTTAGCGAAAGGGCGTTTCGAGTGCTTTCGGGTGAGTGTGAATTCGAGAAATTCTCCTGCACGGCTCCGAGTTGTTGAAGGACTTTTTTATTGGATCGGTTCGAAAGGCCGCTCGCGAGATTATATTGTTGATACATTATGTAGAGGATTTCTCCTTAAGACGCGTTCAAGTATTTTCATCGTTTCGGATTGTTTATTTTTCTAATTTATTTGCTGTATACTAATGTAGGAGTTTATGCAATACTTACCAATAAATACTTTGACTTCTAACACTCACTGCGTATAGAACACTGAAACAAAATAAAATACGTTGTATTTAATAAATATATCATGAAATATTATTAAAAGTAAGAAATAAAATCCCTTGAGGTACAGTTACCATACATTTTCCGCAAAACACCTAAAGGTGATATTATTTAGAAGATGAATATAAATTGTGTCATATCAAAACTAAAAGTTCTTGCGTAGAGGGCACCCCATAATTCTCTACGTATACTCATCAAAACTCATCTCAACTAATTACAACATATTTCTTGAAAGTTTCGAAAGCCTATGTAATCCCGCTGTGAAATTTCCATTAGTAAAAAGAGAGCCTTAGAAGTTGCGCGAATAGCAAGCGAACTAACGAAAGCATTAAAAACATGTCCATGTAAGCGGCTTATTTACTAAAAGCAGCAAACATCGATATAAATAAATAGGAACGTGTACTTATTTTTGATGATTTAAAATCTAACAGATATGATAGTAAATTGAAACTCGAAAGAACGGCTAGACAAATCGAACAAGCGATATTTTCCAATTTTATGGCGCAAATTAAACCTGTACAAACATCACGATGAGTATCAGATGAAATATTCTATGAACTTTCTTTTTGTATGGTGCAGGATTTTGTAAAAGCAGTCGAGAGAATTTAACCATACGATACGAATGTTCTTTATCAAGTACAAATTACAAGGCGCTTCATTCGCAGGGCACCTTTTCCCTTATTATTAAAATACTAAAACCGTCATCATCCGGTTATTATATGTAGACATCAAATCGGCTTTTCCTTATGAGCCTGCGTCGACAGAAGCCGCAAACATACATTTAATGGACGTAGTAATAAGCGAGGGATTAGTAAACCGAAGCGCAAATACATATCTATCCTAAATATGCAGCGAGAAGTGCGACTTTTATCATCCCTCTGTGACGACGATTCTCTTTGTGAGGCGTGCTTTCCGCATTATTTAATTGAGCTGCGGTATCCAGATGCGGAGAATTGCCGAGCATTAATTTTTTATCGTCATTTTCGCTAGCGTTCCATATCGAGCTCCATGGAAATTATTAATATAATAACATTTTTACATTCGTACGAGTAGCTACGTCTCTGATTTGACGTCTTATTTTATAATTCCTGCGACGTCCGTAAATATTTAATTGCTAATTAAAACGACAATGGAAAGTTCCCATCCACTAATCGGAGTATTTACGATAGTTAACCAATTAATCGACTTTCCCGGACGATTCGGCTGATTTTCCTTTTCACGAAACGTCTTCGGAAAACGCGAATAATCAAGAGCTTAAATTATCTTGACAACACTACGAACTGATTTACTCCGGCCACAAACCAATTAGCTGCAGCCCGACGGAGTACAACCCATCTGTCTTGGAGCAATCGGATTGATATAGAAGAATATAAGCCAAGAATCCCTGCTAGGAAAGTTAACGTTTACAGGATTGATATCATTGGATTTCGGACCAGGATTTGCGAATAACGGTTCATGTGATTTATCTTTTCTTTATAAACTGAATCGAATATTTGTGGTACAATATACACTGTGATAAAGATGAATAGCGTGACTATATAACTGGGAATTGTTAGATAAGTTGAAAAAAAGTCGAGGAAATTTAATCAAACATCTACAAATAGATTTTTGAATGTTCCTAACAGTGAGTTATTACAACAGTTTTGATGAAATTTGAGACCAGAATGGAATCTTTGCATATTGCATACGAATCGTGATTTCAATCTTAACGGAACCTTCCTACGTAGACATACGTTGTGGGCTGCGATTCGTTCCAGGATGGCGATATATCAAACGTAAAGCGGTCATTTATTAGGGAACGTATTGTCTGGAAAATATTTGCGGCAACCCTTCGAAAACTCGCTGACCTGTTGGGTCGAAGCCGAAAAAAATATGCAAGAATACGCCGTATCACGGTTCGGCGAGTGCAATCTTCCGGAGATTTATTTCCTACGAAAATAAAGGAGAATAAGGATTCGCGAAAGAACGATTCGTTCCCGATGTAATCTAAATAGTGCGAATGAAAGCGGACTTGTTAAGACGAATAGCGGGATGAAATGCCGGGATATTCGGATGTAACGCAAGAATAATTACTAATTCAATTATACGATTGTATTACGTATAAGATGTTTGTTTAATTTAGTGGGTCGAATTTAATAGAAACTAGTGGATCTTTGTGTACCTAATAGGAATGGGAGTTTCCTAAGAGAAGATATAACTTTGTAGATAATCTGTTAATCAATAATATATACATGGTTGGGGAATATCTTGGAAAGCCTCCATGTCCTGAAAACATAATGAGATAGTATGGAAATTGGTTAGGAATAATGGATATAAAGTAAGTACCTACCTGCAATTCAATGTTTTAAACCTAAATGGGTACCAAATTGTAAAACCTACGGACTACTACTATATTCTACTTGTAATTTAAGATAAAAGGAATAAATTTAAGTAAGAAGATTGCGGATAAAAGCGAATTTTAATGTCTCATTTAGTTTTTCAGAGATAGAATTATTACTAGACTTTAGTTCAACTTTGTAGAACATCCAACGTACTCATTTTAGGGTTTCCTTGATGTTCTTTTTATTCTACTTCCATTATGTATACGGCGAAATTTCACTCAACAAACAATGCAAATACGTTCCCACTTTTATATAGGCTTTACTAAATATAGGTCAAAAATTCAGAAGGCGATTCCCGGATTGTACTAGAATTTTTTAGCATACCCTTCTCTGAGTTAACATCCCCGGGGAACGGGCAAATTGCATTAATTTTTTTTTAATTAGGGTAGAAATAAAAGCTCTCATTTATATACCGACCCACTCAATTGTATATACCAAGAGCACAACCTGAAATCAATTAATACAAAATCTTCGATTTCGAGTTACAAATGCTGATGAAATGTGATAACATAATAAGCATTCTCACGGGTTGTTAGGCTCTTATACTTTTTTTTAAAAGCCAATGCGAGTTCAAGTAAGCGCACATACTCAATTTGCATTATTCGTCTGTAATGGATTCAATTTAACCATCGAGATATCGATACGAAAAACGTAATGGATTCGTCGTGAAACTGTTAGCGAGCTTATAGATGGAAAATACATTATTCAGCCAGAGAATGTAGAGAATCGAAACATATTATGGTATGAAATTGGTATGAAGTGGTATGAAATTGGCACGTTTTTAACTCTTCCAATCGTATTTATAGCTTCTATCAATATTTGGAATTAAAAGCAGGCTTATAGTAAATACGCAGCAATGTTTCGAATAATTCCAACGTTTCGTAATTATTTGAAAAAAAATAGTTTAAAATAACATAATATGCAGTAATAAAAATATTCGTAGATTATTATCCATGTTATTAAGCCTTTTTTTAGAATATGAAGCGTTAAAAATAAGTGTATTATGCAAATATTATTTCATGTTATAAAGTGTAGAAATATTTGTACATAAATTCTTTCTAGCAAACTATATTTTACGGTTTTATTTACAGAAAGCCGGTCACGGAGGTTTCTTTTTGCGAAAGCTACACTTCTCAAAGCCTTTAACTCTAAATCTGACGCTGGAGATAATATCTATTCTAAAGTCGCGACTAAATGGCCGATAAAATCGGAATTTGTGACAGTAAAAAAGCAGTTGTTAAGGAGGCGACAAGATGGTTGGTAAACATGATTTTTGTACTAATATTTCTGCTTGAATTTCAAGGAAAAATCTTCAATAAACTTTTATAAATGAAAATCCCGCAACGAAAAGTCAACTAACGCCTTCCAGCCCATCTGAAATATGAGGCACTATTAAGGTGGAATCCTTTTATAGTGTTAAGAAACTCTTTTCGACTCGAAGAAATCCAGCAAATAAATAAACGCGTTTTTTTCGGAAATTGCAAGAAACCTCCGCGAAAAACATTAATCAAGCTTTTTACAAGGAAACTCAATGATTTATAGAAAAGGAATCTCGTCCTTTTCACTACCAATTTATATAAAAACACGAATTGCTCTTTAACTCTCGCAGTACAATGAAAATACTCGAAAAAACGAATTTTATAATAGAATTTTCCCACATTATTATACTATATTTGCAATGAAGGCATTTCAGTTTTTGCTAACTACCGAAGTTACGAAGTCAAGTCACGCTACACACTTTCCTTCATTGAATTTCCTCCATTTAACTCGACACTAACATACCATAGTTTTCCCGAAACTGCGCAAAATTATGCATCGAGACTCGAATTCATTCGCTCATTTTCGCCAGTAAGCCATTGTTTATTATGAGCTATTATGTACTGTTTACATATTCAGCAGTTTCTCTTACGACTTGCAGTTTGAGAGCCTGGGCCCCGTATAAAACGAATGTACTGTTATACATATTTCATCTTTCCAGGTTCCTGGGGAAGCGGTTAAAGATTAAATATTTCTTCAGGAGCCCGATAAAGCACTCGAATTGAGCTATCCTTTTAACGAGTAATTTGACAATGTGAAAAATGCGGCGCCTTGCTACTAGGTTATCTGTGTAAAGTTGATGAAAGTGGAAAGAAGCCCTTTAAGCGATAAAACGCCTTCGATTTGTACATATTCATGGAAACTTTAGGATATGTTACCCATCGGATGGGTAAACCCAAAGGGTACGCCTGCATAAAATCTTTCAGTAAAACCAAATAATATGTAAATTACAGGACATTTTAAAGATTCCTCCGTAGGAATCGAGACTGGTAATTTTCCGAAGTAAGCGAGGCCGAAATGTAAATGACACCATCCCTTAATTTGAAGGTGACGGTGGAGTTTTCTTTCCGAGATGCGGCGGTTCGTCGGGTGAAAAACTTTAATGGAGAAAAGCCTTTAATGGTTTCGACGCTCACCGTCCTATTAATTGCCTATAATTTTATCTAATCTCATTTTTTGCCGTCCGAAGAAACGTGTCAATTAATTAATTGGAAGGCGACGAAAGCGAGAAGAAGGAAATCCATTTTCGTCCGGAAAATATATTACCCAATTGATAGCCTTATTTGCAATTTAACCAAAAAGGGCTGTACTTATTAATATAATCGCTAATTTTATAAGGAACGTCGTCTCTTGTATTTGGCGATATCGATTCCTTCCGCATACGTTGAACTCAACGATCTCGTTAAAAAAGTATTTTAATTAAATAGCGAATGATGGAATTAGCGAGTCCGGTCATTTACGACTGCAGCTTTATAGATTACTGACTTAAAAGTTCCATTATCTAGCAGATAACGCCGTGGGGAGAAGTAAAATCCGATTATGCCGGATGCTGGACCTTCGTCCTTTATTATTTAGAGTTTAGGCGAACTTTATTTTCAATTTCATTTTTATCTTCTGCCACAATAAGTTCCTCTCCTAAAGCTAGAATTAAGATGAATAGGAGGTATAACGGCAGTAATATTTCGTCGGAGCAGAAGAATAAAAGCGGAAAAACTTGTCGCGTTTTGCTGCATCAAAAATTCGCGCTTTATACACTCGTAATTTCATCCTCGCGCACCGAAAGCGTCGTCAATTAATCTACTATAGTCTACGAGAAATTATTTTGGATGTAACGAGGAGACATCACCGAGAATAATATTATTTACAATAAAGTTTCTTAACTGAAAATTCATGTAGTAAGCATTAAAAGCCTGATTATATTGACAAAATTAATAAAAAATAATTTGATTAACATTCGCTGTGTACGCGGAAGATCGCTAATAAATTTCCCGTATGCCTGGAATAATCCCGAACCCATTAATATTAATTTTTGCGCGCCGAGGTTTCGCTAACACTCATTTATTAGTTTAATATAGTCGAAAAGCTGTAGGTATGTATATGCATAAACACACTGTCAACGTTATAAATTTAATGGCAGCATTCCCTTTTCCTGCTAAAATTTCATTAAAAGCGCTACAACAGTAGGTACGGCGAAATGAACTCGGCGCGAAATGCACAATTTAAAAATGTTGTGGAACAGGAAGCACGAATTTTCGTTTTATTTAAAGTAAATCTCATTGAAGTACTTCAAACGTAAAAAAGGAAATAATTTCGTATAAAATGTCACTGCTTTTATTAATTCTCTTTGATTTCCAATGCAGAAATATGTTAATTATTTAATGATACATTTTGATTTCCTAAGCTATGTTAATTAAGTGTTAAAGAAATAGATACTATTAGGAGGAGTATAGACGTAAAAAATGTAATTTGTATAAATGTAGGTGTAATTTAATAAAATAGCTTTACAAATGAGTTTTGTTTCACGTTATGCTTGTTTACTCAAAAATACAAGATGTAAAACCAACAATCAACAATAATGGATGTGTGTACAATATGAACAATATTACTGTAATTTTAATATGCCAGTAATTTAAAACATACAATATAAAATAATCGTTATTTTAAATTAATTTATGCAAATAAAATAAACGTAATAAATTTACATAAAGTTGTTTGTTCTATTATTTCGGCAAATATGCACTATTTTACTAAATCGATCAATCAAAATTGCAGGCCTGTTTAAATATTAGTAGAAAAGCTCACAATAAAAACGTAGGAAATAAAATAACGTACGTTACATTTTTACAGCGTAGTATTCTTCCCTCTCCCATAAATAATTCTTCCTTAGGAGTTCCATGTACTTGAGTATGGCTGAGTATACCTGAGCTTCTTAACGAACAAGAGTGTAACTTTAATTCGAACTTCGCTGAGCCCTAAGACATTAAAATTTGACGGTCCGAAGTTAGTGCACCGGCAATTCCGGCATTCGAACGAAGTTTTCCCGGAATATTCGTCTAATTCAATTGCGCTATTTTCTATTGAAACATTTCTCCACCACTTTTAATCCTTTACCATTAATTAATAGTCGTTTGTAACCATTAATGAGCGCTATTACAATGGAATACGGTTTTTATTATTGGAGTATTGCCTTATTTTTGTGCTATTACTGCTACTGTGTTGTCAGCAGGAGTTAAATTTGTTAAATTTTCAATTACTAATTTGAAATAATCATATTTTGTATACAGAGGTATTTGTTACACATTGTTTTAATTATTTTATCGATATTCGCGTTAAAATATGTTTTGTGGTAATGACATTTGTTATTGTTATGTGAAATAATAATATAATAAATAATACATTGAGACGTGAATTTTTATCCCATAAAACATGGTTCTTAAAGGTTTTTTGGGTGATGGTTTTTAAGGAGTTTTCAAGCGGTGATAAAGGAGAATTCAAGCCATTTTTTAGAGTTCCTCGGGATTTAAAAAAAAATTTTCAATAAACTAATTTGTTGTAGATATGTAAAATATTTCCACGCCATTTCCATATTACCTATACTAGAATGATATTCAATATGTACCAAATTAATAGATAATAATAATACAGTATACGTTTAACTTATCGCAGGGGAAATCTAATTACGCAATAAGGAACACTAAACTTGGAAAAAATCTAAAAAAGTCTAAAAAGGCTTATTAGACTAAATTCATTACTATCAGTAATCATATAGGCGGTAGTGAAGAAGTTTTAACATACTTTTACCTTCCCATACTACAAGCCATAAGTGTCAACCAACAACCTGTTCACATCAGTATTAGTAAGTTAGTAAAGAACTAAAATAAGTAAAAAAAAATAGAACTTATAGAACCTAAAAAAAATACTCACCTCAAAAAACATTAATCTATATTAACCTCTACAACATCGCAAATGTCCCTTAACAACAACGCTTTACTAAAAGTTTAGCGAAAATCCACAAGCATTAACACTAAATTACACCTATTAATCAGTACCACGCGAATCTCCAAGCGACCAAAACCCGCGCGAACCGCAATCAGTTTTCGGTTTTTCGCACTTACTGTTCGAAAGATCGCCCAAATACCTCGAGCGCCGTTCCCTCGTCGGCGCGATTTTTCCGGCCTCTGTACCGTGTCAGATCGTAAATGCGACGCGTCGAGGACGTCGCGAAAACTGCATGGCTCCGCCCGGACGGCAGAGCTACAAGCTCGGATTCTAGCGCGAACGACGCCGACGCCGGCCGATCGGAGCATCTCCGGAGCCCCGGAAACGACGGCCGTGAAATAGCTCCGGCGATGGGGGGATACTTAGCGCAGTATCGCGTTGCACCTTCTCGCCGGTTGCCGGTGGAGTGCAGTGAGCAGGCACTTTTCTGGTAGTTGCCCTAGGTAATTGCCTGATTGGATATCTATATCTAATTATTGTTTGGTAGGTTAATCGCAGCCAGAGGATGGGCTTAATCAAATCCATAACAAGCAAATATTATAATAGCAAAAGAATTTCTGCTCTACAAACTCGCTCTAAAATACTACTTCCCAAGTCATTCGAATACATTGAATGCGGAATTACTAGCACTGGGTTTCTGATGGAAGATAAAATGAGGAAGTTGCTGCACTATCAGGGCGTCTTAAATATTCAATCTGGAAAAACAAATATAAAACAAATTGTAAGTTGAGAATATACACAACATACACGAGCAAAAAAAGAAGAAGATACTGAAACTAGCATGATCAAATTTACTCGATTTTTCATGACGTTTCTCAGAACATTTACACATATTATTTTCTATTTGCTTCTATTTTATCTCATTCTCTAATATGCTCCAGTGTATTAGTCAATTAAATCTTTTGGCAAATAATTGCCACTCCTAGATAAATTATCCAGCTACATCCACAAGAACGTTAGGAGAATACAACAGCCAGTTGACGCATTGCCAGCTAGAGAGAAAAATCTCCCAAGCATCCGTTTGCAGCTATCTACCCGGTATTTCCACTGGTGGAAGGAGAAAACCAAAAAACCATCCGTCGAGTTCCACTAGTTGCTAATGGGCTACTTCGGAGTTGCGAGCGCGGAGAGAGGCTTTGAATAAAGATGGGACGCTAGATAGGTGTTCGAATTTGCGTGAGGTCGAGGCTGCCACGGAATTCTGTGATCCCCCGAAGAAGTTTCGTCGATTCGAGCCGAACGGGACCCGGAGAAATAAACGACGACTCGGATTGATAATATCATCTTTCCGTGATATAGTAGATGTACAAGGTGGCCCAATAAATTAGGACGTGGCGACTCTTCGATCTCGTTTTTTTTTGAGAAACTATGTAAAATAATTACTGATTTTTTTCCAAAAGCTCAAAATTACCAAATACATTATCCTCTCTATTTTTGTGACGTTTAGAATCGCTCTATAAATTTTATCGAGTTAAAACCTAAAAAAACAAACATAAAAATCCCATTCCTTAGCTATGAAATTCTTTCGAAACGAACTTTCCCGTTCCTTCAACTTTTTCATTAGACCCTTTGTTGTCGAATCAATAGACTTGAAAAAAATAAACCGCAACCCTAAAGAGAAATAATAGTCTAATCGAGTGGCGAAGAAACTTTTCACGTGAACTATTTCTTACTATTTAGAGGAGACCTTGCGCGTCCGGAATACTAAATGAGCTCGATCGACGTGGATGATGAGCTCTAATACATGAGATACCTAACATTTCGGCGACCCAAAACGGAAAGTGTCGTCTTACTTAACTGAAGAATAGATTATTCCGCAAGATAAGGTTCAATGATTTGTTTGTTAGATCGACTCTATTAGATTAGATAAGTTGTTTTCCTCTAATATTCCGCTGTTAGTCGAATTTAACGGCATTGTATAGTTTTGACCGAACACTCCCGACAGTTGATACCTATTTAAATGTAAGAAGAAGATAAAGAAAAATTAACATTAAAATTAATAAATTAGCAATGTCGCTGCAAAGAGGCCGTTTTTTCCGCGTTTGAAACTTTTAATTCTTAAGTAAGTAAGCCTCAAACATGACAAATTTGTCATTTTAATTTGTATCCTATCAATTCAATGGGGTTCAAGCACCTCATGAAATTGTAAATGATTACTTCTGTGAAGTCCCGGGACCAATTCGTTGCCGAAACGAGCGTAATTCCATCATGCCGGAAACGGGCATCTCGAGTGAAGATGCAGCGCAGCTGGAAAAAACCACCGACGATTTGGAAGACATCAACGTCTTCATATCGGACACCGAGTACAGCCAATTGAAGAAGGAGTGCAAGTTCAGCAAGCTCTTCGTCCAGCCGGAAGAAATGAGCCTGGAGGAGTTCGATTGCAAGATCAAGTTGCTGTACAAGTGCTGCTTGAGGGGCGTGCATGACCTGCACGATCTGCACCTGAGGCGGAAGATGGGCCTGAGGGTGCTGGATGATTTGACCGTGCGGGCGAAGCCGGAGTTTTTCGCTGTGAAGCACATAATCCATATCATTTGGAGCCTGATGAGCTGCATCCACCATTTCCAGTTACGGCTGAAAGTGGACAAGACCGGCCTGATATCCTGGATAAGGCAGAAACAAGTGCAACGGTGTTTTAAAATATACTACAGGTTGATCAAATTAATCAAGGAGCCGTGTCACAGGATCGCTTTGAATTCCATTATAACGTTTTATAAGGAAGGAAAATTGTGGGATGTAGAATTCGGCTGTACGGAAATGTTAATAGGAATATTCAAGGATCAAGGTCGCGCAGACGGCATCGACGACCTAATCTACACCATAGAACATTGCACCACAGTTAATATGAAAGAAGCCAAACATATGTTGCAACTTTTGAATAACATCTTAAGGAAACTAAAATGGAATAGCATTCCTGAAAATTTGCTCATGAAACTACTTGATATGGTAGAATGTAGCGTACTTCCTTACGAGGGGGACACCTTCAATTACATGCCTCTAAGAAGAAGCCTGGAAAATTGCTTGAGAAACATTATCAACAACCTAAATCGCAACGATTTAGTTAAATTAATATATCTCGTTACTTTACGATTGTATTACACCGGAGATGACGAGTCTAAATTAATCCAACCATTAGGCACAATGTGCATACAAGCTGCTTACAAATACAAATTGAAATCCATACAATGTCCTCTTCACGAAGGACCCTTACCTATTACCATCAGATTATTCGACGTGAATAATCCTGGCATACTGCGCGTGGCCGTGAAAATGTGGCAACATTTGCTCGATCGAAACAACAATTACGTACATTTCCAGACGCCCAAAATATTCTTCAGGGAATGCAACTACAACCTGCGCATCACCAAATGCAGCGACCAAGACAAAACCTTCTTCAAACAAGCCAAGAAGCAAATCTACGACCACATCATCAACGCCATTTTACTAACCAGCGACCGAGCGGGCCTGGAGAACGTGTTCACTGCCATCGCCGTGGCCCTCGTCGACATCCCCTGCGGCTACTCGGCCTCCTGCTTCGTGTCCGTCGCCATGAGCATCCAGGACTACGCCGTGCGCATAACCCAAACCAACCGGATCCGCTCCCATCACCTGCACGCCATCGTCCTGTCCATACTGACCCTGGTTTGCTACGTCCACAAGGCCCAAGTGCTCTACGACTACGTGATCGGCGTGATGGAGAAACGGGCCGAGTGGGCGCCCCATTTGAACCCGCCGCTGCGCCAGCACTACGTCTATTCGCAGCACCACGTCCTCTGGAACAAGCCGAACTTTTTCTTCGAGGACTGGGAGGCCAGGTTCGGCTTGTGGAAGTGCTTTAAGGGCTTAAAGAAGGGTGCCTAATGGCTAAGTCAAAATATTTAAATAAATCTATAGTAGAGTAATAGATCATTTCGAAAGTCTTATTGGAAATGAAAATTAGCCGAACAAGACTCTTTTGATTGCAATTCAATGGTTTTCTAAGGCGCTTTAAACGTATAATAGGCATTGGTACATAAGATATGATAAAAGTATAAGTTTATTATGCATTTCAAAATTTATTACATAGCTCAAAATACTCAAATTAGGTGACTCTGGTTAAGTGGATTTAACCGCGTTTTGTTCTCACTTCGTTCCATTCGTAGGCGTTGGGATCGTCTCCCAGCATTTTCTCCATCTCGTACAGTATTTGAGGATTCGAGAATAACTCCGGATCGTGCTCGTATCTGTCGGCTATCTCCGTCCATGAAGGAACTGGAAATCGAGCGAATGTAATTGAAATAATTGGAACGTAAATGGATATTGTACTTACACTTGAAATTTTTCGGTTGCATGTACGTTTTCTCGATTTCATCGTAACGGTTCTGGAAGTTAGAATTAATTGAATGGAAGAAGATGAACTGATTTTAATCAAGTTTTAAGTTTAATATCGTGGAAAAAGTAGAAATTTGAAAATGTCTTCTTTTCAGTAAATAAATATTCTTTGTACTCTTTTCTTTCCTCTTTCCTTCCTATCCAACTTGGATCCTTTGTTTTATGTAGTACTAAACCCAATTCTTTCCAATTTATATTTATTTAAAATGCCAAATTTATGAAACTTATTTGAAAATATTAAACAAAGAACTTGTTTTAACAAATCTCTTGATAATTTACTTACATCATTTCTTCGCCCGATTCTGGGCACGGATTTGGATGCCTTCAGGAAGAATTTCTCGAAATCCGTAGTGTCCTTGTTGCTCCTGCCGATCCTGGGCACGCTTTTGGCCGCCGTTAGAAACAAATTCGGTTGCTCCTCGAAGCAGTAATTCAGGTGGAATATGCACGCACTAAAGAGGAACAATTTTGGAAAAAACATTGTTGATTTACTGCGATTGTGTCAATGCGAATTTGGTAGTTTTATAACACTGTCGTCGATTAATTAACATTCTGGTGATGTAGTATGTTGACGAATATACTGGGAGTTAATAGCATCTGAATGTTATGATGGTAGAAGGATGAGATACACTGCTCTAAAATCGTCTCTGATCATAGCAAATAAAGAAAAAGGGATTAATGTAAATATTATTCAGATTATCAATATTCTACAGTATCATCATCTGTGTTGATCGAAATGTCTTGTTAATTCAAAATTAGGATATACTCTATTTAAAATGAATTTATTGAGAGCAGTGTATCCACCGTAAGCCCTCATGCCATTTTTAGTTTTTACAATGCACCTGGTTTTGTATGTGCATGTAATGTAACTCTGTTATAATGTGGAAACATCGACCTATTTGCAAAGTTAATTACATGTACAAATAAAGGTTAACGTACTTTTCATGGAGGTTCTTTAAAATAGTTCATCTGCCTCAAATGAAACTATATTATTTTTTGTATCAGTTTAAGAGTTTTATTATTCTTTTAGGGGTTCCTTAGGGGGTCCTAATAGGACTGATAAGGAATAGTTTAATACATTTTTATTAATTTGATATTAAGTTTAGTGATCACTAATCTTTATGAATCAGAATGAGTGAGAATAATTAAAGATTTTTGAAATTTTAAGGTTTATTTTAATTTTAAATGTTTTTTTATGTATGAGAGAGAAATTTATGCCATTTGTTTGTAAAATTATATAGTACCGTATATTTTATGCACAAAATTTATTAGTTCCAAACGTATAAAATATAATAAGAAAATTATCAAAATAATATTTGTAAAGCTGTTATATTTTTAAGGGCACACTCTCCCGGCACCCCTCTCGCACTTGCAAATAAATTACGGCACAATTTCTTTATTTCGATGGCTCAAATCGATTTTGTTACTACATTTCGATTCCAATCTAAAAGTTTTATTCGATCCGAATCATCGCACTGCAGCTTCTCGCTAATAGACGGCAGCACCAGCAACAAAATTCATTCATAATGTTATTTTCTTTCGACCAATAAGCAACATCCTATCACTTCCTATTCATCACATCGACTTCGTCATGTTTAATGTTTATTAATGATAATCTCGCGCTCCGGTAAGGTCGTATTTAGTGGTGTGTTAATTTTTATGTGCAGTTTGGAGTTCAAGTCTCGTGTTGGGGAACAAAACAAACAATAATCATGAGACTTTCGCCACACGTTTTCCAAAGCATCGCCAAGATGTTGGACTTTTATTCCCAATTTAACCCGTCGCCCCTGTCTATTAAAAAATTCATCGATTTCGGTGAGTTTCATATCAATTTCATTTAGTATTGAAGGGATTTATTTACATAATGATATATTAAACATACATTTCACCGGAGGTAATTTGTCTAAAATTGGGTGCATATTTTGCAGGTTATGTAGTGAAATTTAATATTATTTTTAGATTGAGTAAATTAATTCACCAGTTTAGGGATATTATTTTAAAAGGTTGATGAATGTGTGTAAGGTTTATCAAAGGTGCTATTGTCAGTGTTGATGATAAAGAATACATAAGTTGATAGAAAATGTCTGTGAATGCGATTATTCAACCAATGATTTATTTTTATTACTTATACATATAAATTTTATAAATTTTATTTTTTTACTCTACATACAGGACGTTAATTAATTAAATGCCGATACTTCAGGATGTGGTACGCCACTGTTTTTTCAAAAAACCAAAATTATATTTAAACCTTGTTTATTTTGTAGAAAATTCGGTCAGAAGACTTACTTTCGTACGACGCACTATTTTCGCGTAAAAAAATAAAAACCAAAACAATTTTTCCCAAGTTCATTTGAGACTGCCTTTGATATTTTGTTGAAATTTGGTAGTCGCCTACCATGCATGGAAACTTTTTTTGGGGTTAAAAATTAATTTTCTTCTATTACCAGTGACGTCCACGTCTGAAATTTTATAAAAAATATCTGGAGTAATAAGAAAATTATGATAGAAAAGTTATTTTTTTCTAAAATTTTAACACCCTGTAACTCGAAAACTAAGAGGCTTAGGACTTACATTGATTACTTTTCTTCTTAAAACCATCCAAATATTCAGATCCTGAAGTATCGGCATTCAATTAATTAACACCCTATATAATAAATAAGAATGTTAAATTATAAGAATTTGGATGGTCAGAGTAAATTATTCTTGTGATGGTCCTGTCTTCGAGTTTTTCGAAATGCTTCGTGTTATTTCGAATTATATAAAATATTTAATTACAATAAATATGACCCATTTTAGCGTTATGTATTAAATTTATCAAAATTAAAGCAAATTTAATCACCAAATTTAATTAATGATAAAGAAAAAGTTTTATTGCAAATTGCAAAATTTTATCTTCAAAAGAGAACTGTAATTGAAGCATTTTGGCTTGGTAATATTAATTGGCTTGTTTGTATACAAATTATTTCGAATTTTCCAGCTTGTTTTCCTCTAATCGTAAATCCATTCTACACTAATCTAGACAAGTCTTGTTAATTCGATAAAATCAATCAACAAGATAATACTTGTTAATTGAAAATGTAAGATAGTACTAGTTAGCCAAATTATGATGTTAATCATACAAGATTGGCCTTTATCCAAATTGAAATTTCTACAGATTACAACAGAAAGTATATCAGGGAAACGACAGTATTATTTAATGTAAATTATTTATATAATTTAAAAAAATGCTCGTGTTTTAAGTTGCGGGATAAAGTGTATAATAGATTATCTCTATAAATAACGTTTAATCCCATACCGTATGTAATTGTTTGGTTTCCAAACGCACCTTGGCAGCGTCTATTGATCACGTAAACGTCCAAAGTTCCCTAGTTTATTTTCAAATATTAGTTAATAAAATGTGCTGTAACAAATTGAATTCCACCTATAGAATTCCCCTGAATCCCCCGTTTTAGGTCAGTAAACATGCGAATACTGTTGTAGTAAAGTCCAGGAAAATAAAATAATTTCTGGTCGTTTCCAAGTGGATTTTTAGGCTTAAGCAAATATTATGCTGTGTGTTTTTTTTGGTGTAATTTAAAATACGATATTTTCGTTTCTCGAAAAATGACTAAGCTGGGTAGTATTAAGATATTAAAATCTATTTTGTTTAAGGATTAGTTTTTAAATTGGTCTGAAAATCCTAGCCAAAATTTAATTGTCGCTATTTCTAATTTTTCAAGTCCGTGTAAGGTCAAGTTCACTGTAAGTTTTTCGTTATATTTAAGCTTAAATTCGTGACATTTCGCGTTCAAGGATAAAATCCAGCACATTATTGATTTTATTTGGGATAGGTAAGTACAGGGTGTACTCAAATGGATGTTACTTCAATACTTATTGCAGATACAAGGTTGCCCTTTTTTCTAATTCATTTCCACAGTTTTGTTATGCAAAAATTAAAAAATAATTCCCGTTTTGGTATACAACTTTATTTTATCTCGTTTGATCGGTATCCTGTCATTACACATAGAAACCGCCTTGATTAAACGTTTCTAAATTTAAGAGGCCCATGGCCAATCAATATGAAACAAGTTCTTATTCCATCAACAACTCAAATACTACAATTAATATTTAACTACCTACTAGAGTATAATACAATTCCGAGTACAATTTTTTTTTCAGTATTGTCCTTGAGCGAGTTCATTAAAATTACAGGATGAGAGACAATTATTCAATTCAAATCTCCACAATGCCTAAAAATTTCAACGGAACCTGTCCTGTTTTTTATAAGTATGCTATAACAATTTTTAGATAAACAATAATAGCATCCATTCTTCTAATCTCTATTTGTATTTTGCTCAGTTGCCGCATCGCAGTTTTATCCTAATAAAAAATAGCCTCCTTTTACGTAATGAGCAGCTTGACCTACAGATGTTCCAAGTATTGGCAACGCCGGAAATGGACTTTGGATCATGACAATTACCCAAGCAAACACAGGGAATTTCTCTCTGTTGTAAACAAAAACAATTTCCGATGTTTTTTAATATACAACGCGCCTGCGATTATTTTTATGAACAATAGCGAGTAACTTTGACGTCTCATCCAATAAACAAACATTTTTTGTTGAATGTTTAATTATATTTCCAATTTTGATAATTTCCTAAAACGGGAATATCTAATTAAGAGATGTTTATTTTGTACATTTGTTCAATTTTTGTAGCTTCCTTATTAATGGTAATTGGTAATTGTGGATATTTTTTTGTATGGCCGCTGTATTTTGTAGAAAATTTTATTTAATATTTTACAGGATTTGAGCAATATATCCCATAATTTCACTTTATTTTTTAGCTTTTATGGCTGTAATTTCATCTCTAATGCCTTCAATACATACATATTTTTTTAGAAATAAATTAAATTCTATTACATATTAATCTTATTTCTGATTACTACATTCAATAGAATATTGCTATGTTTATATTTTTTGGAGATTTCAAAATCCACTTAGATTGTTTATTTTTGTTATATTATTATTAGTTTTTGTCATTATCTAATCGACTGTACTAATCTATTTCAAAAACAAATAGGTTATTCTTGATACAAGTTATCAGCGGCAGCATTACATTCAAGTAAATACTTAAAGAGTTACATTTTACACTTAAATAATATCTAAATTATCTACAGATCAATAGGGGCAACAACTTCCATTACCTAAGTGTTGAATTAAGCTATTCCTGTCGATCTGTACCTTAAACAATGGTTTTAAAACCATAAAACCTATTTAAAGCAACAGCAGGGTTCTCGAAGCTAAACCTATCTTCCTTCACTTCTTTTTATGCATATATCTTGAAATAATTCCTTTATTTTTTGAAAGCAAAAGCTTATGCTTCTTTTTAAAAATACGGTCTATTGTCGAGGCAATAATGTACTAACTACCGAGTTGTTTCAGGTCTGAACGCGTCCGAGAAGAAATCGTTCGTGTTCCTGCGCAAGGAGCTGCCCGTGCGGCTGGCCAACATCATGAAGGAGATCGCCCTGTTGCCGGAGAACCTGCTGCGGATGCCCAGCGTGGTCGCCGTCAACGATTGGTACATGCGCAGCTTCCAGGAGATCATCGAATTCGAGAAGAGGGACGCGAACGAAGAGACGATGGAGCACTTCTGCAACGAGCTGGTCAAAATCCGCAACAGGCATTCCAACGTGGTGGAGACGATGGCGAAGGGCGTGCTGGAGCTGAAGGACTCCCACGACGTCGACCACCACACCGAGCACAGCATTCAATATTTTTTGGATAGGTTTTACATGTCGAGAATATCGATCAGGATGTTGATTAATCAGCACAGTAAGTGTTTGGTGATTTCGATTTAGGGATTTTTATACACTATACTTGATAAGCCAAGAGGATTATTACATACATACATATCACAAGTGTATATTCTGGTTAGCAACAACTACTTATACTCCTATGAATAATATTTGATATTCTAATTTGGTTTAATAAAATAAATAGGAGTGCTGGAGAGTTGTTAAAAGTTTATTGCGCTTGATTCATTCAATTATGACGAATTTATAATAGACGAGTTAACTACATTTTGTGTTCATTATTCGAAGTTTTCGAGCTTTGTTTAATGAGCGTTTCCTGATGTTTCGAGTTTGAATACAAATCGAATGCGTTCGATTAAAAAAACCAGTTCAATTGTTACCGTAATATATGAAATCAAAACAATATTGATTTTCACATTAATTATGAATCTGCTTATATGCGAGACGTTTCGTAAACTTTATTTTTTAATGTCATTGTATAATAAATACAGGGTCGTATTTATTGATAGTGAGAAGTACGTGCGCGCATTGATTAATACCGATTCTCAAATATGGTAAATTTCATTGTAAATATATGACCTCATCCTTCCTAAATTACTTGATAAATATTTACGTATAACAGCTATTATGAAATCTACCGAAATGGGTTCTAATTGCGGGAAAATTTTCTTTCGGCGAATTTGCTTTGTTCCTAATTAATTGATAACAAATTTTCTTATGAATTTCGTAAATTTGTTCAGCCTTCAACCGGTTTGTCGCGGTCATGTTAAACCAATTTAAAATCGGTAAATAATTAGGCACTACATTTAGTCAGACAATTCCTGTAATTTTCGATTGTCCACGCAATAAACTAGATGATAATAGCCTATTAATTTCCCCCAGTCTCATATTTTTCGCGTGAGAAAATATCAACGGGTGTTGCAAAATAAAATAACCGCGTCATAATATCGTATATTGATGTAGACAGTTCCCGAATTATTTTTCGTTCGCATTTTTCCACGCAGCTTGCGTCACGATGGCGAAAATAAAATCGACGAACTTCTTGACACTCGGACGGACGTGTTTCTTCGAACAATTTCCAGTTTTTTCGCGTCCTTTTGCGTTTAAATCATACTAATTGTATTGAAGTCTACTTATTTTCAGCTTTGCTATTCGGCGGCCAGTTGGAGAGCGCGCCGGGGCCAAATCGAAGCAAATACATCGGTTGCATAGACACCCAGTGCGACGTCGTCAGCGTTATCAAAGATGCTTACGAAAACGCCAGATTTCTCTGTGATCAATACTATTTAGCCTCACCTGACCTCATCATTGATGTATCCAGACACAATGGTAAATCATTTTGATACATCTTGTATTCCCCATTCAGTAGATACTCAACTACTTTTCAATGGTGAAAGTCTCTCTTTATTTGAGCCAAGTTCTGGAAGAAGAATATTTTTACTTGAATTTTAAAATGAATTAGTAGTAATTTTTTTATGATAATTGCTTATTTTTTATAAAAATATGCGAAGATCTGAGTATTTTATCATTAGTAATTATTAAAATTGTTATTGTTGTAGATTTCGTAATCGAATTAAAAAAAACCCGTCGATTTATCATTACATACGGTTAGATAGTTAGATAATTGACCTTGTTTTGCTATTTTTCCTGTAATATTCTATTGGAAACAATTAATTGTTATCGCCAAGTGAATAAAAAATACGTCTGGTAATTTACTAAAAAATCCTTTCTCGTCTGCCTATTTTGGAACATTCGAAAATACATTACTCACATTGCTGGATATCGAATAAAATAAATTTTTATTATTAGAAATGTTTTCGGTACCAAATTCTATACAGTTCCATTAATTTTAATTATCAAATAAAATTACAAACTGCCCGTTTACCTTCAACTAAAATTATGTTTTGATTTTTAGAATTGGAAGAAGAGGAACACAACAAGACTAACATAGTATACGTGCCATCGCATCTTTATCACATGCTATTTGAATTATTCAAGAACTCCATGAGAGCAGTGTTGGAATACCACGGATCTTGTGATCAATATCCGCCTATAACTGTAACAGTATCCAAAGGAAGGGAAGACATGTGCGTGAAAGTAAGTTGAAGAAAAATTTCATTGGTTTCTCCGACCTGTTCTACTCTATTCTACCCTATTTTACTCTATTCTACTCTACTCTATTCTCCTTTATTCTCTTCTATTCTACCATAATTTCTTACCATAGTGTTCTACTCTACCCTACTATATTCTAATCTATTCTAATCTATTTTATTCTACCCTACACTATTCTCCTTTACTCTCTTCTACTCTAACATAGCCTACCAAATGAACTCGTTCGTTAAAACAACTCCAAAAATTTTCTATTTCTTTCAAAGTTTTCAGTGAACTAAATCCTCCATTTTTTACCTGAAATATTCTCGCGTCCAATTTATCACAGCCGAGTCTAAAAGAGATCCTAAATTAGGGTTAGCATGTACATTAAAATAATTCAATACCTATAGTTCATTAAAATCTAATTGGAAGAATGTTTTACTTTTTGCCTGTTATTTTTTTCTCTTTATTTGTGTACTCTTTAGCTTATTTTATTTTCATCCAAATATCTGACTGACGCGCTTTGGATTTTACGCAATGTGTAAATGAACTTGAACCAATAATGTGCACGAAAACAAATAAGTCGATTACCATTTTGCGATAACAATAATTTCGAAGTGCGTTATGAAAGCTTGATTATTGTTTGTACACTGTATTAATTATCTTTAAAAAAAATCATCAAATGTTTGTTACATTCTTCTTCTACTGTGTAATATTTATCTATTTTTTATTACAAATGCAATGCTATTTATTTAGAAAAAAAACGCATTGAGTAAGTGCAGTTTGAACAATTAATTGCCACTAAAAAAACAACAACAAGTAATATAAATGACGGTTTTTCTAGGTAAATGTTTACTCCACACTTTTCCACTTGCCTTAATAAGTAGGTACATAAAATGATAACAAACAATATACGATACTTTTAAAATTTAATATCTACAGAATTTCATTGTTATTGTCGGTAACAATACTGTTGCGGGTAAAGTTAGATAAACGACTAAACCTAGGTTTACCCGGGTAAGGTGCGAAATGCAGGTAAGGTAAGTTAGTGTAGGGTCAGGTAGAGTGGGTTTCTTTTTGCATAACGGGAACCCAAGAAGGTATTTCGAGAAGAAGGTTATTTCGCATTTTACCCAGGTAAACCTAAATTTAGTCATTTATCTATAACTTTACCCGTAACATACATATTATTACGATTACCTGTAATGGTTTTCCTTTAAAAACCATACCGAGGTTTGTACACAAACAAAAACCTATTTGTACCGTTTGGACCACGTTTTTACATACCTAATAATTTCTAATTTTATTGCCAACTTCATCGTATTCTTCGCGCATTTCCAGATGTCTGATAAGGGAGGCGGTATTCCCCGATCGACGACCGACCACCTGTTCAAGTACATGTACTCCACGGCGCCCCAGCCGAGCAAATCGGACGCCCACACGGTACCGCTAGCCGGCTACGGGTACGGCCTGCCGATATCCAGACTGTACGCGCGGTACTTCCACGGCGATTTGGTGCTGCTGTCGTGCGAAGGGTACGGCACCGATGCCGTCGTTTACATGAAGGTCGGTAGACTCGTCCGGGTTTCCGCCGGCGAATTTCTGTTAAACCGCTCGATTTGTACGCAGGCACTTTCGAACGAGGCCAACGAGTTGCTGCCGATATTCAACAAGACGACGTCGAAGTTCTACAGGACTGTGGTGCAGACCAACGACTGGTCGAATCAGTGCACGGTGATCGGGGAGCGAACGATCAGCACGAAGCACAGGAGTCACCAGTTGCCGCAGTCCGGTAAAGAGTCGATAAGAGCTTTATAGTATTTGGACGACGACGAGTAATTTAGATTAATTTAAGTTTGTTATTTCGTTTTTTTTTCTTTGGTTATTTCGTGGGCGAGGAGATGCGGAATGCGTTATAGGTGTGGAAGAGCATTTTTGACGAGTTTATTTATTAAAATATCATATTTAACTTTTTAAATTGTAATATATATTAAAATTATGTTTTTCCCTTCAATTGTGATATTATATTATATAAATATATGTAGAAATAATAACGAGATTTTATTTATTCGTAAGTTTGTAAGTAAATTGTGTAAGAATGCAGGGTGATTCTATAATACAGGGTGTTCCTAAACATCTTGTACACCCGAAATGGGGTAATTCTCTGGCTTATTTCATGACTAAAAGTTCATATAAACGTAGGTGCGCTAACGCTTCGTGACCGATCTACAGGGTGTTGAAATTTCAAGATTTTTCCTCCTTTTTTTCTTTGTAGATCCTGCAGATTTTGAGATATTTAGCTCAAATTTGGTATAGGGCATGGGGTATAATTTGAGTAAAAGGTGGTCACCTTCAACATTTGTTATAATGTAGTTTTTAGAGTTTTTGATTTGTAAAATAAATGATTTGTAGATACATAAAGTCTTTTTTATTTTATCCATAACGGTCGTAGAAACAAAAAAGTTTCTAAACAAAAAAGAGAATTCATTTTTTATTTTGGCATCTACCAGCAGCGCACAACAAAAAAGTTGAAAGAGAGTTTCAAAGACTCCTTGAAATTTCAATACCCTGTAGATCGGTAACGAAGCGTTTGCGAACCTATTTTTATACGAACTTTTAGTCATGAAATGAGCCAAAGAATTATCCCCTTTCGGATATGCACTAAGTTTAGGAACACTTTGTATATTCCATTAAATTTGTCTAATTTTTAGGTTAAATTTCCACATTTTCTCTTAGATTCCTTGATCTTGAAACACCCTGTATCAAATTTACTTTTCAGCCCCAGATTGGGGAAATGTACTTTGCATTGAAAATTTAATACAGACGCATTTGTAATTTTTATTATTCTGTGACAAAATATTAGGAAAATCGTTAAAATTTAAAACTATTCCAATGTTATTCTAAATTCTAGGCACATCTGGCACATTTTTGTACTGGATTTGCATTATTTATGATATCTATTAAATAAAAATTAAATATTTTCAAAAAAAAATAATGTTATTCCTTCAAGCAACAGTGGCCTTTGTGTTATCGGTTTTTAATTTTAGAAAATAATTACTAACTAATATTTAAACTATTTAAACTAATTTTAGCGTTAGTGAAGTTAAAACTCACCTTGTGCAGTTAGTTCTAATATACACTGGAATAATTCTTTTATATCAGTATTAGTGGAAAATGTCTGTTAGAATAAACAACAGTGATACTAACAAACTTTACACCCCTGTTAATACCGGACGCACCTTCAAGTAATTATAATTTTAATTAAAGGCGATTCAAAATTATTAAAACAATTTGGAAAATACTTTTCAGATATGAAGGTGGCGTCACCTGGCAATTTTGGAAAAAAAAGCGGTACATCATAAGTGTGTTGGGATTTTTCGGGTTCTTTAATGTATTCGCTTTACGATCAAACATAAGTATTGCCCTAGTCGACATGATTTCTTTGAAAAATCGCACTTTGGAAAATGGCACTGTCATTCAAGTAAGTTCTTCTACCATGGTGAATAGTTTAGAGTCATTTAGAACTGTCTAGAACCATTTAGAACGCTTCAGAATCAATTCGAACTGTTTAGAACGCTCGAGAATCATATAAAGATGTCCAAAGCCATTTAGAACACTCTATAGTCTTTTATAACGCTCCAGAATTATTTAGAACTATCTAGAACGTCCCAGAATCCACTATAAACAACTATTCGTAGGAAAGAGACTTTGATTGGGATCCTGTTCAACTGGGCTACGCCTTGAGCGCATTTTTCTATGGCTACGTTTTTACTCAAATTTTGGGAGGTTACTTGGCCACAAAATTCGGAGGCTCTAAGATTTTCGGTATCGGCATAGCCGCTACAGCAGTTTTCACATTGCTTACGCCATGGGCAGCCAAAACGAATTTTTACTGCTTGTTGGTGATCCGAATTCTAGAAGGATTATGCGAGGTTGGAGTGACGGTTGTCAATTTGTATAGAACTAATACATTCATAATTTTAGGGCATTAATTACCCGGCATCGATGGCAATTTGGGCGAAATGGGCGCCTCCTCTGGAGAAAGCTCGGTTAACAGCTATATGCATTTCGGGTACTTTCGTCGGAACTGTGGTGGCTATGCCAGTTAGTTCTTTATTAGCGTCCTATTTAGGCTGGGAAAGCATATTTTATGTATTTGGTGTGTGCACAAACAATTCATCCCTACCAAGCAATATAATTTAAACAAACTTTTAGGCGCAATAGCAGTTTTTTGGTATGTTATTTGGCTTATTGTGGTAAAGGAATCCCCCTCCGAAGATTCGCGAATCGATCCTGACGAACTAATTTACATCAATGAGGCAATTAACGCCACTAAATGTACATCTAAACCCGTGGTTCCTTGGCGATCTTTACTAACCACAAAAGCTGTATGGGCTATATCGATAGCCTTGACATGCGAGAACTGGGGTTTCCACACGATGGTTGCATTTTTACCGCAAATGATGAAATGTAAATGTCCCCTGCGAGTTTTTAGAGTTTTCAATAACAAGTTTCCTAATTTTTGCAGCTGCTTTAGACTTCGATTTGAACAAGTCCGGGGCCCTTTCGGCGTTGCCTTACGTCGCCATGGCAATTGCCATGCAGTTGGGCGGGCACCTATCGGACAGGATGATCGAGAAGCGATATATGACAGTAACTAATGTCAGAAAATCGGTGGTTTTTATCGGATTTGTTTGTCAATCAGTGTGCCTGTTTTCAGCGGCTAATTGGATATCACCAACAGTGACTCCTACCTTCGTGGTATTCGGAGCATCATTCGCAGGATTGGCGGTGTCTGGGATACCGTAGGTATTTTTTGGGTCCATTAATTGCTAATTATTTGCAACATTTCGTTTAGGGTGAATGCTTTGGACATTGCACCTCAATTTGCGAGCGTTATATTCGGCATTAGCAACACCTGTGGGGCCATTCCTGGAATCGTTAGCCCTATATTAACGGGTTACATTGTTACGGATTTAGTAAATTTATGATAAAAATTGAGTTCAAATCGGGATTTTTTAATACTTTTTTTTGTAGAAGAATGTTGATCAGTGGAAGATAGTACTTTATATTGCATCAGGAATATATTTTGCAGGCGCTTTAGTGAGTTTAATTTTTATATCGGGAGAAGAACAATCATGGGCTAAAACAGATGATCCTGCTGATTAAAGTCGTTAATGGATTTTTATGTCAATTTGCCTTATTTTCTAGAGACTATTTTTTAATGAAAGAATTTCGGTAATAGGACACCTATATTAAATATTATTTCAATGACTCCACATTATCTGTAACATTTACTTTTATTGTTCTTCACGTTAATAAATGAGTATGTTATTTGGTTAACTGTGGTAAAGAACGCCCCTTTTCAAGATCCACAAATCCATCCCGACGAATTAGATCAGTAATGCAATTGTAGCAACTAAAGCTGGTAAAAATACAGCTATTCCTTCGAAATCTTTACTGACATCAAAGTCTGTATTGGCTATATCGATAATATTAGGTGCAGACAATTGGAGTTTCCATACGTTAGTAGCGTTTTTACCCCAAGTGATGAAATGTAAATAACTGTTGTATTATAAATTGCAGGATACCGTATGAATTTTAATAATATTTCAGATGCTTTGAATTTTGATTTGAACGAATCTGGCGTTCTATCTGCTCTTCCTTACGTAGCGATGGACGTTTTAATGCTATTAGGAGGACAGATATCGGACTGGTTCATCAGGAAAAAGTTTTTAACCTTAACTAATGTTAGAAAAGCTGTTACTGTTATAGGATTTATTGGCGGATCTGTTAGCCTATTTGCCTCAGCCGAATGGTTATCACCTACACTGACCCCTATTTTAGTAGTTCTAGGGGTAATTCCTTTTGGCTTATTTTATGACTTAAATTTCATAAAACATATACATAGTGTCCATATTCGAGCCCTGCAAACAGTAGAAAGAGAGAATCAGTCGAACTGTGGAGAACGCTTACCGATCTACAGGGTATTGAAATTTCAAGATTTTTTTGTTTTTTATAGCTCCTGCAGTTTTTGACATATTTAGCTCAAATTTGGTATACGGTATATGGTATATGTACTTTAAGTAGATTGAGGTCACTTTCAAAATTTGTTATAATGTGGTATAATGTAGATTATTATTTAGAGTTTTTGTATTCTAAAATAAATCAGTTGTACAGAAAATCGTTTTTATTTTTTTTTTCTCGATAACAGTCGCAGAAACGAAAAAATTTTACAAACTATCTATATTCCAATTTGAGGTAAATATCTCAAAAACTGCAGGAGCCACAAAGAAAAATTTTGAAATGTCGGCACCCTGTTGATCGGTAGAGCCGAAGAATTACCCCCCTTCGGATATGCACAATGTTTAGAAACATCCTGTATATTCCACTAAACTTGTCTAATTTTTAGGTTAAATTTCCACATTTTCTCTTAGATTCCTTGAACCCGAAACACCCTGTATCAAATTTACTTTTCAGCTCCAGATTGGGGAAATGTACTTTGCATAAAAAATTTGAATAAAAATTCCATTGAATAAAAAACAAATATTTTTTATCTATGTTTTATCGGTTTTTAATTTTTGAAAATAATTACTAATATTTAAAACTATTTAAAATTTAATATTAGCATTAGTGAAGTTAAAACTCACTGGAATAATTCTTATACATCAATTAGTGGAAAATGCCGGTTAGAATAAACAACAGTGATACAAACAAACTTTACACCCCTGTTATTACCAGACGCACCTTCAAGTAATTATAATTTTAATTAAAGGCGATTCAAAATTATTAAAACAATTTGGAAAATACTTTTCAGATATGAAGGTGGCGTCACCTGGCAATTTTGGAAAAAAAAGCGGTACATCATAAGTGTGCTGGGATTTTTCGGGTTCTTTAATGTATTCGCTTTACGATCAAACATAAGTATTGCCCTAGTCGACATGATTTCTTTGAAAAATCGCACTTTGGAAAATGGCACTGTCATTCAAGTAAGTTCTTCTACCAGGGTGAATAGTTAGAATCATTTAGAACTGTCTAGAACCATTTAGAACGCTCCAGAATCAATATTAGAACTGTTTCGAACCCTTCAGAACCATTTAGAATGCTCCATAATCGTTTAGAACTGTCTAGAACCATTGAGAACGCTCCATAGTCGTTTAGAACGCTCCAGAATCAATTAGAACTATTTAGAACCATTTAGAATGCCCCGGAATCTACTTGACCGGTCCAAAACTTAAGATTTCTCGCGATAAGAAAATCGCGTTCTTTCATTGTCGGTCCGAGAACTTTTCACCTTGCTCTTACCCTTAAATCCACTATAAACAAATATTCGTAGGAAAGCGAGTTTGATTGGGATCCTGTTCAACTGGGCTACGTCCTGAGCGCATTTTTCTACGGCTACATTTTAACTCAAATTTTGGGAGGTTACTTGGCCGCAAAATTCGGAGGCTCTAAGATTTTCGGTATCGGCATAGCCGCTACAGCAGTTTTCACATTGCTTACGCCCTGGGCAGCCAAGACGAATTTTTACTACTTGATGGTGATTCGAATTCTAGAAGGATTATCCGAGGTTTGAGTGTCGGTTGTTAATTTGTATGGAACTAATTCCTATTTTAGGGCGTTAATTACCCGGCATCGATGGCAATTTGGGCGAAATGGGCGCCTCCTCTGGAGAAAGCTCGGTTAACAACCATATGCATTTCGGGTACTTTCGTCGGAACTGTGGTGGCTATGCCAGTTAGTTCTTTATTAGCGTCCTATTTAGGCTGGGAAAGCATATTTTATGTATTTGGTGTGTGCCCAAAACAATTAATCCCTACCAAGCAATATAATTTAAACAAACTTTTAGGCGCAATAGCCGTTTTTTGGTATGTTATTTGGCTAATTGTGGTAAAGGATTCCCCCTCCGAAGATTCGCGAATCGATCCTGACGAACTAATTTACATCAACGAGGCAATTAACGCCACAAAATGTACATCTAAACCCGTGGTTCCTTGGCGATCTTTGTTAACCACGAAAGCTGTATGGGCTACATCGATGGCTTTGAGTTGCGAGAACTGGGGTTTTCACACGCTGGTGGCATTTTTACCGCAAATGATGAAATGTAAATAATTGTGCACAGCGAGTTACTAGAGTTTTTAATAACAAGTTTCCTAATTTTTGCAGCTGCTTTAGACTTCGATTTGAACAAGTCCGGAGCTCTTTCGGCGTTGCCTTACGTCGCCATGGCAATTACCATGCAGTTGGGTGGGTACATATCGGACAGGATGATCGAGAAGCGATATATGACAGTAACTAATGTCAGAAAATCGGTGGTTTTTATCGGATTTGTCTGTCAATCAGTGTGCCTGTTTTCAGCGGCTAATTGGATATCACCGACAGTGACTCCTACCTTCGTGGTATTCGGAGCAACATTCGGAGGATTGGCGCTGTCTGGAATACCGTAGGTATTTTTCAGATTTATTAATTGCTAATTATCAGCAACACTTCGTTTAGGGTGAATGCTTTGGATATTGCTCCTCAATTTGCGAGTATTATACTTGGCATTAGCAACACCTGCGGGGCCATTCCTGGAATCGTTAGCCCTATCTTAACGGGTTACATTGTTACGGATTTAGTAAGTTTATGATAAAAATTAAGTTCAAATCGGGATTTTTTAATACTTTTTTTTTTGTAGAAGAATGTTGACCAGTGGAAGATAGTATTTTATATTGCATCAGGAATATATTTTGTAGGCGCTTTAGTGAGTTTAATTTTTTTGTCGGGGGAAGAACAATCGTGGGCTAAAACAGATGATCCTGCTGATTAAAGTCGTTAATGGATTTTGTATGTAAATTTGCCATATTTTCTAGGGACTATTTTTTAATAAAAGGATTTATTCAGTAGGAGACCTATATTAGATATTATTTCAATGACTCCATATCTGTAACATTACTTTTGTTGTTATTCATGTAAATATGAGTCGCAGGTAATTATTGTGAATTTGTAATTTAACTCCTGTAGTAATTATATGTATACGTAGTGACTATGTTTTACCGTTTACTTAAGTTTTTAATTACAGCAATTTTTATTAATAATACCCCAGTAAAATTAGATCAACAGCAAAACCATTTTTATATGCAAATTGAGTAAATACTTAATTCCAAGTCCAGTCAATTCCAAATTTTATTGGACTATAACAAAACATAGTTCCCTCTTTAATTTTTGTTGTTTACTTATTGCTGAGTACATCATTATCTCATTCAGTATACCTACCTTACTTTTTTGAACAAATGACAGTAATGAAAAGTTAATAACTATAATTTTGGTAAAACATTTAAACTAAATAATTAAATAGTTACAAAAAAATGCCACCTACAAAAACCGATTACGATACAAATAAAGTTTATACAGCTGTTAGTACTGGATACACACTAAAGTAATTATTGCATAGTTTCTTTATTTAGATGAATTTATTAATTTCATTAGGTATATTGTGCACAGGTCTTTTACCTCCTTTTTAAAACTTTTCTAATTTAATTTTAGACATACTGGCGAGTTTACATGGAAAATTTGGAATAGAAAGCGGTACATTATATCTATCCTAACATTTTTTGGTTTCTTCAATGTATTCACTTTGAGATCAAACATCAGTATTGCTCTCGTTGATATGATTTCATTGAAAAACATCACTTTTCCAAACACCACTGTGGTCGAAGTAAGATTTTAAATTATTTTCCTGATACTTTTAAGCTAAGCTTTTATTACTAGTAGATTATTTTTTCTGCATAGAAGAAAGAATTCGATTGGCAACCAGTCCAGTTGGGATACGTACTGAGTTCGTTTTATTACGGTTACGTTTTAACGCAAATTTTAGGGGGTTATTTGGCAGCGAAATTCGGAGGGGCCAAAATATACGGAATAGGAATTGCTGGCACTGCTATTTTCACATTAGCTACACCTTGGGCAGCCAAGACCAGCATCTACTGTCTGATAGCCATTAGAACTGTAGAAGGACTTTTCGAGGTAAGTAATTGAATTATCTGATTGAAACCCTTTGAATTTTATTGTAAAATCGTTGATAATAGGGGGTTGTTTATCCTTCATCGATGGCAATTTGGGCGAATTGGGCGCCCCCCCTGGAGAAAACCCGTTTAACATCGATCTGTTTATCTGGTGCATACGTGGGAACTGTTGTAGCTATGCCAACTAGTTCTTTATTGGCTTCGTATTTCGGCTGGGAAAGCATCTTTTATGTTTTCGGTGCGTACTTGGTATCATCTTAATATAATAATTTTATAATTGGCCAACGTTTTAGGTGGAATTGCTGTATTGTGGTATGTTATTTGGTTAATTGTGGTAAGGGAATCCCCTTCTCAAGATCCACGAATCCATCCCGACGAATTAGATTACATAAGTAATGCAATTGTAGCAACTAAAACTGGTAAAAACACAGCTATTCCTTGGAAAGCTTTACTGACATCAAAGTCTGTATGGGCTATATCGATAATATTAGGTGCAGACAATTGGAGTTTTCATACGTTAGTAGCGTTTTTACCCCAAGTGATGAAATGTAAATAACTATTGTATTATAAATTGCAGGATACCGTATGAATTTTAATAATATTTCAGATGCTTTGAATTTTGATTTGAACGAATCTGGCGTTCTATCTGCTCTTCCTTACGTAGCGATGGCCGTTTTAATGCTATTAGGAGGACAGATATCGGACTGGTTTATCAGGAAAAAGTTTATAACTGTAACTAATGTTAGAAAAGCTGTTGTTGTTGTTGTTGTTGTTTTTTCGGGCAGGTCTTTTCAGCCCCGTGACCACCTAGATCTAAAGACCTTCTGTAGTTTCCCGCTGTTTCCTAAGGTCATTGATTCTGCCAGAGGTCGCAGGTATTTGCAAACCTCAGCAGTTCGGATGCCCTTGTGTTTTTGAGATCGCTAGGATCTAATGAGGTCCTTCCCCAGGTATTATACCTGCGCAAGGATAATGCTGGACAGTGACACAGTATGTGTATGCTGTCCTCATCAGCCTCCCCACATAGACGGCATGTTTTCTGCTCTACTATTTTGAGGCGGTATAGGTGCGCTCTGAGTGCTACGTGTCCTGTGAGTAGTCCAAGCGTTTTGCTCAGCCTGTCACGGTCCATAGCCCAGAGCTCGGTTGCCCTTTCTTTTGAGGGTGTTTCCATGAACTGTTTGGATACCCTACAGCCTGTCGAGTTCCTCCATCGAACGAGATGTTCCCTTTCTAGGAGTTTGTTTAGGTATTGTTTACCTTCTGCAAAGGGCATTCCAACTATCTGCCTACCAGGTTGCTCCATGGCCCCCTCTCTGGCTAGATTATCGGCTACCTCATTGCCTTCTATTCCCTGATGTCCAGGGATCCAAATTAGAGTCACTACATTCTCAGCCCCTAACCTGGCGAGGTTCTGCATGCAGTCCCGCACCACGGCGGAGACCGTGGTGTTTTTCGCCAGTGCCTCTAGGGCAGCGCGGCTATCCGAATAAATATTTATTCGGGAATGTGTGGCTCCATTATTTATGAGATGCTCTGCACATCTCAGTATAGCAAATACTTCGGCTTGGAAGACCGAAGCATGTTCACCCAGGGATATGCTCTCCCTGTAGTTGGTATTTTGCCCGTAGATGCCCGATCCATGGCGGTCCCCACACCCCGAGCCATCGGAGTACCAGTTTTCGCCCTGATGTTCCATCAACGGTTTTTGTTCCTTCCAGTCTTCTCTGGTTGGTATTTTTACCCTATAGGTGTGTTCAATCATAACCTGTTTAGAGGTTCTGTCTTGTTTTAATGTAAAAGGTGTGTTTCGAAGGACATGAATCCTGGTATGTCCAGTTCCATTTTCCTTCCACTCCCCTTGACATTTCATTCTGTATGCTGTCTGCCGGGCGACATTTGTCACTTTTAGGTCCAGGGGTGGAATATTGAGCGCTATTTCTAGCGCGTCAATTGGTGTGGTTCTCATGGCCCCTGTCGCAGCCCGCAGGTAGTTACCTTGCAGGCTTTTTAACAGGTTCCGATTCCCCACCAATTCTACCCTGGGCCACCAGACTACTGCAGCATACAGGAATCTTGGTATTAATACCGTTTGGTATAGCCAAAGAGTTACCCTAGGTTTTAATCCCCAGGTTTTTCCTATGGCTCTTCTACAAGCCCACATTGTGCTGTAGAATTTTTTCCTCTTTGTTTCGAGGTGGGTGTTCCAATTCAGTTTTGTATCTAGGTGGACTCCCAGATATTTGACTGTATTGGAGTAAGGGATCTCCACCCCCCAAAGCTGTAACGGCTTTGTTGGTTGGAGTTTGTATTTCCGGGTGAAGATTACTGCTGCTGTCTTTTCTGGGTTTACCATCAAGCCAACAGCAGCGCACCAGTCCTCTACGATTTTCAGGGCATTCATAATGATGTCCCTGAGTGTTGGTAGGAAGTTTCCTCTGGCTATTATGGCTATGTCATCTGCATAGCCAAATACCGAGAGTCCTGCTTCCGTGAGTTTTGCCAGTAGTTCATCCACCACTAAGCACCACAACAGGGGTGAGAGTACTCCCCCCTGCGGGCACCCGCCGGTTGGACGTCCTGTTACCTGGTCGGTTCCCATGCTTGTTGACAGTTTCCTGCCTCTAAGCATGGCCTGCGTCCAGTCAGTGAGGGTTTCGGGTATCCCTCTGCTGACCATTGCTTTTTTTATGGCTACATTAGAGGTGCTATCAAAAGCCCCTGCAATGTCCATAAATACTCCTATTGCATATCCTTTAGACTCTAGTTGCGCCTCTACCTTTCCCACTAAGTGGTGTAAGGCGGTCTCCGTGGACCTCCCTGCTCTGTACGCGTACTGAGAGGGGGCCAGGGGGCGCGCTGCTAGAGTCCTATGCTTGATATACGTATCCACCAGTCTTTCCAGAGTCTTCAAGATGAAGGAGGAAAGGCTGATGGGACGGAAGTCCTTGGCCAGTAGATGACCGTTTCTTCCAGGCTTTGGTATGAAAGTAATTCTACTTTCACTCCACGCTCTGGGGACGTGTCTGTGGGCTATGCTAGCCCTCAGTATTCTTGTTAACGGGCCTAAAAGGTCCGTGAGTCCTTCCTGTAACAGTATGGGATAGATTCCATCCGGTCCAGGAGCCTTGTATTTGTCGAATGTCCTTACGGCCCACTCGACTCCTTTAGGCTTTACAACCTCTGCCGCCAGAGTCCAATTCCTAGGCTTACGTTCAGCCCCGTATTGTGTCTCCTCGGTTGGTAGGTTGTTGGTGTCTTCTCTGAATCCTGGGAAATGTGTTTCCATCAGTAGATTCAGTGAGTCCTTCATTGTTTCTGTATATTCTCCATCCGGTCTTTTCAAGCATCCCAGGTTTGGAGTGGTTGTTCTGCCGAGTGCTCTGGCCAGTCTCGATACCTCTGACGAGTTCTCTACACTGGCACAGTATTCCCTCCAGCTTTTCTTTTTAGCGGCATTTATAGCCTTGCTATATTCCTTTTGGAGGTGTCTGAACTGCTTCCAGTCCTCCTCTTTTTTTGAATTCTTTGCCTTGTTGAAGGCCCTTCTCACGTCTCTTCGGAGTTTCGCCAGGTGGTTGTCCCACCAGCGTACGCCCCTTGATTGGTTTTTGGGCCTTAGAGGACAATTGAATTCATAAGACTCCTTGATGGCATCGCTTAGGAACCGCGACGCTTCCTCAAGTTGGTCCCTTGTATTTAGTCTGCGAGGGAATTTTGAGAGTCTCATTTTGAGTTCCTCTCTGTATCCCTCCCAGTTGGTTCTTCTGGGATTTCGCGCCCATTCGGTTTCTGTTTTCTTACAGACGTTCATTCGGATGAGCCTGTGATCAGAGCCTGTAGGTTCGTTATCCACCCTCCAGTCCTGCACCAGCTCCCTTAGTTTACCGGTTACCACGGTGATGTCTATAACCTCCTGTCTTCTGCAGTCCACGAAGGTTGGTTCGTTGCCTCTGTTGAGTGTTGTTAGGTCTGTACGCATTAAGAAGTCATGGAGCTTTTCCCCTCTAGGATTGATGTCCGAACTCCCCCACGCAACGTGGTGCGAGTTGGCATCAGCCCCGATGAGGAGTTCCAGTCCCCTGCTTCTTGCGTACTCAACCAGACTCTTAACCTCTTTTGGTGGCGCTTCCTCTAGGTCGTAGGGCATGTAAGATGACCCTACTAATACCTCGAGATGCTCGCCATCCTCAGTTGTAATTTTCAGGTGCACGACAGTTAGGTCCCCACAACTGACCTGGGGAACAAAGAGTGCCTTTGCTCCCTTGACTATCACGCATGTCCTGATTTTTTCCTGAGTGGTCGCATGGAACAGGTCCCAGCTACCGTTCAGTCCTTTGATAGCATTACCCACGATCCAAGGTTCCTGGATAAGTGCTATAACTGTTTGCATCTTGGCTAGTCCCTTGGCAATAATTGCCGAGGCACTTTTGCTGTGATGCAAGTTTATTTGTGCTATCTGCAGATTTCGGTTAGCCATTGCTGAGCCAACTTAATCTGCCTTAGCAGTTTTTTCCTCCTCCCCCTCGGTCCCCTTTTGGGGCTTTTCGATCAGCCGAATGGCTGCTCGTTGAAGCCCGCAGTGAGGCCGAAAGTGGAGGTCCTCCAGGCCCTTGAGGTCCGAGTCGCGGATCATGGCAGCAAAGTGGGCGCTTGTAGCGTCCCTACTCTCGCTACCCTTCACCACGATCCAGTCCCTCGTGTGCAGTTCCGCATTTTGCCTGCCAAGGAGCGATAAGCACTCCTCGACCGACAAGTCTGGGTCCTGCACATGGACCACGATGCGATGCCTTTGAGGTAATTCCCCTACCGGCACCGCGCGAAGGTTCAGCTCTCCGAGCTTGTTTTCAGCAGCAAGGCTTTTCAGCCATGCCGCTGTTTCTTGGTTGGAGCAATCGAATACGATTGCTCCGTCCCTTTCCCAGGACCCCTCGAAGGTCGGTGCGCGCCCTTCCTCGGGAAGCTGCAATATGCAGCCTCTTACGAGTTTGCGCACTCGTCCGACCTCCTCCGGTCCTGTGAATTTCCTGTCCGGGTAGCTCTCTGGGATGAGAGCCACCCGAACAGTGTTTTTTGCCGCCTGGGCATATGACCTTTGGTTTGAGACCTTAGGTCGCTTGCCCATTTGGCTGGTAGAGGGACTGGGCGTATTGTGTACTGGGTTAGGGCGTTTTACCGCCCTAGCCTTTCCACTGGCCGCTCCAGCCACCTCTTTTTTTGAGCTTTCGCCCTGGGCTTTTACAGCTCCTAGGCGTTTCTGCTCTTTTTGGAAGCGGCGCCTTGCGGCCCCGCTTCTTCTGATTTTTTCCCTCAATTGAGGGGGAGTTTCCTTTCCCTCCGGTCGTTCGGCCTCCGAGGAGGCTTCGCCCTGAAGGGATAGGTTTTTGTTCGTTTGTTTGGTATCCATAGATGGTCCCACGAACAGCTAGGGAAGTATTCGGTCCACCTCCACAGAGCCCCGCATGCGGAGGTAAGGCTATATACAATGGGGTTTCGCCCGGTTCCCCAAGGTGAGGACCAGTGGTTGCCGATCTTCTGTTCGACCACGCATCCTATGGGCCCGGTCCTCCCACCACAGGATTCAGGTTTTTGGTGAGGTTGTCTCCTCTTAGTCCAGGCGGCTAAGCCAAGACCCCCGACTCCCTGGCCCGCGAGACATGATCCACCGTCAGCCAGATTGCCGGTCTCACAGAGGTCCCACTTGGGGCCCTCCGGCATCGTCTAACCCCGTGCAAGCCCTGAGCCACGACACTACAGCCGGGTTGGGGGGTGGTCCGCGGTGGGGCCTTCAGGTCCAGCTGGTAGTCTTGCGGGTTTTAAACCGCTCATACCAACCATCAACCCTTATAACCCTCACTTCCCCGCGCATACCCATCCGGGCTGCCATATTGCGGTTTTAAGCGCTCAGGCAGCCCTTCCGGACGCTGGGTTACCCCTATCCGCCACCTGGGGACGCGCCCGATGGGTTCCACCTCACGGTTAGAAAAGCTGTTACTGTTATAGGATTTATTGGCGGATCTGTTAGCCTATTTTCCTCAGCCGAATGGTTATCACCTACACTGACCCCTATTTTCGTAGTTCTAGGAGCTACGTTCAGAGGATTTGCACTGTCCGGAACATCGTACGCACTACTTTTACTTTAATTAGTTGTTTGAGTGCTAATTATGATCGTTAAAATTATTTCCTTTCAGGGTTAATACTTTAGATATTGCCCCTCGATTTGCAAGCGTTATACTTGGGATTGGTAACACTTGCGCGAGCATACCCGGAGTCGTTAGCCCTATCCTAGCTGGGTATATCGTTAAAGATTTAGTAAAGTTTTTTAACAAAATTTAGTAGTAATTTGATATTTGTTTATTTTAGACTAATGTGGATCAGTGGAAAATTATATTCTACATTTCATCGGGAATGTATTTGCTAGCAGCTGCTGTAAGTTTACTTTTTTTGTCAGCAGTAGAACAACCGTGGGCTAAAAATGAGGAACCTGGTCAAATAAGTGAAATGGAAATTGAGTCAACTAATGTGTAATCTGCATGATTATAAATATTGAAAGGATACCTTTTTACCGATAAAAATGTTTCATTTTAAACGAACTACCCTGTATAGTATGCCCTTATATTTCCCTATTTTTGCAGCTCATTAATATTTAGTCAATGCCCTAATTTGTTCACAAAATATACATGTTTATCGATTATAATAAGCAATATTTATTAGCTGTTACTTTGCCTAACGAGCAGCATAATCAACGAATGATAAATACTGTCAAGGTAAAAGCTAATCATGCAAAAGTGTGGTCCTTTGGAAAAATTATTTCAAATTTGTCAAACTTTTGTCTATCCCATTTAAATTTTTTTCATAACGAATTAAAATATTTACGGATTTTTAATAACAGTTTTTTTTAGTATACGGAGTAGGACAAAATTTTACGGATAGTGACTAAATACATGCTCTTATTCGTGACTAAATACATGCTAATTATGTAGACTCTCTCCCCACTTACAATTATGAGATTAAAAAACGATTTCGTGGGTTTACGGCTTTCTGCGTGCAACTATCGAATCCAATTTTCGTTCATAGATGAGGGTTCATGGCAAGTATTAATAGCCAGAATTACGGTTGCCTATCTGTTATATACTCATTTTTATTGGGTTTGTAACAACTTGCCCTTGTAACAACTATCCCCACTCTCCCCTACATGCGGATCGTTTATCTTTCTCATATTTATGAATCGAGTGGCTTCTGGCTTTATTCCTCCCATGGCTATACGTATTATCCGCAAAAATGTGACTAATAATGTATATTAAATGAAATATTGGTGCTTATTTTATTCCCTTAAATCCATATCCGAAGCAAGGTAAAGAGATAAAAAGTGTTCGGCACATAAATAATAATTACAATGTGTCTAAATTATTATCCAAATTTTAGTGTAAATTTGTAGAGTACCTAATTGTGAAAATAGATAATATATGTATATCGCTAGAATAATAATGTATATTATGTTATAACAGTGGAAGTAGTAAGTGCTACATATTATTTAAAAATGGTACTTAACGAACCCGATCGTGACTCTAATAAAGTGTACACCGCTGTAAAAACTGGAAATAGGTAGGTAATTGCTTATACAATTAGGATAATTGTTTATTATTTATTGAGCAGATTATAAAAAAAATATTTCTTATTTGCTATATGAAGCTTTTCTCTCATTTTTAATGTCCCCTTTTTCGTTATTATTTTAGACATGTTAGCGAATTCACGTGGAAATTTTGGAAAAGAAAACGACACGTCGTGACACTCCTCACATTTTTCGGCTTTTTCAACGTGTATGCCCTAAGATCAAACATAAGCATCGCTCTAGTCGACATGATTTCTTTGAAAAACGTTACATTGGAAAATAACACCATCGTTGAAGTAAGATATTAGTTCACATTTTTGCTCGATCAATTGATTTTTTTGTCTAGAAGAGGGAATTCGATTGGCAGCCGGTCCAGCTGGGGTACGTTCTGAGTTCGTTTTTCTACGGTTACGTTTTTACGCAACTCCTGGGGGGTTATTTAGCTGCGAGATTCGGAGGAGCCAAAATATACGGCATCGGAATAGCTGCTACCGCAATATTCACATTGGCCACTCCTGCCGCTGCCAAGACGAATATTTACTGCTTAATAGCGGTCAGATCGCTGGAAGGACTATTCGAGGTGAACGAGGTAACTCGCGGATATTTTATACAAAAATTGTGAATTTCCAGGGCGTTAATTTTCCGTCGTCGATGGCGATTTGGGCGAATTGGGCGCCTCCTGCGGAGAAATCCCGGATAACGTCCATCTGCTTATCCGGTAGTCATCTAGGAACTGTTATAGCGATGCCAGTTAGTTCATTGTTGTGCTTCTATTTGGGATGGGAAAGCATCTTTTATGTATTCGGTGCGCCCAAATTTCTTTTATTGACCTATTAAAATTCGACTGACTCACTTTTTAGGCGCGCTCGCTTTGTTGTGGTACGTTGTATGGGTAATTTTAGTGAGGGATTCCCCTTCGGAAGATCCGCGAATTAAACCCGAGGAATTACTTTTCATTAATGAAGCCGTCAACGCAATCGAGCCCACAATCAAACCAGCAATTCCTTGGAGATCGATACTTACTTCGAAGGCTGTGTGGACTATAACGGCATTAATTTGCTGCGAAACCTGGGGTTTCCACACTTTTGTGGCGTTTTTACCGGCGTTGATGAAATGTAAAACGGCGCTCTCTTTTATCTTTATGGAGATATTAATATTCAAATTATATGTTTTAGCTGGGCTAAATTTTGATTTGAACAGTTCCGGGTTTCTTACGGCTTTGCCGTATATAGCAATGTGCGTCGCGATTACAATAGGTGGGCACCTATCTGATTGGTTAATTAGGAGGAAAATTATGACTGTGACTAATGTTAGAAAAACGGTGATAATAGTTGGATTTACGGGCCAAGCTTTTTGCCTGTTTGCCGCAGCTAAATGGTTATCCAGAGTATTGACGCCTACGTTTACTGTAATAGGAGCAGGGTTTTTAGGAATTGCCTTATCTGGAGTAACGTAAGTGCATATATCTTTCACCTATTAGACCTATTAGTCCTATTATAAAAATCGTATACAAAAATATTTTTCTTTAGCGTGAGTATCCTGGATATAGCACCTCAATTTTCAAGTGTCATTCTTGGACTTGCCAATACGTGTGGAGCTATGCCCGGAATTGTTAGCCCAATCTTATCAGGATACATTGTTAAGGATTTGGTAAGGGTTTATATCAAAATAGTGATTATTGGAATATTGTTATTCGCCAACGATTATATTTGAAATGCCTCATACTTATTTTAGACAAACGTAGATCAATGGAAGATCATATTTTATATAGCAGCGGGAATATATATGTTTGGCGCCTTTTTGAGTGTATTTTTGCTGACTGCAGAAAAACAGCCTTGGGCCAAAACGATGAATACTGTTAGCTCATAAAATAAAACATATCAATGTTGAATCAGTCAATCAGCTAGTGACTTCTACAGATCGAATTATACATATGTAGATATGGGTAAGTGAAGGTTTGCAATATGGTTAATTCTAAGAGTTGAACAAGAAATATTATTGAAATGCCAGTGGCCAGAGTGACAAAAATTGCAATCCCACAATATCACTCCGTCTTTTTCCTTTATGAGAGACTGATTGTAGCTGTCCTTGTTGCATTCATAGACCATTTTGCGCACAACTTTGCACTTATATGTATAATATTAACAATATTAAATGTAAGTTTTTGTCTAAATACCTATTTGTCTTATTACCTTCTCAATTATTTTATTACATTTTCAAAAAACATTTCGATATCTAAGCTTGGCGTATAGGTATAAAAGCACAGGCCACTGTTTTACAAAAGAAGTGACAGCTGTCGCTACTGTCATTATTGTTCCGTTGTTTTTGTTTGATTTGTAGGTTAATTTCAAACTGCTGTAAACGCTATTTATGTTTCAGTCAAAAACAAACTCGTTTTTACAAAAACATGTCGCAAAAAGGGATTGAAACGATCCGGGTTTTGTCAGTGTAATGATTAGAGGTATTTTGTGTTATGTGGTGCATTGAAATTCAATAATTATGTCCGGAGATAGTTCAACTACTAAAAAAATTTCGCGCACCAAGCTGCAGACGAAGATATTGCAGCAGGAATTGGAGAAATTAATAGATGAAGGTAGGAATTTGATTTGCCCAAGTGCTAGGGCGAATGCAGACGAGGAGGCCGCCTGTAGACCACCGGCAGCTTCTTCAGGATCTTCTGAAAATAAAGTACAAATTTTGAAATCGTATGATAAACATTCCGTTCACATTCCATCTACAAAAGTCGAAGATAAATCCCCGTCCCCCAAAAAAGAAAGAAGGTACAATGTTGAAGATGCCAGGGAGTTTATAAAAAAGCAGAAAGAAAAGTCTCAGGTTAGGAAACAAATAGAAACCTTGGAAGAAAACAGAGTGAAAGAGTTGAAAAAGCAGAAATTAGACGATTTGGCTAGAAGGAGCAGGGATATTATAAAGAAAAACGTCGAACTGAGAGAGAAACGCGCAAAGTCAAAGGACCCAAGCGAGTATGTAAGACCGAGCGATACAAATTTAAAGAGATCTAAATCATTGAATAAAATCAATACCTCTCCTAAAAAAACTACTTTAGAAATCCCTAAAAAAATTGTGATTCTAAAAAGTAACTGCACAAAAACTGTTACTGAAAAAGTGAAATCTGCTAACAAAAATTCTCCAAAACCCCTTACACCTAAAGTCGCATTTAAATCCTCCGAAGAAATCTACTCTAACGAAATCCTAACCTCCCCAAAATCATCTAATGAAAAATGCAAACACTCCTCTCATAATTTGAATTCCTATAAACTGAACATTCCATTAAATGTACCTGATCTAGAAACCGTTGAGAAGGTAAGATATACTCTTATTTAATTAAAATATTCCACTAACTTCATATACATTATTTCAGCCAAATCCTATCATCATCGATTCACCAAACAATCCTCCTGTGCAAACAGTTCAATTGGAAGAACCTTTTAAAACAGAACCACCACGCATTCTCATCACTACCGATCATGATTTAAAAAAATGCAACGCGGAAATTCGAACTGAAGCAACCGGCAAAATTTTTCCGAAATGGCTGGAGGAGCAACCGCCTTTAGCACACCCCTTCAACTTCATGAATACGGTGAAGAGAAAATTACAGTTTGCAGCCAATCAAAAAACAACCATGGACAAATGCGTGCAGAGTTCCGTTCTGGAGCAACAGATGAATTTGCGCACTCGATCGATCGAAAACCTCGAACTGCTCTCTTCCCGCGATTACCAGGAAATCAACACCCTGTTCAGAAATTCGAAACCGCCGGTGTCCACAGAAATAGAAAGCGAGTCCGATACATCCAAAAACATCCCCGAAATATCCAGCGAGAGCGGCACCTCTTTGAAAAAGAACGCCGAATTCGTAAAAAGAGGCTTGGTTTTGAACAAAAATGTTCCTATCAATACCGACAAAATCGATAGCATGAAGTTAGTGCCGAACATCGTAACCGATACAGTTACAATTAAAAACAAACCTGATTCCATAAAAACGAATAATCTCCTGTCGCCATGTATCTACTCAAACGATTTCGAAAGCGATGTACATATAACCCCCGACAAATTGGATAGAAGCAGAAGATCGATAATCAGCTCCAATAAATCCGAATACGACTTGATGATAGTGAGTCCTGAATTCGTTAAAACCAATTCCACCACCAAATCCGATAACATACCTACCAGTAACGCAATAAACACTAACTTAGACATCAGCGCTATTAAATACAGCTCATCGGATGATAAAAGCAACGCCGATTCCCACAAATTATCTCGTTCCAAACAAACTGTGAGCGATCCACAACTGCCCACTGCGAGCATATCAAAAAGCGAGCAATGTTTTCAATACGTTAATACCACCAGAGGCTCGAGTAGTTTCGATAACTCCAGAAAAACTCGAACCGATCAGGCTTCTACGGGCCACTGCGAAACGGCCGCTTCGAAGAGCGAATTAAGTTTGCAATACGTTAACACGAAAAGAGGTTTGGGTTCGAGCAATCGAACTTCCGCAATTTCCACGCGTAATTCTGACGATGAGAAGAATTCACAAAATAAGCTCGAGGTTCTACATACAGTCGATACGAAGAGTAACCCTCGAACAGACGCCTCTATTGTATCTCGAATTAGTAGTGCACGAAACGTTAACACCCAAAGAAGCGTTTTAATTTCACAAAGCGATAACGGAAACTCCAAAAAAATAGTTATCAAATCCGATGTACCTGCAGTCATACAAACAGTTTCGGTAAGTTATTATTACACGAGTGTCTTGTAGTTTATTAACATTGGGGTGTATTATTGTGTTATAGAAAGAAGCCAATCAAGTGCACCTGAAGTTCGAAGCGGAAATCCACCTGATAAACGACTTTAATAACTCCCTGAAGAAGATATCCGAAGTCGAAGAGGACCTGAAGACTTTAAAGACTAAAAACTTCACATCGACCCATGTTATTCAGAATAAGAGTTGCACATCGATCGAAAGCGGCTCGAAGAGCTCCAAAATATCCGAAAATGTACTCAGCGCTCGCACCAAAAATTCGAACGTGTGCTATTCCAGAGGCTCCTTCATGGATAAATATTTGAACGATATGAACATTCTATCGAATACTGCGCTCGATTTGGAAAACAGCGTAGTTTCAACTACTATCCAACAGAATATTGAAGGCGATGAAAATTTGCCCGTTAATATCGCTGGAGTATCCGTTAATATGGTAAGTACTAATTCAAACTCCTCAAAACTGTCACTACAACACAATGAATTTTTTTGTAACAGTTCGATCAGATCATTAAGGACGAAGATGCTCGTTTGGAAAACCTGAAAACCGTGCTAAAAATCAGAGAAAAGGCTCTACTAGATCGCACCAAAGGCGAACTAGCTTGGCTGGAAATACAAAGGAAGCATTTCAAAGAAACCGGCCAATTCCAAGAGGCTTCCGCCATAAAGAAGAAGCAAAGGTGCATCTTATTGAATCACCAGAAAGAGCAGCACGAAATGCAGAGGTAAATAGCGTAAATTCGCGCCTACATTTCGCATTTAATATTACGAATTAGCAGCTGTAATACTTGAAAGAGATAAATCTTATCGCGCTTCGATGAGAGGCATTGTTGCACTTTGCTACAAGTGTAAATAAAATTTCGAAACACAATGGGTGATTCGTCCAAATCACGAAGGCGCGTTTCTGTTCTATTTGTTTGCCATTATCTCGGAGAACAAAAAAATTAAAACAAAAAATATAGAGACTTGTAAAGATTATGCTCGATAAAAATAATTCAATTTATTACATAGTCGTGTATTAATTGTTGGTGGTTACACGAGACGAGTGTTCTTTAATGCTTGTAAATAGGAATTTGGTTTTTGTATTGTTATTCTAAGTTAAACGAAGGTATTAGATAAGAGGTTTATTCTATTTAATTACTTTGTGATTTGTTTAATTAACGTACATTCTGCGTATTTATGTGCGTTTAAGAAAAGTGTGTAAGATTAATCCTGGGTGATTAAGTGAAACTTATCAGATTTCAGTGGGCACCGATTTAATCTTTGAAAGTTATGCACAATCGATGAAAGATCAGTTTCTGTTAAAACTATTTTTTTAAGGCTCAAGCAAATGCAGCAGGCGGCATCTATCGAACGAAAAATGGGCCTTAAAGAACAAAGGAACTTGATAAGGCAGCAATTATCCACCAACAACATGCTGAAAATGAAAGTGAGCAGCTCGAGGGGGAAACACCGATCCGGCCCTTTGAAAGTAAGTTCTTTCGTTAATACAAAAAAACTGTTTCTCACCTAATCACTGTGATATAGGTAGTACAAAGTCACACCGAATCGGTACGGACGGAAACGTCGATTTCCCTGAGAAATTCCAGCGACAACGACAAAGACATGTTCAGTTTTACGTCGCACAATTCCGTCGTATCGGAAATTTCGGAAATTGAAATTTCAACCAAGGAAATCGTGCCCGACAAGCGTCAAGTTTACATCAAAAAGTAAGTGTATTTTTTTTCTCCCGCGATTCGCCTGTGAACGGCGAATAATTTTAAATATTTACGACATGTTGGCGATTAATTTGTTTACATTGTAATATGATAATCGCTCGAGGAATGAGCTCGATTAGCGAATAAACACGTTGTAAAATTAGTTAAAATGCTATACGAGTGGAGTGAGATATGAGACATTTTTTTTTATTTTGGTTACCGCTTTTGTTATTTCAAGTCTCAGCCTCTCAGGTAAGGTTTCGATTGTTTAGAGCAATTATAATCGCCCGGTAATTGCTTCAAATGTTATACGTACAGAGTGTCCCGCATAAGAACCAACACAGAAGAGGGAGCCTAAAATATGTTGTTCAACCCAACGTAACTTCATAGAAAATTACATTCCTGAGAAGTTATAGGTCTTCAAAGTGGAGTTACAAATTAAAAAAATATATATCTCAGTAATACTCTACTTAAAACAACTAAATTTTTTATACATTCTGAGTGTACTAAGAGCATTAATCGATAGTTAGGGGAGATCGATTGATCTATTTTAAAGAATTCATCAGGGATGACGCTCCCTTAAAATGTTGCAGATTTTTTTTACTTAATGTAAAAAAATAGATTTCAATTATAACTTTTTTTATTCTTTTTGTTTTTTAAGATTCTTTGTCGTTTTGTTGAAAAACGCTAAAAATAAAGTCATGTACACTTGAAAGTCGTCCATAATTCATATAATTTTCTCATAAAATGTTTATTTATTCCACTGTCCTATAACACTTTTTCGAAAAATTGATAGTTTCTCTTTTGTTTAACATTTCATAGTTTAATTTTTTTTTTCAAAAATACAAAAATATCACATTAATTTTGATCACATACCGTAAAAGTGCATAAACTTTGCTACAAGAAAAGTATTCAACAGTTTTAAAAAAAGTTTAATACCGGATGTTAGTAGACACCCTGTATAAACCTTGGTATAAAAATTGTACGAACCTCGTATGTAAAATTCGCTCTAAAACAACAAATAACAGCGAGTAAATTTCTGTCCAGTCCGTAAAAACGATTGCAGTTTATCGTCCTCAACCGAAAACTCCATACTTTAATTGGGAGTTAATTGGCGCACGCCTTCGTGACACGTTTAAAGCCGCAGTCTTAATTATTTCGTAACGACCGCTATCGCCGGCTCGATTTGCTGCTCAAAAATAACTCCTTAATTACGAGCAGTTACGGTTGTTGATATGAGTTTCACCAACGATTAAAAACAAACTACCTAATATTAGATATCCTGTTGGAATATCGCCAAAAAAAGGTCCCGTTCGGCGCTAGGAAATTTCCGACTGCGAGAAAACGCACGTTTAGTGTGTTGTTTGCACGCGCTCGGTTCGGTTTCTAACAATTAAAATTCCTCGTTACGTGTAAATTAAACCCATTAGAAATGCTGACAGGTGAGTCTATAACAACTCGGAATCATCCCACCATTTTTAATATAAATACTTGTGCTGGTGAAACAGCACACATTGCAAACTTACCTTCATGTTTTTAGTAGGAATTCACTTATCCTTATCTTACAGGAAGTTGTTGTTGCGCGAAGAGGAGCTGAAGAAGCGCCGGAAAGCCGCCGAGGATCTCCTAGAATGGCACAAGAAACTCTTGGAGGAAGAAAAGAGAATAGCGATATTGGAGTCCATAGCGAGCGCGATAATTTCGCAAAAGCCCGGCGCGTCCGCGTCGTCGGATAAGATCGATTTCAAAGGCGAGGAACTCAACCAGCTGTGGTCCAACCTGTCCGATTCAAAAACCAACAAGTTCGCCGATGACAAGGTGTATCCCATGTCGAAGGTGGCGCTGGAGCGGTTCTGCACGAGCGCCCACGAGTACAGCAAGAGGAAGAAGAAGAGCGTCGAGCTCGCGAAGCACTCCGATAAGGAGTACCATTCGGATTTCGAGAGCGAGTCGGGTAGTTCGCGGGCGGAGGTGCATGATCAAAGCATCGATATTTTGATCAACAATTTCAGTAAGATTCAGGATGATATATGTAACCTCAGCACCATCCAATCTGTTAAATCCGATACTCCTACTGAAGAATCTTTCCCGTCGGTCATCGAAACCGACGTGAAAAACACCGAAAAATCTGAAGAAGCTAAGGAAAACCTCGAAGAAAACACGGAAGAATCTGATGCATCCATATCGACTGCTTCAGCTTCCATTCCAGTGAACAAGAATAAAAATTCATCAGCTGAAGAGCATTTATCAGCAATATTACCTCTAGAAAAATCAGTTTCAATCGAAGAGAACCTAGAACAAAGCGAAGAAGACGTTCCAAAAACTACCTCGTCAACCAAAGAACCAACTGGATCGGCCAATATTCAAACATCTCTCTCGAAATCTGCAATCGACGAGAAAACTGAAGACGACGACAAGACTTCAATTACAAACGAAACTAAAGAGAGCCTCAATAAGTCGCAGGAAATCCTCGAGATATTGGGCGAGCACGAGATAAAAGCTAACAGCTCGGGCGATGAGGTTTCCAAAGACCAATTGAAGGACAGTTTGAATGCTTCGAAGGAAATTTTATCGCATTTGAGCGTCGAGGCTGCCGCCAATGAGGACCTCAAGAGCGAATCTTTCCTGCAATTACAAGACATCTGCAAAACCGAAGAACAGCTAAACCTGTCGAATACCTCCGATGTGTTTTCTCGCATTTCCTTCGAGTCTCAGGTAGATGAAATATTAGAAGACCAGGCCGATGAAATCGTTCCGGAAAGTACAGAAGCTCCGATTGCAATACCTGGAAAGAGCAGCGAAGAATCCAGCGTTATTTCTTCGAGAACTGGTGAAGATGCAGCAAAAGAGCCTAGTGGAGATGTTAATTTGAATATAGCTGATGATTTGGAAGATGCATCTTCAAAAATTAGTGAACGCCTAATTGAAGAAGCCAGTAAAGATGATGAACAAATAGAATTCGAAAAACTGGAAGAAATTTCCTCAAAAATTTCTGATTTAGAACTAAAATCTGATATAAACGAAGAAATTTCTAACAATGTTGATTCTACCAAAGTTAGCGATGATATCAAAGAAAGTATTATTGAAGATGCCCACAGTGTTGCGTCAAAAATTACTCAAGAATTAGAACCGACAAGCAATAGTAATCTAGAAATAAAATCTATAATTGTTGGTGAAGGATTAAGTGAAAATAACAGCGAAGTGCCTGCTGAAACCGGCGAAAAATCTATCGAATCTAGTAAAGTGAGTGAAGAAATTAACAAAGAAGCTACTAACATCAACGAAGAACTCACGAAAGATGAAGCAATAGAGGATCTAGAAGAAGCAATAGGTAATGAAGATCTAGAAGAACCATCTTTACAAATAAGCGAGCATTTGGATGAAAAATCTGCCAAAATCGGCGTCGATTCCATCTCACAAAGTACCGAAGAGTCACCAGCAGTCGAAGAAGCCTCCGCTACGTCCCGTCGCATAAGTTCCGCGAGCAGGGAGATCGAAGAAGAGCTGAAACTGAAAATCGACGACAGCAGCACGATTCGAACGTTTATAAACAATTTGGTAGCCTCCGCGGCGGAAATCCGCGAGACCCCGGTAAACATCGACGAAGCCGATGACAGCAAACTGGCGTCCTCGGATAAATCCAACGAATCCTTCGTCATCAACGACATAAACGACGACGATTTGCACGCCAAAGAAACGCCCAGAGACGAAACCAACGATTCCAGTTCGATAGCGGAGGACGTCGAAGAAGAATCCAGCAAAATCACGTCGCATTTCAGCTACGGCGTGCTCCAGAAGTCGCCCGATAGAGAGGTTTCCGATTCATTCGAAACGGATGTCTCGGCCAGCAAGGAGGACGAGATTTTCGAAGAAAAAGAACACGACTCGTTGTCTTCTGTTAACGGAGGTTCCTCAGCGGAGGCACTTAATTTGGAGGAGCAATCGGTGTCTTCTAAATCTGATGAGGCTTTAATCAAAAGCAAAACTCCTACTGTTGACGTTAAAACGAGAGTGTCTGAAATTTTGGCAGAAACCAGCGTGTATAAAGGCGATAAGAGCCCCAGGTTGCAGGAATTGTACGTTACTACCTATGATGTGATATCACCAGCAAGCTCTCCGGAGAAAGGTAAGAATATCTCTCTTTAAAAAAGCGATAAATAGGCTACTCCTTGTTAAATTGTTACTTTGTTTTTAGAAGCAAGTCCAAAAGATGATCACCGGCTATCTAGTATATTCGATAGCGAAGCGAAAGAGATACTCAGGAAACAATTAGCCGTAGAAGAGGAGGTAACTATAAACTCATCAAACTCCATAAGAGACATGTATGAATGCAAAATAAACTTGTTTACAGATCAAAGCGATTACTGAACAACAACAGAAAGAGCAACAACTTCCTCTGTTGTATCTGCGAGAAATTCCCAACAAACCGCCGCCCCCGTACACTCCTCCTACCAGCCAAGCGCAAGAACCGGCCCTATCGATAATACCGACTTGCGATCAATTAGAGGAAATCTCTTCGTTCTCCGCGAAGATCCTCCACAAAGGCTACCTGGCGCACAATCTCGCGAACGTCGCCATCTCCAACAACGTGCTCAGCCTGATAACCGAGTACATACCGAAGGACCGGTACAAGTTCGTCTTCGATCTCTGCAAGGAGATAGCCTGCGAGCATTACGCTCAATTCAAGGAGGACAATCCGTCGTTCGGGTCGGGCGTGAGGCGGCCGTTGGATGCCGAGGGCCTGCAGGCGCACATGCTGGGCAAGTTGAAGGAGGTGTTCGGGTACAAGAAGACCGATCGTCGGGACAACGCCGTCATCAAGTGGAGCAGAAAGAAGCGCGACCACGTCGACGAAGTGCTGGTTACGGAATGCCAGCGCGAGGAGCCCCAATGGATCAACTACCAGAAGGACGAGTTGCTGGTGAAGGAGCAAATTGCTAATGATATTTTCGAAGGGTTGCTGAGGGATACCGCGAACGTTTTTAAAGGTATCTTTTCGAAATTGAATTCTTAGTCTCGGGATTTGTAAATAATAAGTTTGTATTGGGTACTTATACAAAACATCTGATACATTCAGTAGAGTAATTGGGGCTGTTTTGCTCGTCTTATAACACTCTTGTAGATACTTTAGAATAGTGTAAATATTGTCTTGTTATCAAAAAGGAATTCATTGTTTCGATCAATTGAGCTGTTTTGTAAAATTACATAGAATAATTTTGAATTCAATGCTAAACTAAACAATTCTAAATGTTCTTGGCTGTGACCAAATTGCATATGCGTAACTCTTGTTTGACAAAACACCTACATGTGCCTTTTTCCTTTTTGATTTTACTATGTAATATGTACTTTTGTTTTAAAAACATGCCACATCATGGAAAATTTAAGATTGTAAACGCAACTTGCTAGAAAAATGTGTTAAAAGAGCATGGACAATTTGAGTTTAAGAGACTGTAAAAGCATTTAATTTAAAAGTTGTATTGGAATTGTTAGTTTCCTTTTAACGAACAGTTTCCAAGGAAACATTATGTTGAATGCGATCTTACCAAGTAAATAGTGATGTGTTTTTTTTTACTTTTTAAGTGGCCACTAGTATTTATTGTCTATTTATTGTATTACCTACGTTGGATATTTCTACTGATTTTTGATATTAAAGCAATTTATTTTAACTTTGTTTTTCATGGATTAGTAATTAATCTGGTTTCAACAAAGCACAAGAAGTTCAACAGATTTTGAAAGGATTCTTCTAGTTTATTTTTAGCATTTTTTTATTTTCGATTTGTTTTTTAAAGCTTTATAAAGATTTTTTCTTCAGAAGTCACCTACATTCATGGATTAGGCAACCACCATTTCAAATTTTTAGCACTTATTTTTTTAAATTTCAATTCATATAATCTTCTGGTAAAGATCTTTGAATAATTTGAATGAATAACTGTGAATAATTATCTTGGATAAATTAATTTTTAGGGCTAAATAATTGGTAAGTAAATGACCACATAATATTAAAAAGAAGAAAAAAAAATTGACATAACCAAATTTGTATGACAGTGAAAATTAGATATATTTTTTGAATATTATTCAATCGTGCATTTCCTCGTGTTCATAGACATTTTATTGATTTACCGATACAAAACGTCGTATACATAAATTGCAGGTAAGTTATTTTTCCAAAGATTGTAAGTTATAGTTTTTCCGTTAATATTTCGGAAACGTGGTAACTTGTGTTTTTATAGAATGTCGGGTAGAGAAGGTGGTAAGAAAAAGCCTTTGAAAGCGCCGAAGAAGGAATCCAAAGAAATGGACGACGATGAGGTTGCCTTCAAGCAAAAAATGAAGGAACAGCAGAAAGCCTTGCAAGATGCCAAATCGAAAGCTTCCCAAAAGGGACCTTTAATTGGTGGTGGTATTAAAAAATCAGGGAAGAAGTGAACAAACACAGTTAATATGCACTTCTTTACCTCAAGCCTATGAATTCTGATTGTTATAATGGCAGTTACAACATCAATACATTTATTTCATAAACACCTATTTTATTAATCTTATGTTGAAACTATTTTTAATAATATACCAACTATTTTTTAACGTTTTATATGTCTTTTTCATATTACTTATCATCAAATATGTGCTTCATTTACTAGAAGCTACATAAAACCAGATTGAGTTAATTTTCAACACTTATGAACGTAAGATATTTCTACTAACTGGAGCTGTTGCAGTTCAACGAAATTATATTAAAAACCATTATAAAATAACATTTCCTCTTAACAAATTTTTAATCGATTGTTTTGGTTCGAAGTTCCCTTTCACCAGAGCACTCTAAGGTTTGATAGATTTAGCTACGTCTTCCATAAAGCTAGCTAATTTAACGTCTCTACCACTCAGGCCGCTAACGTCATGAGAAGAAAGAGTCACTTGGACTTTATTGTATACATTAAACCATTCTGGGTGGTGGTCCATTTTCTCCGACAGCAGCGCTACTCGAGACATGAAACCAAAAGCCTGCAAAAATACAAATTAATTATTATAAAAAAAGTAGGCCTGAACATCTCATTCATGTAGTCAACTGTTTATGGTTCTGCAGATTTTTTTTAAATCAATATTTATTATTCTCTCACCTGATTGAAATCTTTGAATAGGTATTCTTTGTATATTGCATCGCGATTTTCTACCATACTCCACCCTTTATTTAACAAAGGCGATAAGGCGGTGTTTCTTTCTTCCGGGGTGAGCTTAGTTTGCTGTAAAACAAATTGAATAAACCATAATATTGTTTATAATCTGTAAATTACATTACCATTTTTGCTTTGGTCTTTGGCACAACTTTGTTGAAATCGATATTCGTCAAGGTCGCGTAATGAAAGGAAGGAATGGAAAGTCTCACTAACCCAATCACTCCAGTTGAACTCTGTTTATTAATTATATTTAAAAATGAACTGAACGATTTCATGTTGAAATACTTATCTGCTATGATAAACTTTGTAAGCTGTGAGTAAATTATAATTGGTACGATTCTTGAGGTGAATTTAACAATTGATTGTTTATATAAAAAATGTTTAAATTTTTGTTTTTTATTTAAAAAACTTGTTATATTATTATTTATATTCCTCTACTTTTTTTAATTTAATTAATTATTTAGACTGACTGGATACGCACTTAAAATTAGACCACTTACATTGTTGTCAAATATTTTATTTTCTAACAAATCAGTAAATATAAGAAACGGATCGAAAAAAATTTAGACTCGACTATATTTATAAATAATTTTCATTTAACATTAATTTAAATAATATTTTATTGATAAATTTTGTCAAGTAAATGCAAGTACTTTTTAACTTCATAGTAAAAGACACCATGTGGCAGAAGAAGAAATGTCAATAGTGTCAATATTCTAAATTATTCACTTCCTATTGGCTACTTTGAAAATATCGAGTAAGCTGTAAGTTTAGGTCGAATTGCTCCTTTTTGACTGCAAACTACAACGAATTTTTCTGTCATCGCAAATCAATTGGAAGAAAATTCAGGCAAATATGGCTCAAAATGTGAATCCGTTTCTCGAACTGCAAACGGACGCTGCTAAACAATCAAATGACTCGAAAAAAGGTTCGAATGATAATCACGCTGTTACAAAAAGGTGAGTTTCATTAAAGATTAATTGGAATTATTTTCCTAATCCTGCTAATCTACCTTAGGTTGCACAATGAACTTATGACATTAATGATGAATCAAGATAAAGGTATTTCCGCTTTTCCGGAGGGCGAGAATTTTTTCAAATGGATAGGAACGATAATAGGACCCAAGGACTCTGCGTATGAATCCTTAAAGTTTAAACTTAGCTTGGATTTTCCACATTCCTATCCCTACACAGCTCCACAAGTGAAATTTATAACACCATGCTTTCACCCGAACGTGGATAATGGCGGTAATATCTGCTTAGATATTTTAAAGGACAAGTGGTCAGCTTTGTACGATGTTAGAACAATTTTACTATCTATTCAAATCCTGCTTGGCGAGCCAAATATCGATAGCCCTTTGAATGCTTTAGCAGCGTCGAAATGGCAAAAACAAGAGGAATATAAAAAGTACGTTATCGATGCATACAAGGAGGCATGAGGGTTAGAGTAAATAAATTTTAGATAAATAATTGTACCTAGATTTAAATTGTTAGTTAAGTATTCCTTATTAAGATTTTTATTTTTCTCATTCTGTATAAGAAGTCGATTACGTATATTATTTTAATCATTTTCATGATATATTTGAATAAATTTTGATAAAAGCCAAGTAACATGCTTTTTTAAATTTTCGTCTACAGTCTACATCACATTAAACAAAAAGATAGTTTCATTCTACTGAAGGAGTTTTTCTTAATGGAGCTAAATTAGATTATAAAATAAAACGTTTTTTTGAATAATTATTACATTAATTAACAGAATATATTACATTACAGTATACATATAGTACAATTGAAGCATTTCATCAACATAAAAATAAATATTTTGTATATCTTAACTCTAAATTTACATGTATAATCGTAAAATTGTGACTAGGTTTTGATAAGAATCAATAAAAAAATTAATAAAATAATCGTCGAAGCTAATACGAGGATAACACACATTTTCCTGTTCTTCCTTTGATAAACGTCCGCTTTCTGAAGTTGTTTGAACCCTTCTTGTACTTGTATTGAAGTTTGTTCGATATTATAGTCTATTCGATCTAGTACAGTCCCTTGGTCTACCACCATCTGGCCTAAATCTTTAAAGATGGCATTGAGATCGATTATCGATTTAACAATAGCATTTACTTCTTGTTCTCTTTCCTCTGCAAACCTAAAATTAATAAACATTTATTTGCAAAGCCTACAAGAACGTATAATTACCACCTTGTGTTCTCTTCTTCCAACAGAAGAAGCTGTTGCTGGGTTATCTGTTTGGAGTTAACGAAATGTATGTCGATATCGTCCGATTCCTGCTGGTAGAACTCATCGAATTCGTTTTGATCGAAATAAATCCTAGACCTGTCTTCTCGGGATTGTATCTGCCTCAAGTAGCTGTTTTGCGTCGATCTGAAGTAAGTCGACAGCTCTTGCAAAGCGATGGCTAGGGAATGGTACACGTTAATTGTCAGTCTTCGTTCTTTCTGGACGCCCTCGAACGAGTGGCTTTTCAATATCTGAACCAGTCGATGGCATTCGTTGAACATCCTGCTTATTTCGTGTGTACACATCTCTATAGCGACTTCGTCGTCTGATGTTTCATCGAAGGTGGATTTGTGTAGATGTTTCGAATGGAGAGTCTTGAGGTCGTCTATTTTCAACCTTAATTTCGGTATAATCATTTGTGCTTTTTCCAGGTAGTCTATCCATGTGGGTGGCATTCGAACTTCGTCTCTACTGCTTGTGCCCTCTTCCATGTCATTAAGAGAAACCAAATGCATTCTTTCTGATGAGTCCTAAATAATAAGTTGATTTAAAGTTGGTGGCAATTTATGTAAATGTGCATCTAACCTGATCCGGGTATATATGCCTGCTTCTGATGGCATTATTTCGCATTAATAAAAAAACGTCGGTTAAACTTCGTGAAGCCATAACTATTTATTCAATTTTTAAAGAAAAATATGTTCAAAATTTTATACAAACAGCCATGTTTGACATTTACTATTTACGAATTTGCTAAGCCTGCCCTGCTATTTCAAACTTCAAATATGTCAATCTTCTTATTATTTATAAATTCATAAATTTAATTTGTAATACAAGATGTAATTGAATGAATGTGCACTAGTTTTATCAATTATATCACAATTACTTATTTTAATATAAAAAGTCACAAACACTCACAATTTAATAAAATTTGTACAATATTAATAACCAACTGCAACTGCAACACAAGGCCATCATCTTTGCTTAAGTTATTATACAGCTACCATGGACTTTCAAATTGCAATTATTTTTTAGGTTAAAGGTTAAAGTCCAATAGTTTGTATCTTTCCAAAATTTAGAAAATTCTTTACATACTTTATTTTTAATTTAGTATAATAGCTATTAAAATGGCACGCGTACTAGTTGGAGTTAAAAGAGTAATCGATTATGCAGTAAAGGTGAGTTATTTCTACTTAAATTCAATTTATTTACTGTGTATATTACAGATTCGCGTAAAACCCGATAAAACTGGTGTTGTAACCGATGGCATCAAGCATTCTATGAATCCGTTCGATGAAATAGCCGTAGAGGAAGCAGTGAGGATGAAGGAGAAGAAACTAGCTTCCGAAGTTATTGCAGTTTCTTGCGGTCCGGCTCAATCACAAGAAGTGATAAGGACTGCTCTAGCTATGGGAGTTGACAAAGGAATACACGTTGAAGTTGCCGGTGCCGAATACGAAACATTACAGCCAATTCACGTTTCCAAAATTTTGGCTAAAATCGCTCAAAATGAGAAAGCCGATTTAATCATAGTTGGCAAGCAAGTACGGTCACATTCTTCTATTCATGATTATTCAAGTACTCTATTATAAAATGCCACGTTCTTATATTCATGATTTATTATATTTTAAGAGCAATTATTATCACGTCCTAATTTTTAGGCTATAGATGATGATTCCAACCAAACAGCCCAAATGACAGCTGCTATACTTGATTGGCCACAAGCTACATTTGCTTCGAAAGTATGTGTTTTACCATTTAAAATATTATTTTCATAATAATGGTTTTTAGGTTGAGAAAGGAGATAAAGAACTCACCGTTACAAGGGAAATCGATGGTGGTTTAGAAACGATTAAATGTAAAATTCCCGCTGTTATTAGTGCCGATTTGAGATTGAACGAACCAAGATATGCTACTCTGCCTAATATTATGGTGAGTTATCGTAATTTAAATGGGATTTTACTCGAATAAAACTCAATTACAGTAATACTATTGTAACAGTATATTTTAATACTTAATTATTGCTACATTTTGTTAACAATTGTTAATTTTTTACAGAAAGCTAAGAAAAAACCCATCCAAAAATTGACACCAAAAGATTTGGGAGTCGACGTGTCTCCTAGAATCAAGATTGTCAGCGTGGAAGACCCGCCAACTCGTCAAGCCGGTGCCATTTTACCGGACGTGGACGCTTTGGTTGGTAAACTGAAAGAAGGAGGTCACGTATGATACGGTTTTAACAAACTTTTTAGTTCTTCTTATATTTTTTAAACTCATTTTCCTTACCTTATTATATTGAAGAAGTGTATTTTAAGTTTACTTTATACAATGATATTATTACGTCTGTTTAAAATATACTTATGAATGCATATTTTTTAGACGTTTTAAATTCTTTAAATTTATCGGTTTTTCCACCTAAAAAACAGTTTCATGTTTCATTTTATTTTCATTTTAATATTTCAAAATTAATACTTACTGGCTTTTGAGTTGTCAATCTTAATAAAGGGGTAACAGTTGGTCTCCCGTGGGCACATTGAAATGGTAAGTCGCACTTCGATAATTCTCGCAATAACTCCAAACACTTCTCATGAGTTAGAAGATCTCCAAATTTAATAGCACCTGCAAAATTACAGTGTGAACGAAATAAACAATCTACATTTTATATCAATTACCTCTACAAGCTTCTAAATTTATCACATTTTGAATTAGTGTAGGCATAGTTTTCAGTGAAACTCCTCTTGTCGATTTCAAGAGGTCCAATACTTCGTTTATTAGCGTGTGAATAATTTTATTTAGCGAATTTATTGGATCCTAAAAATGATATAGGTAATTTACCAATATTTTTAAATGTTTTATTTACTCACTTCTTTAAATTTTGTATACAGACAAAGTGGCACCTCGGTGACATAAATACCGTTTGTGAAAAATTCCATGTTCATTCCAATATGATCCAGGTAAGTTGGAAAACGCTTTAGTAATGACAATTCGTTATCGGGAATGAAAAACATTAATTTTTCTTGAATAACTGCTTTAGCATTTTTGTAAACTAAAAAAAATTAAAATATTTTGTAAGTTTTACCTCCAATTACGATGAGAAAAGAGTTACTTTTGATAAGTTTTTCGACTCGTATTCTCTCGTGTACGGCGTGCTGATCGAATATAATCAGCATATTTTCCTTAACATCTTTCACAACGATGAATTTTTTATCCAATTGACCAACGAAATCCAGACTTTCGAATATATTTTTATTCAAATTTACAACTTCTTGTTTATTGTCTGCCTTAAGGATTGGTATGCAGCATTCGTACATCTTCAATTTTTCTGTGTACATATTCGCGAAGAATGTTTTGATATCTAAAAATCGTATGGTTATTTTTGTTAATAAAAACTAAGATGATCTCACCTAAATCTTTTATATAATGCTGCCATTTAACAAATAACAAATCGTCCTTGTACGTTTCCAGAATGTAATCTAATAGTACGTCTTTCCCATTTTGACTCAAAGATTCTTCAACTGCTTTCGGTTCTTTAATTATGGGGGACATGCCTTTAGGCAAAAACTCGTATCTCTCCTTCATTTCGAAACAGTTATTTTCTTCTTTATTAGGAACATTATATGTTGTAAATCCTTTAAAATATAAATAATTCCAAGGAATGTTACAAGGAATAAACAAATATTAGTGTTACAAACCCGTTTTTTTGTGGATATAATAGCAGTTGCCTAAATGGTCTCGCTTGGTCCAATCCCAATCGTCATTCGACTTTTGTTCATCGAAAGTAAATTGGCTGTTCCATTCCGCAAACTCTTTCATGAGAAGCTGCTTTTTGGCTGCAATTTCCGCTTCCATTAAAATTTCCTTGTCTGTTTCATTCAAAGAAATCTCCAAATCAGAAGCTTTCCTCAGTTGATTCTGTTGATCTTCGCTATTCCTTTCACGCTCGTTTTTAAAAGGAAATATTCCCGAAATGGGATTTTCGCGCTCAATTTCACCAGGAATTTGTTTCTCATTTGTGTAATGTTTCGTTGAATTTTTTTCTTGAGTGCTCTTAAAAATCGGTTTAAACTGCCCGAATGATTGGATATTGGAGCTCTCGTTGTTTTGTTGGTTCTTTAATGAAAAATCTAGGAAACTCGGATTTTTCCATGTGCTTTTAAACGCAGCTTGGAAGTTTTCAAATGATGTTTTGGAGTTTATTTGATTCGCTAATGATAAATTAATAATCGAATTAGCATATGGGTTTTTTTGAGTGCTTTTAAAAGCTGGTTGAAATTGCTTGAATGATGGAATTGGCATTGTATCATTGGAATACTCGTATATTACGCTTTCTTCATTTCTTAGAGGAATATCCAAATTGTTAGAATGTAAATTATGATTATCCAGCACTTTTTTACAATATGGTGTATTTGGTGCTTCAAATGCTTTATTACTTATCGGAAAATCAGCTTGATTCTTGTGACTCTCTTTGAAGTTTTGTGGGATAAAATGTACTGGTGCTTTATTGTAAGTTGGGCCTTGTTCAAATAATTCTGTATGCTGGAAACGGTTGTAAGGCAGAAAATGATCTTCAATTACTGGATTAATTGGTGGATATTTGAACACAATGTTTGGATTATATGGGTGATTGTAGGGTAGAAACTCCATTCTGTTTCCTTCGTAAGTCTGCGGGAATTGGTGCATTAGATTTGGTACGTTATGATTTTGTATATTCTTGACTAATTGATTGTACTGATTTAAAAAATTATTCGTATTTGCCGTTATTGGGTAATGATTATAGTTTTCATTGTTATAGTGAAGATTAAAATAATCGTTGGGTGGATTCTTTGCAGGATGATGTCTTTTGTCTTTGAAATAAGGACTTTGTTCGCATTTTAGAATGTTGGGTAATTTTCTCTTTTTATCAATCCTCCATTGCAAATCAGGATCGAAATATCTGCTGGTATTTATATTTTGTTCTAATCGAATCTCAGTTTGGTTAGTCGTTTGTTCCAAAATATCCCCGAAACTTTTAAATTCAAACGTATCTTTTACATTCGCTTCAATTGCAGTTTCCACTACGTTATTTTGATTTTTAAAATCTTTATGTCCGAAATTAAATAGCTTTTTCTCGTGACAATTGCAGCTGCATTTTTGGCTACTTTCCTTGTTAAACAACTCGAAATTTTCCGAATTTTGCGGTCTTTTGTGCACGAACTTCAAGTTGTTCCCTTTTCGACTGGTGAACACCAGCGTACAATTTACCGAAAAGTTTTCTTTATCGGAACAGTGCGTTGCCGATTTATCATTTTGCAATGTAGTTTGAACGCATTTGGAGACCATTTTATCGGCGGAAACAGTTTGCAATCTCTTTTCCGGCGTGCAATTTTTCCGCTTCTTAATTTTTTTCCTGCTCTTCACGTTAATCGACACGGACATAGTTTTAGTTTTGCCTTTGTGCGTCGTTTGAACGTTATTTTCCATCATGAAATCCGACTCTTCTACGTAGATGGTGTCTCCGCTTTGCTGAGAAGTATTCAGAACATTTTCCTCGCTTTTGTAGACCAATGTGGACTTAAGGAACATGTCCAAAATCAGATTTTTGCCTCTGTGTTCATCGTCTGTGTATTTCGAAAAAGTTTCTACTTCCAGAGGATGCGATCTTTTGCGACAAATAATGCTCTTTTCTTTTACATTGGTTTCATTAATTGGCTCGTTTTGGGGTGCTACAGTAATAGGCAAAGGGTGTTTTAGGGCTTTGGTTTGTTGGTAGAAACATGTTGGATTAATTATGTCGTGACTGTCGTTGTTTAAACGATTTTCGTTGTAAGAATTCTTTAATATCGACGGTTTCTTTTTACTCTCTTGTTTTGGAGGTGATGTGTGTTCAGGCTCGTTTTTTCTTCTATAACCAAAAGCCTGAACAGCGCCTTTTATTTGAGAAATTCCACATTTTAGTGGAACATTGTCGCTTAATTCTTTTTGTTCTATTGGATTTTCTTTCTTGTTTTGTGGATTTCCAAAGAAGCAATTAATCAGCTTTTCGATGCACGTTTCAATTCGATTCCAGTTTTTAAATTGCGCTAGTACCGTATGAGGACTCGATAAAATATCGACGTCGGAATAGGGACATTTTATGTTTATTACATACGAGGGATATTTATTACTGTTTACTAATTTAGTTTCTTGGTATTTGGTGTTTTTGTTAAGCAGTTTCTTCATTAATTTCTGCATTTTGGACGAAAATACAGGCCGTTTGTTCACGTATATGTACTGCTGGTGTTTGTTTTCGGTGTAATCTTTAAACAGCAACGAATTTATCGACAGTTTTCCTTTAGATATCTTCATCACCGCACCGTCCTTCATATCGGGATGCAACAGCCTGAACGCTGAAGGAATGTCTTGGGTCCTTCTACTGCTCAGGATCAATTCGTTTCGTACGTCGTCCCGAAGGGAAAAGGTAACATGAGGATGAATTATAATGAGACTTCTGAGGTTCCTCTGGACATCATCCATCTCTATTTCCTTAACAATTCGCTTCTTCCTTACCGGGAAAGCCTCGAACAATCCTTCTACTGTTACAGTTGTGCCTACGCTAGGCCGGGTTTTCTCGGCAATCGGCTCTCTTTTATTGTTTTTCTCGTAAGTTAAACTGAACGTTTCAGGCGTACTCGTATGCCTGGAGCAAATATTAATCGATTTAGATAGTTCTATAAGGTTGGCTAGAGCTTCTCCTCGAAAACCGTAATGCTTAATGCGCTTCTCCAGGTCTTCTAAACTACTGCATTTGTTGGTAAAGTATCGGTTACCGATCGATTGCATGTTTTCCTTGAGAACCCCTTTGCCGTTATCAACGACTTGTATTCGTAAAGTAACCATGTTTATTCTTACGGCTATCGCGGTAGCTTCTGCATCTAAACTATTAAGGATCTAAAATAATTTAATTTTAATCGTCTATAATTTAATGGGATTTGTAGATGTACTTACTAATTCTAGCGCCGCTTGTGATAAGGTGTTTATCATGAAAGAACTTCTGGTTTTCTTGATAACATCAGAGTGTAGTTTCTTCAATTTCATTTTGACGTATACTAATCCAGATTGTCAATGTTTAGATGACATTTTAATCAGAGCAAGGCAAATGTGATGTTGAGAATAATAGATTTTAATTATTGATAGTGATTCTAAATATAATCTTGCACGGGTTGTATTTGTAAGATCTACAGGTGTTTGGTTTATTATACAAAATGTGAGTATTTTAGTCTATTTGCATATATATCTTATAGTCTTATTGTTAAAAAATACATTTAAATTCATATTTTATTGCATTGTTAATTAAATGACATTTTGATCTGTTATCTGTTACAAAGTTAGGTAGGCAACTCACATTTCTTCTATTTAAAATAGTGGTTGCCTAATTATATTTCATGATTATTTTAGTTTTTATAATGTTTCATTCCTATCCCTAAGACTGCGTGTTTAAAATGTAAATGTAATCAATTTTTATGTTATTTTAATAAAAAAAATTAGCAAAATGTCTCTCACTATCTGACTTTAACTACTGTTTTATGCAGCTACTTACAGTACAGTATTCTTCTCTTTTAATTCGAAATACGGCAACATTGCAGGAAAAAATAGCCAATATACAAAATTTATTTTTGTATTCAGCTGCCGCCTAAAACAGCCTACGTATTATTTTATTAAGTTTCCAGTAGCGAATAAATGGCGAGTTAGTGAAGTACAGAAACGAACGAAGATGAGCGACCGCTCAAAGAAATCGAATAGCGAGAACGCGGGCTACATTTCGGGGAAAATGGTGAACGACCTGAGCCCCAAAAAGACTATGCTCGTTTTGGTGATTGTTGTTGGTTGTTTCGCCGTTTTATGGCCTAAAGTTTTTCATCCAATGTTGGTGGGATCCGCGAATAATCGAATAAAACCAAGTCCTATCGATAGGACTCAAGGTAATGCTGGTTTCAAAGTAGGGTGGTTTTAATCCCTTTTGTTTCTCTTATTATACTCTTATTTATAATATTTATTATTTTCAATTTTTGCAAACGGCAATTTAATTTTTTTGAAAGGTAGAGCTACTGAATTTTGATTATAGAATACATGAATATTCCTTTTATTTACGTTTGAATGATATTTATAATTTTAATCACCTATATTTAGCTGAATTATATAAATACACATAAAAATACTGTAAATAAAACGGGTCATGGTTTTAAAAATTCGATGAAATTTTTAGATTTCAAGATCTACATGCACATAAAATTTGCATGAATATAGTATTGCATAATAGATTTTTAATTTCTAAAATTTGTTAATTTGGAACTTTAAGACAATATTTTTTTTATTTCTTTAGTCAACTCTATTTAAATTTTGTTGCAATTTCTGCAAACAGGTTGCTGTGATGTCATATCAGACAAGGATTTGAATACGATAAAAATCATGTCAGAAATATGCACCAATATAATCCAGAAAGAAGGAAACGCGCCTTTAACAAAGAAAGATTTGATAATAAAATGCCAAAACTTAATATTGGAAACCTGTGGTATGGACATATCAGCTGTACTGCAAGAGCAAGTTAGATTGGGCCACACCACCAAGCAGATTCTCGAAGATATAAGATCTTTGAATGGATCTTTATGTCTAAAATACAATTTCGGAGTGGCCCCTTGGAAATTGGGTGTCCCCCATAGAGTCACAGTCAAAGTATCGCCAACTAATAGTAAGAAGAACATGTTTGTGCCCACTGTCTTTAACTTGCAGTGTGTGTTCTTTGCACTAATTATATTTTATTACCATTCACACTATCTTACGAATAATCAATAACAATCATTTGAAAAGCACTTGTATTATTAACAACTAGCCAGCATTTGGATGGTTAAATGCTTCTAATTTTCCATCTTAGAGATCTGGGACTCCAGGATAATTAACAAATATTAACCATGTGTGTTTTACTTATTAATACTAAGAAAACGTTATAAAATGTGTCTAGAAATCGAGTGTTTTTGTAGCCTGATATCAATTTAAATGTAAATTGTTATATTTCAGGTATAAGGCAAGAGAGACCTTTACATTTAAGATCGGAAATGGTGCATCCAGCTTTCCGGGAAAGAGGCAGGGCCATCCCGCAAAGCGAATCCTTTGCTCCAACTAGGCCTGCTTCACCATCACGAATCATTCCGAAAATCGTCGATGGAAAGGTGAGTTAAATCTAAATGAAAAGTTCATAATTGTTATTTCTGACCCATCCTTTCACGTGGTTTCACAACGTGCACAATTTTGTAGGAAGTTGCTGTAAACATTCCTCGATGATAATTTTCGTTTCGCAAAAATCCGTCCATCGAATTGCAATGTTTACGCGATTATATCGGGTAGGCATATTAGTTGGTAAATGTCCAACGTTTATTTATACATATGCGGTTTTGAGACTGGACGTATTTTGGCAAGCGATTTGAAATATTTCAGAAAATGATTCGACCGAGGAGACGCTACAACAAATATAAAAAAATCTAATTATTCCTAATTTTAGTTCTCAATCGATCGAGAATTAATCGACTTATTTCTACCAAATTTTACCATTGAAATGCACACATTTGTGAACATCGAAATAATCTCACAAGCCTCATTAAACGAGCCTTGTAATGCCACAGATTTCATATTATTTTATTTTCTAGACTTTAATATTAAATAATGTCTAAAATATTGTTGTAGCCCGGTCCAATACCCGGATTGCGACCAACAATAGGCGGTGCCGGTCACGTGGTACCACCATCAAAGCATGGAGGCAACAACATGGGTGTCATCATGCCTATTTATACCATAGGCATTGTGGTTTTCTTCACCTACACAGTAATGAAGGTAAACAAACATTACTAATTTCGAATGTAAAGATCTTACTTGAAGAGTTTACATTACAACATCTTTGTATATGTAATTTCAGATTGTATTTAAGAAGAAACCGGAGGTTCTGTATCCACCGATAGAGCCGGATGCGAACTTCAGGAAGGAAGTTTTCGAAGCGGATAGGGGACACTTGGGATCCAGGCCGCCCAAAGATGGAGCCTCGAGTAAAATAGGTGCGTGTTTTTGTGTTAAATATCGGCGAATGGATTCGATTATTCGCTTTTTATGTTACCGTCTGTTATTTTTGAATGCTATACATTAGGATGGAAAGAACGTGACGCAAGTGAGTTATGTACTAACCATGTTTCATTCAATTTTTTCTACGATTATTTGGTATTGTACCGTGCGGTCTATCAATTTAATATTTATGGGAGTAACTAATAAGTATTGAGTACCTATGTAATGAGTACAGTAATTAAGAGACCTATCAAGGTGGAGGTAGCTCAGAGTTGGTGTTTGAGAGACTGGTAGATGGCACATTATAATAGCAAATTTCCCATCAATTATTATGCCAATTGGTTCACCATTTTTTTAGTAGGATTTTTGTGTTTTTTTTAATGCTCCTTTAAAATTCACTATTTTTTTAATTTGTTTTCATCGCTTATCGTTATTACAGGAGGGGTCAATGAATTTGTAGAATGATCCACTAGTATTATTCAAAAAGGTTAAGAAAACTGATTATAAATGTGCCTTAAGAAATAAGAAGTGATATATTTGCTTTAAAAATTGGAGACTCCTTACTAAAAATTGGAGAACCTTACTCTACAGAGTAAGGTTAATTTATAAGTGCAAAGGAAGCTTTTTCATGATTCATCTTTGAGTTTTTTCTATACCTTGCTGTTTGCTGGTTTTGGTACATTTGCTTCAATAACGACTCATCAATGAAACCCCCAAACCTTTGTTTTCGCACTCTGCATGCATCTATGTTTTGTATTCCCGGTTTATTGGCAACCCGGAACAACTGTTCTTGACGTGTTGTATGTGCAGGGGACACCGAGCTGGATCAACTTCGCCGTCGGTTGAGGGAAACCGAAATGGCCATGGAACGCATCGTCGAACAAATGGCCAAAGTGCCGTTGAAATTTCAGGTGCGCTCGGGCTGGGCCCCTCCTGATCCGGCTTTATCGACGGTTTACTCGCTTTTTCGCTTCCTCCGCTTTATTAGCCTTGCATGCCGATGTACTGTTTTACTTTATTTTTTGTCCCATATTACAATACGTCCCACAATATGTTACATGTAGAATGAACGTGACGGTATTTTGGTATAATTTCCATTTGTATTCTCTCGATTGGAGCCAGAGACTGAGCTTTAAATTTTTTTTATCTAAATGTGGAAAGTTGGAATTGTACCGAATGAAACAGCATTTTTATCATGTATTTGTATTCGTAGTTGTTAATGCAATGTCAGCACTGCTGGACGAAGTTGATCTGGAACTCATATCTCGTCGTAAAACTAGTGAGGTCAATCAACAGGTAATTAGGTGTCGCAATCGTTGCATTATGTTTATGTGAAAATTCGTTTTTTTGGACGATTTTTGTTTGCTGTTTTGCACCGACTCCCTTCATGATACACACCTGCGCTTAGAATAGAAGCTGGTCTGAATTACCCGTTCATGCATGTTTTCGTAGAATGAGTGCATTATCTCAACAAAATCTTAGTATTTTTCGAGACTAATAAAGTTTAAATATGATTTTGTAATGTTACCGATAAACGAGTGTATTATTTCTTAAAATTTAATAGTAGATTTTACACTGTTAATGCCATTTACAACACATTTTTTATAGAGCTTGTATATATTTTCTTACAAAATAATACTTCTAGCAAAGGCAGTATAGTATCTTACCTATTTTTTACACAAAATATTAAACTGATATATTTTTCTGTATAATTTTTTGCTATAATATGCTACATATTAGTACCTAAAATAAACCAAACTACTCGTATGATATTCTTCTAAATGGACCTCTTGAATCTCAACATTTTACTGTTGCAGGTAGGCTTCTGGTTTATTTCAGGATTCAAGATAGAAATGGTACTTTCATCACAAACTTTAATACATTTAAAACACATTCTGATTCTGCTGACGAACTTATTTTTTCGCCACGAAATTTGTATAGCTATTATTTTATTTTGTGCCTAAACTAATATTAACAAATAATATTTGATTGATCGCTGATTAATAATAATTGTGCTTTTATTAGGATGTGGTGGCTAACGGTAGCGTGCGGAACCAGGAAGACGATCAGAGTTCCGTGCAGGTTTTGGGAATGGAAACGACCGCCAGTTGCGAGGGAGGACAAAAATGGACCCGACCCGATTCTCCAATTTTACCAGCCGCACACGCGCCGGAACCACCGGAACCGGCGGAACCACCCCAAGTATGTACTGAATTATAATGAAAACCTTAGAAACTCCCTGCAATATTTTCCAAACTACAAACATCGAATTCAATAAGGAATATTTCAGGAGAATAACTGCTAAAATTCGAGCTTTATTTTGAATCTTTCTACTCTATTCTTAATTTTTGGATCGGGTAGCATTATTAAAATTATTTGAACGCTTGATAATACGTTTAGTCGAATCGAGTAGCACCCGAACCGACGGCGTGGCCTCCTAATATCTAAAACTTTTCGTAGGAAATTTTTTTAGAAGGATCCCTGCCGCCCCAATCGCATCTGTTGGTTACTGATTCGGCGACGGAAGCCCAAAAGCCGGAGCACGAAGAGGATCCGGCCGTAGTGCTGGCCGGGAAAATGACACTGTCCGTGATCAGTCTCGATTCGAGCGGTAAGTATGTCAAAAAGTGACGAAACGAGCGATTTTTTTGTTGTTAATTTCGTACCGTCTCTTGTAAACGATTTACAATTGATGTGGTAATAAAATGTTTGTTATTAATATTTTTCTTTTGATTATTTGTGGTGATAGTAGCGAGTTAATGTGAGGTTGTAATTTCACATTAATTTGTTGATAAATAAAAGTGCAACAAAAGACTGGGTTGGGAATGTTATACAGTGATCGATTAGGGAAATTGAGAATAATCGAACACTGTATTTTTTTTGTAATTTAATTTGTTAATACTTTTGTGGAGTCAGAACTAGTTTTTTGTTGTACATAATTAAGTTAATATAAGATGTTTTAAGAATTTTTTTCTAGAATAAACTTGTATTAAGTATATTCGACAAATATGGAATTATTCTTTAAGTTTTATTCTTGAATGAAGATTTTAGCAGAGATGCTGTGACATTTAAAAACTAGGTATGTTAAAATGGATGACTTCTGTTGTTAGTATAGTGTAGGTTAGAATTATTTTTTGGCCTTTTACTTCCATACCGAAATTTAATAAGCCCTTCAACTACCACGGATTGTATACTAGGTATTTTGAAAAGACTAGTCAAGTCTTTTTTAAATACCTTATCAATAAATATCTATTTTTCTATCGAATTATTTTAAAACAAGATCACAAACAAAAACAATTCTGATCTACATTATAACCCTTTTGTTTTGGCAAAGCTAAAATATTCAATAAAAATTGCATAAGTACACGAATCACAATTTTGCCTCAAAAATTAATTCTACAATTACTTTTCTATTAGATTAGCGAGTTTACAATTTTGGAATTCGCATAAAAATCGATATAATCGATTCATTAATCGATAAGCTTTTCCAAAACATGTGGAAATTCCTATAACAGTCACGAAACGGGCAACTTCTTGACATCTGTCTGTAATCGTAACTATTAATTAAAACATTGTCGCTCTAATCAAATCCCATTAATACGTCCCCGATGCACCCTCAGGCATAAACAGAACCACACGTTTATTCTAGAAACAATTCGCAGCCGATCGTCACGTAGAAATTCCCTTTTTCCTTTCAGAAAACGGCACTGACGACTCATCGAATTCATCGAAGAAGCCGGACGAACGGAGCAGCAGCAATGTATCCGAGGAATTCGAAAAAATCGACGTTTCGCTGTTAGAGAAGCAAATCGAGCGTGATCTTGAATCGCAATTCGCGCCTCTCGAAGACGACGCCGACGCTTATCCCGAAGTCCAGGAGGAAATTTGTGTGGCCAAGCATGCCTATCTTGAGGGTAAAATCGAAGATCTTAAGGGACATCGTCTAGAAGACGAGGATTTCGGTGATAAATTATTAGTGACTCATCAGGATTGTACTGGGGAATCTTCTGAATCGAAAGGAATCGCAGGATTAGACGAAACTGAGCTCTCTCTATTGCAGCAATATTTAGAAGATATTGAACAAGAAACGCCGTCTGTTGAGCAAGTTTCTTCTCCTCAGAGTGAACCTGAGCAATCTACATCTACTGGAGTTGACCAGGAAAGTACTGAAGTAGAAGCTCAATCGAAATCTGAACTTATTGAAGCTGCTTTAGAAGAAGAGAAGCCGTTGGAACAAATCTCACCTAATAAAGTTGAAAGGTTAGAAGAAACTGAGCTCTTTGAAAAAGAAAAACTCGCTTGTCTGCAAGAATACTTAGAAGATATTGTACCAGTAACGCCAAAATTAGAGCCAGTCAAGCAAGTTTCTTTTTCTGGGAGTGAAACGAGGCAATCTGCACCTATTGAAGTAGAAGTTTCTACATCTAAACCAAGCGAAGTTAATTTAGAAAAAGAGGAAATTACATCGAATATAGTTGAAGTACCACCTGAACCGAAAGAGACATCTTCATCTTCTGCTGAAATTAAATTAGAAGAGTGTGTACAGGAAGTTTCGTTATTAGATACGCCTAAAGTAGAACAAAAATCTGTCGAAGTTAAACAGACGAATTCAGCTCTTGAAATCGATTCAGAAGAGGCGTTGATAGTACAATCGCTAGAACATATTCCAATAGAAACCGAACAAAAATCCTCGCCTATTGAAGTTTCGCCCGAAGAGAAACAACCGCCTGTAGAAGTTGAATTAAAAACAACAAATCGAGAGACGGAAGAACAATCTGCAGCCGAGCCGAGCCAGAAATCCGAAGACGAAGAAGTAGAAGAAGAAGAGGAAATAGAAGAGGAAGAGGAAATAGAAGAGGAAGTAGAAGAAGAAGAAGAAGTAGTAGAAGAAGAAGTAGAAGAAGAAGAAGAAGAAGAAGCCGAAGAAATGGACGAGAAAAAGGTAAATACCGATGATTTAGCAAGGTGTATTTGTTTGTTTAAAAACCCGCCTCACCCTTACATCCTATCCACCTCCGACGACAATTCCTTGCTGATAGCCAGCATCATGATCGACAGCGATTGCCCGACCGACGAAAACGACAGCTGGCTGAGCGAAATCACCAAAGAAATCCAGTCGTTTTCGATGTCGTCGTCGGCCAAGAACTCCAGCACCCCGACCGCCCTCGTCAACTTCATCCTGCGATCCCGCGTCAAGCCCGAGTTCCAGGAACTGTTCGTCGAATCGTTGGACAGCTGCACCGATTCGGGCAACAACGTACCTTCCTATTTGCAAACCGCTTCCATCGATTCGCTGCGCAACGAGATCCAAGCCGAGAACTTCTTCGACAAGGCGCGCATCTACAACTCCATCAAGAACATCCTCATCCATTGCTTCGTCAAGAAGCTGCTGTACGAGCTCGTCGACGCCATGTTCTACATTATTCACAAGTGCGAAGGTGAAGCGGAGGAGGTTTGGAAAATCCGAACGACCCAATCGATGGTGAAGCGCACCTCCGAGCAATTAACTGTTATCTATCGTCGTAATAACGTGTTTGAAACTGATGTGTCGAACCAGTCCAGTGGAACCCACCTGTGCTCGAAGTCGAGGCTGTTGCTCGCCGAGAACGAGACCGAGCGCGGGCAGACGCGGAAGGTCGTCAAGACGCTGTTCATATCGAATTTTTCGCTGGAAGAAACGCGCCGCAAGCGACACAAGCCGATTAAATTGTTGTCCGAGAGCTCCGTGTTGTCCATACCGAATCGATTGAGGTTTCTGTTCAAGCAACCCATCGCGCCGCTTCCCATCGAGAAATCAACTAACACGGAGAATATGGTCGAGCAGCAGTCGAAGGAAACGCAGAAATCGACTATTGTTTTCAAAGCGATGGTGGACGAACCGAAAAAACCAGTGCAAGCTTCGACTGCAACGAATAAACCAGTAGCTAAGATTAATAATAAATCGAAGAAAGGGAATAAAGGTGTAGTGAAAACTGAACGTGCCAAACGTTTGATTCCTAATGTGTCTGTGATACCGAAGAAAGTATCCAAACTTAGCGGAAGCAATACAATACAAATACAAATATCTCTACCCTCGTCGTTGGGAAAGCACGCAAAGAAGGTACCAAAGAAAACTAAGAAATCTCCGCAATCCAAATTGCCCCCTATTAAACAGTCCAAATCGAAGCTAAAAAGTCCTAAAAAATCCGCGCAATCTCTAAACAAAAGCAAAAAATTATCGCGATCCGATTTGAAGAAATCCAAAAACACCACCCAACCTCTCATCAAGCGTAAGCACTCCTCGCAATCGCAGCTGAAAAAACCCAAAAAATCGCAATCTGAAATAACCAAGCGCAAAAGCGCATCGCAATCTACGCTCAACAAACCGAAAAAATCCCAACAAACCGCCCCGCTCACTTCAAAAAAATCTCAAAACACATCGTGCACCATCGTATCTGCGAAGAAATCTCCCGTCGTGATCCAACCCGCACGCCACTTATTCAAAAAAACCAACAGCAAATGCCAGCAAACTTGCCTATCGCTGCTGCCTACCGAAGATATCGACTACGAACACCTCAACGAACAACAGCAATTGATCTACGACAAACCGAGCGTCGGAATCGCCACGCAGCCCGTCGAGTGCCGAACCGTCTCCGTGGACAACTTCCATCCCCAGCAAAAGTACGTCGACGACGATTTGATCGAAGTGGAGAAGCCGCATAAATTGGTAGCGCCGTCGGTGCCCACGTACAAGCACATCTTCATGGAACCCGATCCGTCCATGCGGATGATGCAGATGGATAGGTACGATAACCTGAGCGTGGCCACGCAGGCGTCGGGGTCGAATCTCATTCGCGACGATTCGAAGACCGTGAAAATAAAATTGTTCGACCAGGACCAGAAACAGGCCGATGCGAGTCACGGCTCGCACGCGCACGGCGAGAAGATCACCTCTCGCACGGTCGACACGACGGTGGTGAAGAAGAAGATACTGAAGCGGAGGGAGAAGTTCCAAATTTTCATTTTCCCTACCATCAAGGTTTCGCAATCGGATTTGTGCCAGTGCGAATGCGTAAGTTGCCATTGAAGTCCATCGTAAATCGCGAAGGTTATTGGACAAGCTCTGAGGAACGAACCTTTAAATTCAAGTCCTGGTATTATTTTGTATTGTTCAAACTGTCAATCAAATATGGTCAATTTCCCTAAAGTTTATTTTCACATCCATTTATATTTACTCTCATGAACTGTACTAAATTCCACATCATTTATTTGTCGATTATTCCTCACTTGTTTACTCTAGGAACTTCAAAGAAGAAAGAAGCTGGAAACAATTTCATGTCGTTAAATCCTTTGAAACTACATCCTGAACCTTCCTTATCCCTTACCGCAATCCGTATTGTATAAAACGTTAGAATGAAATTACATAATTTATTTGTTGTAGGATATGTCCCAACAAAGTAGTATGAGAGCGAGTCCGAATTACATCGAATACGAAAGTGACTCTGATAGCGAGACAGAGGACGCGAACTACGAAAAGGCATGAAGAAGAAGAAGAAGCTCAAACGTGTACTTATGCCTAGCTGTTGATTATAAACGAAAGATATGTTAAACGTTACAGATCAAATAATAATGCATTAAAAATATTACTTTTTTCTTGTTACGTTCCTTCGTAGTTGAAATTTTGCATATTTGAAAAATATTCGTGACTTCTTGGATAATGTAGAAGGTTATTCGTTATTTTTTCTGTTTAATAGCGTTGTATGAAAAGAGTAATGTTATAGTAACGCATGCACTTCATTGTATTCTGCACATCGATCGTCCGGTTTTCGTTTTTCTATGTATACTTATTACATTTTCTACTAAAAAATGTTTACTTAGTTATGTGTAGTACATTAAATTTAAAATACAACTATTTATTTTTTCTTAATACCCTTTTCCGGTCAAAACAAAACAGCTCTACTTGAACTCTAATACTAGTCGAAATGATTAGAAATTTAATGAATTTAAGGATATCATTAGAGAAAAATATGGCACCGCAAGCAAAGCAATTTATCCAGTAAATTGGATTAGAAACATCAATTTCTGTCTCCAACAAAAAACCAAATACTAAATTTCCATTCAATATTTATGTGAATTTATATTGAAATGACAAATATTGATTGCAACATTGCGGTTTATCGAATAATTCAATTCATTAGTGGAGATTGAAACAATCTCGCGAGGGAAATGCGCAACGAATTATTGAATTACCTCCGAAACGCGATGGAAAATGGAAACGAAATTACTTCGACCAGAAAAATAATGCACATCGCTTTTGCGCTCGCCCCATTTTTATATAAAAACCTGGCAGATTTTTAGAAAAATCCAGACCTCCGCTTGCTCTCCACCGACCAAGTGCTACTGCTGCTCTGCTCCACCTCTTTGAAATTTCCCCTGTAAGTATTTATTTTATACAATTATTCACATATTACATGGATATATCAATTCTAAAAGTAGTACTTACGAATTTCTGACAGGTAGCGCATCTATAGATTTTTATTCATAAAATTTTGGTTACACACAATTTACACCTCTCATAGACCTGAACCAAATCCTTCATTATTCCTACTCATACCCATTTTAAGAGAATTCCCCTTAGAATAGGTCACTAATAGGTTGACATCGACAGGCCTGTAAGATCCTGTAGTACAACTAAAATGATCGATAAATAACTAGCCAAGTTTTTGTTCCAATACATTTATTTCAGCTGAACATCATGAAACCCTCTCACTGTTTCTTCTGCATTGTGGTGCTTCTATTCGGCATAATCTGCGCGTTGTCAGACGCCGCCTACAGGAGACCGCCCTTCAACGGCTCCATTTTCGGGAAACGGACAGGAATCAGCAATGGTAAGTGCACTCTTTTCGCTCATTTCACCATGAACACTATTAAACCGTCGGCGGTCATGCTTTCTATAAGGTACCGCATTTTTGTTTTTTACTGAGAATTTTGGAGTTACGTCTGAACTGTTTGGCGGATTTCGTCCTAATGACTGTTCCGATTCGGGTGGTTTCCATGAGAACGAGGCGATGTTCGCATGTTCTTGGGTTTCTATGGAAATTGGTCGGTTTTTGTTACAAATTAATGGTGCTTTTTTCAGAGGTTGAAAATGCCGGTAAGGCTCTGTCTGCAATGTGCGAGATCGCCAGCGAGGCCTGCCAATCGTGGTTCCCGGCGCAAGAAAAGTAATTTTTCAAAGATTCTTCGGACTGAAACGGATACGATTACGATGATTTTAAGTAGATGAATTTTGTATTAGTGGAAATAAATGATCCAATTTTATTACTTCTTTCACTTGTTACACCTCATCTTCTCACTCCCCGAAAATCTACTAAAATACAAAACAATGAAAAACAGGTAACGTTAAATTTATATTGTGGGTTATATTCATACTTCATGTACAAGTGTACACATATCGCTAAAAATCTTATGTATGTATTTAACATTGATTGCCACGATTTTACCACAATCGCTTAATATGTATAGATTACATCTAAAAATAAAATATGTACAATAGGTTTCCGAGTATTTTACAATGTCAGTACTTCCGCGTTTTTGTGACGTACAAAATCTGGATAAAAAATATGTGGACAGTCGTGTAAATATATCAAAATAAATTCTAGCAGGTCTGAAATAGTTTGTTCGTCGATTATCCATTCAAGCAATTGTGGTAACATTTGGGGTGTACAAGGCATGAGGAAAAATCAGAAAGATTAATACTATTATAGAGCAAGTAACATAGTAAGAGGGAACACCTAAATAGTATACTGAGTGATAATTTTTCTTCCTTATTAAATAGAATATCGCGCTCTCAAGTAAGCTCCTAAACATTTAAAAATTCCAATTAATCTCAGCTTATTTTAATCTCTATAAGACATAATGTGTATATTTTTCAGAGTGCGATATGTTGTAACGAGATAAATTATCGCTCAGTACGAGAACCACACAAATTATGTTATAAAAGGAGCTGCAGGGCAGCGAACATCACAATATATTTCTGAAACATTATAAGATTTGCGTTTAGATATAATTTTTAGAATTGGTAAAAATTGTTCACAACAAGAAACGTGAATGATGCGATTCAACGAAAGAAATGTACATTGGTTAAATTTGTTTAATAAAAATTCTTTAACAACACTTTACAATATTCACTAATTGGGAATAAAATAATAATTTTTGTATAATAATCCTAAGCTAATAATTTTAAAAATAAATAACATTTATATACATTTTTTTTATAAACATTATATGGATAAATGATAAAATTATCTATATGTATTCGTTTAATAATTACTTTGCAATTTTCGAATTACAAAACTAGATCAGATTGTGTTCATTTTCACATCAATTAGAGGTTAATATAATATTGTACAAATACATAAATTTGTACTTGCATATTTAGTAATTTTAATACTGTAATTGAATGTTTAATAGAAGCACGTTTAACGTCATTTTGTCTCAATCAAAATCCTGTAAGTACGATATTTCTTTTATTTGGATATGCTTCTAACAGCCTATTAAGCATTCAATTAATTCCCTAAGTAATGAACACCGCAAGAATCGCACGTAAAAGATGGTTTAGTATTTTTTCTTTCAATTACTGGCTCTTTGTATCTCAAAATTGTAATCAAACTCATACAGAACCAAACCCGCTTCTACAACCGAGCGCGGTACTCCATATGTATTTCATTATTAACTGTGAATTAATACTTCATACAAGAAAATTATAATACAAGCTAAGCTAACGAGCAAGGGTAGGAATTTAATGACTAGAATTATATAAATATATTTTTGAATAAATCGCGACGAATTTTAGAATTCGTCGTTTATATTTTTAGAATCTCGAAAATTATGAAAACTGTTTCAATACACGTTTCAATTTCTTCGGATATCTTTCATAAAAATTCGAGACGAATAAAAATATAGCACTTTGAAAATGGTTAGCAAACTAAATAGGCTAAAGCTATCTCGGTAAGTGACTAGCCCAACTAATTTCAAATGAAATAAGGAAATGCGGAACTTATATCAATTAATAATTCGCTATTCTTCCAAATTCCTACATTACTGGACGATTTTGAAGAACCATGCATTAGGTAAATGGTGGCGAAATAATCGAAAATACGCAAATAAAAATTGAGTTCTTATAAAAGAACTACTTAATTAATTTAATCTATAATAATTAGGATAAATAACATACGGATTTTCATCAATATTTAATGTTAAAATAAGATGTAGCAGTCGCAAAATATTTGATGTACAAATTTGGAAGAATAACTAAATAAATCAACGGTGCATACATTTACAGGCACATAGACTCTTGATAATTTAAGGCTGCAAGAAGACCCTATTTAGCTTGCTTTCGAGCCAAATAGGCGTAATAATAACGATCGTCACATTCGAATTATTGTCGCTCATCGTTTTAATAACTGATACAATTTCGAAAAACCAGTTGGGCTGTCGGTTCCGTCGCAATACATTTTTTTTCAATTCCCTTTTGATATCGCGCGCTTAAATAGTACGTAAATAATTCAATTCAATATAATCCGACAGCCCAACTAGTTCACCAAACTACGCCGTTCTACCACCCAAATTATAAACCCAGAGAAGTGTGTGCAAGTTAAAATGTTACACAGACGCATCGATTTAATTTAAACCATAACATTATATACCTACTCGTTCATAAGGTGACGTTAGACTGGAAAGGCCACGTTATCTATTCGGCTACCGTTCCGTTACACGTTGAACCTAGTTTCGGAACCGTCGGCCAACATCAGCGACACGGTCCTGTTGTTGATCCAAATCAAGCGAGCGAGACGCATGGGGTTCAGGCGCGACACGTCCGCTATGGGAGCCGTGCTGTAAGATTTCACGTTCTTCGTCTGCGACTGGCCCAAGCCGAACATACCTTAGGAATCGGGTCGAATTAGGACGATAAAATACAAGTATTCTGAGCAGTGTGCTTTTTAAATTTCCTACTTACCCGTGCTGGTTTGCCAGAAGCTCAACTTGTTATCGCCGGAAGCGTAACTGACCAAGAATTTCCCATCGGGGCTAAATGCCAAAGCGGTGACGGCCGACGAATGAGCTTTAATAGTAACGCACTTTCCCTGTCTAAGCTCGTACAATGTCAAAGATCCGGTATGCGAACCAACTAAACGTAACATTCAACAGGGTTATTCGAGAAACAACAATAGAGCTTAATCTTAAATATGTCTCTTAACATACAGAGAGGCAAGTTTCGAACGCTGCAATCTTTAGAAAGAGACTCTCGATTAATATCAATCAATATAAGATAGTAAGATGAATCGGCGGAGGAATGCAGCGTTCAAAACTTGCCGTACAGTATAGGAAATTGTCTTGTGTGTTAAAGGGAAGTCGTTATAGGATTTTGTAGCTGATTACACGGATATACAGATATCACTGGTTTCAAAACTATCCTCATTGTTGACACAGCAACTCTAGTTTTTGAGATACAGAATTTATAAAGATCTTAACATTAAAAAGAAAATGTGTAAACGACCCCAATATTTTTTATACCATTTGCGACGAGTAGATGTTTAAGAAATCTCTTTGTGAGACAAGTCAACTTGAACTTCTTCGAGAAGCCATTAGAAGTTTACAACAAGGCCTGGATTCCAAATATTGTTTACTAAAAGATTTTAGTTTCGGAATTCATGTATTTTTGTTAAAATCTCCTATCTTCGATATTTCAAAACGTAGAGCTGCTGTTGGAAAACGGACTTTAGATTTATAATCAGCCCGGTAAAATCATTTAGGACTAGCTATAAAACTTGATAACAGAAAACCTCTGTTCCCCAGTGTCATCAATCGAAAAATAGAAGTCCAAGAGATATGGAAAGAAAACAAGTTTCTTGGCTTACAAAAATTCGAATTTGGACCGGAATACAAAATGCAACTTTTGCATATAGCATAGGACCGTGCAAGCCTTTACAATGGTGATCGCTAAACGATCTAAAAAGGTACATGAAGAAATGGTATTCACCTGCTATTCTGCGCGTCGCCGGACAATGCGACACCTGATTAAACCGGCATACGGCCGGGAACAGCTCCTGCAAACCGGTACTTTTCAACTGACTCGGATCCACGCAATGCAATATGATGTCCATTAGCTGCAAATAAAAACGTTTATATTCGATATAACAAAACGAATCGACAGGCGAACCTCGACGAGAAGTTCGGACATTTCGTTTTGCATCTTGTCGATGAGAAGTTCGACGCCTCGTAAAATTTCCGGCTTCGCTCTGTGCAACACGTTGTTGTGCATGTTGATGTTCAACGTCTGTGCATTCTGTTGCATGGCGTTGTATCTGGCCACTTCTTTGGCCATGGTAGTAATAAATGCGGCCGGTCTGTAAAAACCACAAACACAATATTCCCTATTACCCAATTAATAAAATAAAATTTACCTAGCTGTGGCTATAAGAGTCAGAGCGTGTCTGGCGGTTCTACACGAATCGGCTTGTGGAGTTAAAGGTAGTCCGTAGGTCATGCTGGGAACCAATCTATCCGCATCTGAGCACATTTCTAAAAGACCTACGCAAAAAAAATATTTTTATTTACCCTTTTCTTAGGTTAATCTCACACACTCACCTAACAATACTTTACTAATGTCTAAGAAAGGGGCCCAAACGGTGAATCCCCTGCCTATGAGGTCGATGGCGGCTCGTCTTAAAGGAATGTGTGCTGGTAGTTTCGGAGAGGCAGGAGCTAATAGCAAATGGGACAACGCCATCGAAGTCAGTCTTGCCAGATTATTATTACCAGGACCTAAAAACGCTCGCCGATTAACTACCGAATAATACAGCGTTGAGAATATCGTACCGAAACCTTCGACGACGGAACTTTTCCTTCGATCTTCGCTCATTCTCCTCTTATTGTTGTCGCTACAAGTGATGTCTTGCCCGAATTCGGCCCCGATTACGCCTAATATAATCACCGCCGTGGACTGTTTCTTTTTCAATTCGGACAAACTCGACGGTTTGCGAATTTGCTCTTCCTCTTCTTCCTCGAATTCTTCGTCCTTTAAACGCGTACATACAATTCAAATGTTAAACGCACCGAATAGATTTTTTTTACCACTGGATCCGGACTGTGCGGTTGTTGGTTGGTAGTACCGTTCGTTTGCGGCACCGGAGACGTGGCTTGATGATTGATGGTCTCGATGTGCGTGAACTGCGGCAAATATTGCGCCCACGATTCCACCAATTGCTTCCTACCTTTAGGACCCATTCTAAAAATTATAAATAAACGAATTAGTATTGCATTGTAACAGCGCTCGATCAATTCACCTCGATAATTCGGCCAAAAGCAACGTTTGAGCGGCCTCCCTGACTTCTACGCAATGGTGTTGCCACCGTTTCACCATCATTTCCACTTGCGGTCTCTTGAAATTTTTAGCTCCGTGCTCGATCACCTGTAATTGTGCCGTAAAACGATGCAATGATGTTGTAAAATGGGGGATTTTTAACTCACTTTGTCGGGCAAAAGAACGCAATGCAACGTCGCCAGGAGAGACCAACCTTGCTTGATTTGCGCCTGTTGTTGCGTAAACATCTCGAACATCTCTTCGTTTTCTTCGTCCGTCTTCGACCAACTGACCCGAGTGGACTGTCTGCAAACAATGTTAGGTACTTTACGTAAGAATTCGTAAGGTTCAAATTTGAATTAAAAATGAAGGGATCTTTACAGGGAAGTACTACATCAGGTCGCTATACTATTACAAGAATTTATATGGTTCATAATGAAGGGATTTTTACAGGGAAATACTACATCAGGTCGCTATACTATTACAAGAATTTATATGGTTCATAATGAAGGGATCTTTACAGGGAAATACTACATCAGGTCGCTATACTATTACAAGAATTTATAGGGTTCATTACTACATCAAGTCATTATTGCTGTATACTTTACCTATGCATTTTCCTGTTTCTTTCTTGTTCGGGGACGAATGTGGCGTTGCTCATCGACATTAACGTGTGGCTTAGGGCGATTATGGCCAGCAAGTGATTGGTAGTTAAGGTGGTGCTTAGCTCCCAATGGGTTCGAGACGTGAATATTCTGGTGATTTGTTCCTGTCTGATGATCTCCGGCGGTAGGCTGTAGGTGAGGGCCAAATCGGATGGAAGGGGCTCCTCGTCGACGGGAATGGTATTGTGCCAAGTCGGAAGGAAAAGCGACATGTGATTGGCTTTAGATAGAACGCCGTACGAAACGGGTACCTGAACGGAATCGTTCGTTAATTGAATAATAGGTTAATTCGAATAATTAACTTGCCATAGGTCGTAGAAGACCAAGTTTCACTTGGCATACTCTATCGAGATCGTTGTCTAAACCCCACGAGTGTAGCAACGATAATAGAAGTTGCGCTATCTCCATGCCATGACTAGCTTCGATGGGGCCCAACGAATTGGGCTTTTTGTTTTTAGCATTATGTTCAGTTGGTTCTAAAAACGACAAAAATTGTTTTAAAATGAACCGGTTTTCCTCTAAATACATTTAAATAATATACACCTTAAGTACAACAAAAATAGTAAAATAATAATCACGTCTCTTGCGTTAGTGATATTTTTGGATAAATAACTTAAAAACCCGGTAATTGGCAATTCATTCAATAAGCATATTTAATTTCACCTATAACGTATTTATATAATGTGATAAAATATAATAAATTAGGGTAATTACATTTTAGAATAGGCTGTTGTTGAGTTCAAAAAAGAAATTGCCACGCTAAACTTTTAACATTGTTTAAATTACGAGGGATGTTTCCAAAATTCTGGATATTGTGCTCTAATTAAAATTCGCAGAATTTTTGCCAGACAAGTCTAGACATGTTTATGCAACTATCCAGTGCAATATTGTTCAGTCTGATTCAGGTGTTTGCTTGATATAGATGTTGTTTTTGTAACCATGGAAGATGCAACTTAAAGAGCAATAATTTCTTTTTGTGGAAAAAGTGTGAAAACATCAGAAATTACTCAGCGTCTGCAAGGAATATTTGGTGAGTCTACAGTATCCAAAAGTATTGTTTATCGATGGATCAGTCGGACACCTTAATCAGACTGAATAATGTTGCACTGGATAGTTGCATAAAAGCATGTCAAGACTTGTTTCTCACTAACATTGACCCATATTCAGCGCCTCATTTTAATTTTAACGTGACTCAAAAGTCGCGTTTCTAATCCCTAGTTCATAACAACAACGTACAACTGTCAAATTAGAGTATAGAGTATAAGTTGTGCGTAATTTAATTAGAGCACAATTCCCATAACTTTGTGACGTCCCTCGTAAAGTTCATCCAGGCAGCGGATTAGTGGCACTAGCATAAGCAACGACAAGTGAGCGTATTTGTTAATTAGCAACCGTTACATCAAACGTTTTACGGAATTAGTAAGTTAAGAATTCGGACGAGAATGAATTCAATCCTTACGGCTTATGCGATTAACTCGGTTTTCATTGAAACAAAATGGGGAAAGGAAACAGTGATATCCCGAATGAACCAAAAGAAAAAATACTTCAGAAGCTGAAACATCAAATTTAGAGATATTGTAGACTTTGTATGCCTTCACGCAAAAGTACAAAAAAAATAGTATATACCTAGAAATTTGATATGAATAGAAACAAATGGCAAACACAATAAATGATCAAATAAATATTGGAAAAAGTTATATCCAAAACCAAAGGTGATTGTAAAACAGATTAAAAAAACAAAACAAGTGCAAACGTTTAATTTACAAAATACCTTTCAAGTGATCTCCTGAATGTTTTAAAACGCTTTCCGCCTTTGCTATCGCTGATTCGGCGCCTTCTTTCATTTTTGCCAGTATTCCTGCAAACCAGGAATACAGACAGATTAATTAACAAAAAGCCAACAGTGGCGCCACCAATTTAGAAAATTACACGTTACAAATAGCACACTAAAAAAATGTTAACGAATGTTAGTGAAACAACTATGTATTACCATGCTTATCTTTTTCCTTTATTATCATTTCCATGTTTTCAGCCTTATTTTTCATTTTTCCGAAAAAGTCTTGCATAAAGAGAATTCAAAAGAATTAATATATCTGACCAAAAAACGGACAAGTTTTAAAATTAATATATACCACAAAATATATTCAACTTGATACCAAATTATAATACAATAATTCAATTATGGCACATATTTGTCAAAACTTGTCTCGAATTTATTCGAAAAATAGTGAACATAGAGAATTGAATTTTTTTATGTCGTACACTCACCTACGATCTTTTTATGGGCATCAGGACTAGCACTCTGCGTCAAAGCAGCCACTTTCAAATACTCCGTAGCATTAATTAGACCGGCCGCTTCGAGACTACCGGGCGACATCGTTTCGTATTCTTCGCTGAGCAGTTCTATTATCAGCGCCTCAATGTCAAAAAATAAAATGTGGCTTTCGGGATCTGCAACGAAAACGAATATACTCGAATAGAAGTCATCCAATTTTGGTTAATCCAAACCTTTGGGATTTGTTCGTAGGCCTTGTACGGAAAGAGGAGAGTTGTGGTTTCTCTGCATGTGCGGATCATCGTTGTTCGTGTGAGCACCGAGCATCTGCAGTTGATGTAGACCCCTTTGAGTGGCATGCCGAATGGCGGACAAATTCCTATGTCTGAGCCCTCTAAAGAAATGCACGGCCGGATTGGCCAAACCGACCTCGGAAGACGTGTTGTTAGCTTCGTTTTCCTCGCAGGCGTAGAGCACCTCTTCGGCCGCGATGCCCTGCAGGACTCTGTCCAAATGGCCGGTCTCCATTTGCCACACGTAGACCGTACCGTCCGAGCAACCGATGATCATGAAATCGTCGTTAGGCCTCCATTTGATCGTAGTGACGGGAAACAGATGTCTCGACGCCAAGCAGACGCATTTCCTTTCGGCCAGGCTGAGTAACGTCACCGAATGATCCGAAGCCACCGAGCAAATGCACTTTTGTATTCGAGCCTAAAATGAAAGCAGCGAATTCCAGGTCGTTCGGTTAAATGGAAGCGGGTTTACTCACGCTGCAATTATTCGGAGGCACCAATAGTTGGGTAATTTCTCCGGCGTGTACGCAAAATCTGTGAAGCAATGTTCCGGCGTACAAATCCCACAGGCACACGGCAAAGTCCACACCACCGGACACCAAATGGTTCTTGTCATATCTCGAATGTTCTCTATGCGGATAGAGAAGGCAATTGACCCTACCACCGTGGCCTGACAGTATTTGATGTTGAGGCCATCCTGCAAAAAATATGTTATTTACAGCCTTATTCATAGTCCTATTTAGTGGCTACTAACACACTACTAACATCCCACTAAAAAAATCGTATTCATAGTTCCATTTAGTGGCTACTAAGATGTTATTTTTGTTAGTAGCCACTAAATTTCTTAGTGGCGTTACAAGCGGTGTTTAAGTTACTTTTAAACATAATTTAAAACGTCAACAAATATCTAGTGCGTAAAATCGAGTGTTCACTGCGTCTTTCCTGCCTTTTTACTGTGTTTTTACTACCTTTTTGCTAAGTACCTCATCGTTACTAATATTTGAATTTCAATTGGATTTCGTATTAATACATTTACTTCAGCTGTTAATATTTTAACTAATAAGAAAATTTAATACACTTACCGCTAAACTGCTGATGGTTACCATGAAGTAGATGTAACATCACAGTCTGATTTGCCGGTACGATTATTATCGTACCATCTTCCCTTCCGACCACTAACCTACTTTGTAACGGTAAATAAATACTGGCCGTCAGTTTAATAGCTGTAAATATTCAGTTTTTTTTTAAACGAACAGTCCAATCAAATTTAGGAATGCTTACATTGACCTTCCTGCTTCTCTAGCTGATCCAAAATACCGACGGGACTCGGATTTACGCCTGCCCACGCCTCGGTTAGGCTGGTCGTAAGGGTCGCTTTCATAGCGATTGGTTGAGGTAATTTTTGTCTTTGGATTTCATCTAACTGCGCCGCCGAAATTTCGGGAATACTCCACACTAAAACGTATCCCTCCGAATCGCCTCTAATCAGATACCTGGATTTGTTCTGCTTGTTTTGTTTGGTAGTCGTAATGAAATGCATCGCTGGAGGGCATGACAGAGGCTAAAAAAATTATTTAGTATAAAAAGAAATTACTTAATAGGCCGTATTTATAAAAAGAAGCATACCTTTTACTTTAAAAAAATGAAGGAATTACTTCAAAGTATATGCATAAAAAGAAGTAAAGGAAAAGAGGTTTTGCTTCGAGGAAACTACTGTTGCTTTAAAGCGAAATGTTGCATGGTTTTAAAACCGTTTTTCTCTAATCTTTTGCTTCTACCTTTACTTCAAAAGAAATGCTTCATATTTATAAACTTGGACTATTGTATATAAAAACTTTTTTAATATAAATGAACTTTACCTTACTGTCTGGTTGATTCAAAATGCAATATAAAAATGGGCTATCACTTTCGATACTTGGAGTATGAAAATCAGAATGTTCTGGTATACTGCTACAATAAATACAATTTATTGACAAACTTAAAGTTAAAGTATTAAAAAAAATATTAGATATATGTATATTGCAAATGAAGGTAATTGTCCAGATGCATTAATATCTTATATAAGTAGATGGAAGATAAATAGTTGGTGTATTGCAAGAGTAGTTCTTTTGGAAATAAAAATATTTACATAGTTAGAATGTTAAATAAAAGTTACTAAAAGACATGCAATAGATAGTTAAGACTGAAATAAAAGTGATGCTCGAAAAAAAATAACCTTATGTTCACTAAAATGATTCGTTTTTTTAAAACAATGAGAAACTTCTTATTGTTAGTAATCAATTATAATTTTTTGATTGATACACAAATCCAAAATAAAATATGAACAATACAAAGAGGGCATTTGTATAAAATGTGAGCGAAATCAAAATTATAAGAAGCTAAAAATGTCTAGATAGGATGAGATAAATTAAAACTAAATAATAAAAGCATCGACAATACAGAAGCTCTCCACAGAATTAACGAACTATTCCATTTATTTTAAATAGAAATAAGCTTTGTAGAAGTAAATGATTTTGCCTATACATCACCGACATTTACTAATTTATTTAATGATAAAGTTAAACCACTTAGTTAAATTTATAACAAAGAAACATTTCAACAAACATAAGGTTGAAAATTTGATAAATTTAACCACAAGAAACAAAATTGTGCTCTAAAAATTATTTTAAAAAGCATAATTTCTGTACAGTTAAGACGCTCGACAACAGAAAGCAAAATAAAAAAACACATTAAATGTAGTGAAAATCTAACCTATTATTAATATTCTTGCCACGTAGCTTGCTGTTTGTAGTCCATGTGAAAACAAAAAAGAAATCATTAATAAAACTGGCTAATGGAGGTGCGCTTTAAGAAAAAACTAAACAGTAAATGAATGCCATATTGCCAACTATAAAATATGATGATCAAGTAAATGTTGTGTTTAGTTTAAATAAATAAAAATTGCCCGCTATGTGTACTTATTAAAATTTAGTACCGAAAATTAAGTACTGCAAAATTGCAACGTTTTTGAAGAAAAAAATTAATTTTTGATAAATACACATGAAAAGTTAACAAACCTAAACCAAAAGTTAAAACACCTTTTCTTGTTAAATACTTAAAACTGAAATAATTATTATCAGATTGGACAGTTGAACTATTTAAATGATCTTACTTAGATGGTAACTTGTACAGATAACCTTTCCCTGCGTCTGACCACATTATTATTCTGTCGATAGCCAGAAAATCCCCGGACATCCATCTTTCACCTCTTGGTGCCAAGTAGGAACACAGTACACTAAAATCACCTAAAAATTATAGTTCAACGTTAAATTCAAACCCAATTTACACTGAAATATCAACTCAAATTATGATAAAAAAGCCTGAAATTTTGCAGTCTTTTACCTGCATCATATATTTGCCAATATTTGGTACAAACGACAAGCACAGTTCTTTGGTTATAGCTGCAACACTGCAAACAGGCTGCATTCAAGGTACGTATTTGTTTACTTTCATTTTCGTAAATAGGTTCTTGATGCCTGTTTTCAGCCCCTGTTAGAGTCCACACTTTCACCATACCCGTCGTCGTCAATGCTAGCACCACATCATCTTTGCGCTTCGATGGTCTCAGTACCTTAAAGAACGAATAATTATAAATAATTAGTAAATAATTTAGAAGCAGATTTACATGTAGTGCACTAATCCAATCAGGATTTTGCTTTGAAGAAAGCATAAATAATATCTCCAAACTAAACGGGTCCATAACAAGGATTTCCGGGTAGTATCCGTTACAGAATAATCTAAGATCTTCACAGTTACACATGTGGTATGCCTATAAAAAATGATATTGTTAAAAGCTGAACAAACATTTGGGGTATAATGTACAATTTACCTGCATATTAGTGTGAACTTGTTGTAATTTAACTGCTTCCCGGCATTTTCCATCGATCAAATCCCAAGTGCACATTTCGCCAGCCTCCGAACTGGAAACAATGTAATTGTTCTCTTGGATCATCGAAGCTCTCGTTATGCATAATATTGGAGCTGTATGGCCAACTAGTAAACATCTCGGTATCATCTGAAGAGTATCCGGATCGACTTGCCTAAAAAGATTTTCGTTTATTCAAAAAAACTTGCATGCATACACACATTAGAAATTCAAATCATACTAAATTATTGATATCATGTAACAACAAATTGAATTGCAAAAAAGGTAATTATATCAACATGAATAACGTATGATTATTTATGTTTTGGTGATAGCCGAATTACCACATTTTTTTCTATCAACTTGGTGTAAATAAACAAACATTCCAATAACACAAATATAAATTTGTTATCACATATAACTTACCATAGGCATATTTGTCCATCGTAACACCCAGTAGCTAACGTTCTCAGGTCTTTTGATAAATAAATGCAAGATATACAGTGTGTTGGAGCATGCCTGCCCCAAAGCACTACAGGTACGACCAGACTGGTGCCAGGCATTTTTATATCTGCAAAAAACATGGATTATTCATATTACAATTAAAAAACGGTATAATTAGCGTCAATTAATGCCTTAGCGTTCATGTTAAAGTCACGTGATTCTATTTCCCCTTTTTAGAAGATTCTGCGTTTGATTTAATGAAAAGCAATAAATAATTGAGTACTTAAGTAAATGAAATAACATTGACATAGAAATATTAAAGATAAAATGTAAAGCGATAAAAAATACCATTTTAAACTGTAATCATGTTTTATCAGCAATTACCTGGCAAACACGGGCTAACTGAGAACGAATTACACTCAAAATATTATATTCTCCAAATTATTAAACATAATGTAATTCGCCATCTTACTTTATAATCAGCTGTTTATCACTTGACAATTTGACGTTCCCATCAAGAATTTCAAAGATTACGCCTACATTTTCTTTAGAGTCATCCCATGTTATTCTATCGTGTTTTAGAAAAAAAACGACGTAAAAAATTAGCAGATGGTTAAAAATAGGAGTAATTAAATAGAGTTCTGAGAAGATAACAGAAATAAATTCGAACAATTTGAGTCTAAGGAAAAGAATAAAAATTAAAAAAAGTAGAAGATTTTTTTGAGAAGTTGGCAGCAATGAAATATATTGACATCACTTGTAACTGTCATTTCATTGACATTGACATTATTGATTTGACATTTGCTAGGTTGATGGATGCCTAACCTCTCACATCAATTAATTTCTACATTCATCGATCATATTTTATCTAAATCTTAGTACTTGCAATACATTAAAGTACGATTTAGTTCAGTTGTGTTGTAAGGTATAAATTTATATCGAGTAAATATGTGAGTTGGCCACGTTCAAGTTACTAACCTTACTTCAATCACCAGCAAGTTTTACTGTTATACGAATTATACCGCTGACGAAATGAAGTGTCATTACGAAGTCCTAGAGGTATCCCGAGATGCCGACGAAGCGGAGATAAAGACGGCTTACAGAAAGTTGGCGCTGAAGTGGCACCCGGATAAGAATCTGGACAATGTGGACTTTGCGAAGGAGCAGTTTCAAATAGTTCAACAAGCCTACGACGTATTGAGCGATCGACAAGAGAGGGCCTGGTACGATAATCATAGGGAACAAATCATAAGAGGGGCGAGTTCCGAATTCGAAGATAAAAGTTTGGATGTGTTCCAATATTTTACTGCGACTTGTTTTAAAGGATACAACGACGACGAGGACGGTTTTTATACAGTATACAGAGACATTTTTGAGAAATTGGCGAAAGAGGATATGGAATTTATGGATGATAAGGAAGAATTTTGTAATATTCCCAGTTTCGGTTACTCAGAAAGCAGCCCTGAAAACGTCTCAGAATTCTACGCGTACTGGCTTAATTACTCAACGAAAAAATCGTACGTTTGGTTGGACCCCTACGACATAAAAGATATCCGTGACAGGAGATATATAAAAATGGTAGAAAAGGAAAATAAGAAAATAAGGCAGAAGGCTAGAAAAGAAAGGAACGACGAGATTAGGGCGTTGGCAGCTTTTGTAAGAAAAAGAGACAAACGCGTGGTGCAACAGAAAAAATTACAAGAACAAAAATTGTTGGAAAACAAAATGAAAAGGGAATCGTTGAACAAACAAAAACGATTAGAAAGGCAAAGGGAATTGGCAAATGCCGCTGGTCAACCCGAATGGGCAAAATTCGACAATGTAAAATCAGAACTGGAAGAAATTGAAAAAACGTTAGCTGAACAATTTGGGGAAGAATTATCTAACTCGGAGGACGAGGAAGAAGAAGAAGATATTAACGATTTATACTGTGTAGTTTGTTCCAAACTTTTTAAAACTCCGAAGGCTTTCCAAAATCACGAAAGCAGTAAAAAGCACAAAGAAAATGTTGAAATCATGAGACAAACGATGATTGAAGAAGATGAAGATGAAACTGATTTAGAAGAAGAAGAAAACGAAAGCGATTTAGTAGAAGATGAAAACGAATGCGATTTAGTAGAAGATGAAAACGAATGCGACTTAGGTGAAGATGAAAAGACGCCAAATGAGTTAGAAGAAAGTGATGAGTTGTCGGATAAAGAATTATCGACTAATAGTAAAAGTAAGAAAAATAAGAAAAAGCGTGGCATTAAAGTAGTATTAGATGAAGAAATTGTTGAAGAATTACCCATTAATATAGAAACTTGTCCTGATGAAGATAATTTTGATTTCCCTACAAATAAAAATCAAAAGAAGAAAAACAAGAGGAAACCGAAAACAAAAAATACATCTAACGTTCAGTCGGAATCGATGACTGATACACCTGATATTAAAGTTGAAAATGGGAACAATAAAACTAAGGATAATAGGGTGAATAAAAAGGATAAAACCTCGAATAACATTCAGGAGTTGGATCTTGACCATAATTGCGTAACTTGCAAATCAAATTTTTCTTCAAAAAATAAATTATTTGATCATCTTGTGAAAACAGGCCACGGTGTTTATATACCTCCCACCGTTAAGAACAAACCTAAGAAAAAATCGCTTAGATAAATAAATACCTGTTATTATATTAAATATTAAAACTAAATTATTGAGTGTTTTGTTATTATTCATTATAAGTTGTGAATAAATGTTTCATTTTCGACATTTCTTTACTAGTACCCAAATCAATTGTAACATTGAAAATTAAAAAAAATCAAATAAATTTATTAAATTGAAAAATTAACAATCGTAAGACTTACAATAAAATATGTACAAGGGACACATTTATATATAACAAAAATATCATTTCACTTTTAAATAACCTTATCAATGTACAATCTGTTGTAGATTCCTAACTATGCAACAATCGGTAAAATTTCAAATACGCTACACTAATTCTAATTGTCAGATTGGATTTCTTCCCCGTCGCTGTTGAACTGCGAGGAAACCCAAGCCAGACCCCACTTTAAATTTGTTAGCATGAATTTCAAAGCTTTAGTCCATTGCTCCTCAGAATTTAACTGTATTCTAAAAAAACGTAATTGTTTTTGCATTTTAAAGGCAATTTACTTTAGTACATACTTTATGGAATAACTGGCATCTTTATCTTCGATTTTTCCTTTATTAGTTCGATACGGGAAGCAAAACACTTTATTCCCCTTTTCCAGTTTTTCGACTTTCTCTTGAAACTGTTGCAGGCAATCCAGAAACGCCACCATTCCGCTATCGAACTTCGTGTCCCACAAAAACTTAAATCCTCCGGAACCGTACAACGGAAGCTCTTTGTCCTCCTCCAAGGACTACAACAAACAATTGATATTCATAAAAATTGCCTTTCAAGCTCATCTTTTACTTACCACAATGTGCGAGTGATTGCCAAAAGGGACCAATCTGAATCTCTCGAAAGTTAAATTGATTTTCCTGGCCAATGATGACAGTAACAACGCAGTTTGGCCCCAAGCAGCGTTGATTTCGGACCAATCAACGGGAGCAGAGGGCAGGCGACCCAAACGGAAGTTATTAATAGTGCCGAAATGGCCTTTGTGCCATATATGAAATGTAGCATTAAAAACGTTGGTTCGTTGGAGCTTATCCAATTGCACGTTTACATGGTTCAATTGGCATTCAAGACTAAAATTAAACAATATTTAAACGAACCGAGGTAAATATTTTGACGCGAACATTGTACCTTCTTCCTTCTTCTTCTAACACCAAAAAGTCTCTTTTATGTCTGGTGTATTCTTTCCAGTAGCGATTCTCTTCTTCGGATATTTTCTCTGCAATTTGTTCTTGTTCTTCGATGCTTTTTTGCGTTTCTTCTTCTTCGTTTTCAAGCGCCTTTAGTTCATCTAACAATCTCACTTCTTCCGCCTTCAGGTCGTTCAATTCTTTTTCTAAATCGGATAATTTGGGTTCATCCTTATCGCTTTGCAACCTAAAGCAACAAATATAAATAAACATTAGAAAAAAGTAGATATGAATGAAATAAAAAAGGAAAAACAAGAATACATACATTTTATAGTATCTGCTATAGTCATCGTAATCTTCTTGTGCAATTTTAAGCTGTTGGTCCAATATTTCTATGAGGTTGTCTGTACATTCATCGCATAACGGATGATCAATATAAGAATTTCCAGAGAGCGTATCAAAAAGTGTGGTTTGTATCTAAAATAAAGTGAAAGTAACATGTTAATATGAATAAACGTTCGCGATAAACTGCATAAACCAAATGCCATGTGATTACTTTGAATTGATGGCTGAGCAAATCAACTTCGTTTTCATCTGAAATCAGCATGAACCCATTGGCGCCATTGCCAGAGTCAGATAGCCTGAACGGGGGTACATAATGATCAAAGCTGGTGGCTTGAGATTCCAAGTCGACTTCGGGATTAGAATAGATGGGCACTACAAAATGTTCAATTGATGCTGATACACAAACAAAGGACCTTGTACTTACAATTAAGTTCTGCAGATGTGTGTTCGCTGAATGAGTTCAATGATTCGTCCAAACGTAATGATTGCGAACATCTTTGGCATGCAAAAGATACAAACAGTTTGTCTTCTGCCATTTCAACGCTTTAGTTCATCTTCCTTCATTTTATTTTACAGCACAATCCATTCCCAAAACAATCTTATCACTGATTTTTTTTTGACATACGACAGTGACAGTAATGACATTTAACATATGATTCTCTTAATAATTTGATAATAACAAAAAAGAAGAAATGTTATTTAAGTTATTTTAGGTTATGTGTCATTGGTTGACAACTTACCTTACATAATTCAAAATGCTTTTCAGACAAGAAAATACCTCCAAAGAGAAGGAAATCGATTACTTAAACGTCCCAGACGGGGAACAAGTTGCAGAGAAATTATGGTACGTTCTAAAACCCGCTGCTGGTCTAGCAGTATTCGCGGGTACATTTGATGTCATTGCTTGGTCGCAACCAAAAACTTTACTAGGAGCCCTAGGGCGATTCGCTCATTTTAGTTTTCCCATACTTGGGGTAAGCTCCACGTTCGTCCTAACAAGTAACGCTGTTGGTAGTCTGCGTAAGAAAGACGATATTTGGAATTGGGTGATTGCAGGTTTCGCTGCAGGTATGTACTTTTTTTATTTTTAAATTAGAGTCTATCTGCTTGCGATGTATTTGTGACTCTTAATGTTAATAGGTAAGCTAAATTATTTGTAATATTCTAGGCTCCGTTATGGGTATTTGGAGAAGAAGACGTATGGAAGGATTTAATTACGGATTGCTGTTCGCACTTGGTGGCGCTATTAGAAAAGATACTGCATTGAAAGGTATGGGCTACTATCTACCCGAAAATCATGTTCAAATGGAAGGATTGAAAGTTCATGATTTTACACTCACCAAACATATTCCTGGAAACTGGACCTCAGGAAAGTGAATGCATTGCATATAGTGCATGCTAGATATATTCATTATAAATAAACGTTTTGTTAATATTTAATAGTCCAATTAATTTTATTTTTAATTATTTAATAATGTCATGTGGAGTAAAAGACCAAATAAATCGGACGTTTGATTTGACATTTCGTTGACACCTGTCATCACAATATCAAATCTCAAAAAGTACTTCAATAACTATTCAAATTCAACAGTTGTTATTCTATGAGTGAAACAGTAAATAAAAAATATGCAAAAGCAAAGATTGTCGCGCGAATTAAAAAAAATATCGACTTCTCCACCTCAAGGGATTTGCTTGTTTCCAAAAAATGAGGATTTGTCTAATTTAGAAGCGAAAATGACGGGGCCTCCGAATAGCCCTTACGAAAATGGTGTATTCACTTTGGAAATAATTATTCCCGACAGATATCCTTTTACGCCGCCTTCTGTTACTTTCAAGACAAAAATGTACCATCCGAATATTGATGAGAGCGGGCGAATTTGCTTAGACTTGCTTAAAGCGGCTCCGAACGGTGGTTGGAAACCTACAATAGGAATAGAAGGGTTGCTAATAGCACTAAGGATGCTTCTGGAATGTCCAAATCCAGATGATCCGTTAATGGAAGATATCGGGGAACAATTCAAGAATAACAAAGAAGAATTTTGGAAGAGAGCGAAGAGTTTTACTGAAAAATATGCTCGATAGACTGGTAGGTTAAGGTTATTTTTGTTTAAGTATAAAGTTAATGTCGTTCAAGAGCATTTTGTTAATTCTTTTCAAAACTGTTGCATTAATATATCCGAACTGAGCTATAACTTTTATGAGGGTAAGTGCAAAATTGTTTGGAATATGGTCAATTCTATGAGTTGAACAGAGTCAGAAAATTAAAACAACAGTGGCTAAAGTGGGATAGTTGCAATCCCACAATATCACTTTCTTTTTCTTTATATAAGACTAATGAAGTTGTCTTTGTTGCACCCATAGACCATACTGCGTACAAATTTGCACTTAAGTGTGTTTTACTTCTTCAGAGGTGGTAAATCAAAATAAAACCCAATGTACTAATTCATCTTATTTTAAAATCACAGTCTGATTACAATTATACAAAAAAATTACATAAATGCAAAGTTTATCAACAAAATTTAAACAAACTCTTAATCGCAGAATAAAACAAATAGTGTTCAAATTCTGTTGAATATTTCATAACTTTCGATTTTTAATAATAAAATTGTCGTCTTCAGTCAAAAGTTACAACTAAAGTAAATTAATAAATGTATATTCTAAATTAAAAAAAATATTTAACATACGCAATGGCAAGTGGATATTTATTTTTAACTTTCGAATATGGATGAAAATTGAATTCAATAAACATAGAAATATGCTATTTGTAACGATTATATTAAATTATTCTTAATAGGACGCTAAAATGATTTACAGTTCTTCATAAAACTATTCGAAATAAATTTCATAAACATACTTGTATGTCTGTCAAAGATTCGCAGAACTTTGGAACAATGAAAAATAAATGCCTCGTTATTAGAATAATTGATGGAATATTTGAAGAACGTAAAATAAGTAGAACGAACCAACTAATTCTTAAAAGGTACATACATAGATATAAAAATGGAGTAAATTGTTTGATAAAACATATATTAAACGTAGATAATCTTCATATAAACAGTGTGTTTTTATATGAATTTGGAGTGGAGGATGGGCCTCTAAATTAATTTTTTACATTCACAATAAATATTCCTCTTTTAATTTCACTTCTTGGAGTATTTTAGGTTTGTGGTTAAAGTATATTATTTCAAGTAAAAGGAATATTTCTGGACACACAGAAAATATGTAATTCTTGTATGCTTCATATGAAATTTAACTTTAATCTTATGAAGCTTTTATAGAGTAACAAAAAGTGAAATATAATATGCAAATTAAGTTTAGTTTATATTTCATTCTTTTCCATTGTTTTTTTTTCAATACTCTTGTTACAGGGAATACGAGTCAAAATTTGCTTGTAAACATTTTCAAAAAATTGCACCACATTAGTGAATTTATGTATCCAAACGTAATTGTTTTCTGGCTATATCAGATTTAGTAAATTATGTTTAAAGCTATTAATTGTTAGAGTGATCTTTAACACTATTTTTTTATAGAACGTAAAGAAAATAGACGTTTTGACGTCACACTAAAGTGGTGCATTGCTAAATTTGACATTAAAATATTTGCTAAAGATAAACTTTCTATCAAACCTTTCAAAAAACGCTGTATACAAAAAAATCTTGTTACAAAGATAACAATTTCATCAAACAATTTCTTGAGTTTTGGAAGAGATATAGTTTCGAAGTTCTTTTATGAAATTAAACATCATATTTGTCATTTCGCTGTCTAGCACAGTACCGGGTAACCATAATTTCAAATCGATGTTTACGATCCAATGTAAAACGCTCTTTTTCGAATCATCCATCGTTTCTATAACGAAGCATCCGATATTATTTTCTCCCCTAAAAAACGCATGTCATTGTAGAAACACATCTGGAAAGATATTCGGAAATATATATCTGGATAGTTACCTTACGATTTTCTTGCTTATAGGAAATGAGGGGTGTTCGGTTTTGCACACGCATATCACATATGAATGATCGCGTTTTCCCCAGTGCCTCAGATTGACGAAATCCCGACTAGCTACTAGCCCACCAACCGCCTCCTTGGATACAGTATAGGTTATATCAGTGTATTCGTCGAAAGAATGGATTTTGTAACACTCTTTGATATTGGAATTCCACATGGGAAAATCGTGTTCTCTGTAGTAAAGCTCCTCTAATAAATACTTTGGGTCCACGTCTATTGGTGCCTAAAGATAACATAAGTAGAAGGTCAATTTCATTTTATAAAGAATTTAACTATTTAAAATTTGACGCATTACCTGTAATTTGAATATTTTTCTTCGGCTTTGATCTAGCCTCGTGTAAACTTGGTCATTTTCGAATTGTCTTTCGAGGACCCAATCTTTTTCTTCGAAAAGTTTCCATGCTTCAATTAGATTTTTACTGGCCACATGTTTATAATTATCTTCCTGGAAAAAAACATTTATATCTTTAATGAAAACACTTAAATAAAGGTAGATAGTGTTAGTTAAATGCTACAAAGAAAATCTTACCATTGAGTTTTTCCGAATTTAAAATATTTTCACTATAGAAAGAAGTATTATACGTACTTCCTAAATAATCACTGACTTAATCGGTTGATCAAATTTTATACTACCCCGACAAACCGTTTTAAAATTGTAATTTAAAAATTTTAGAATTTCAAATTCTCTCACTCACAGCTTTTTTAAAATTCATCCCATCAATAAAACCCGAACAGATCCCACTTTACAATTTAAAAACCATGATTTTAATTCAAAAGATTCAACGCAGTTTTGTACACTAAGAGAAAACTTCTCTTTCGCTTTTGTAAAATTAGTTACCCCTCATTAAGTTTCTTCTACCAGAAATAAATTAGTATAAGAATCCCTACATTACGTACGTCTTGCTTGGAAAATTTAATCGGTATAAATTCATACGGGATTCTGTCGTTCTGTTGGAATCTCCGCACGGAATTTTCGGGAGTGCCTTGTGGTGAATAAAAGTTTCCAACGCTTTCAGTGTACGTCGACGGAAGACCTTGAACATAACTCCTTATAAGAGGAGTTCTCTCATTGGCTAAAACATCGCAAATTAGTTATCTGGATAAAAAAAAGATTAAGTTGGGAGATTAAGTTAAGCGATAAATGCATGTACGTTTTGCGGATGTATAAAAAAAAACATTACTTTGCAATATACAATGTGGTGTGTAAACAATATTCCACAGATTAGTGGCTTTTTGTTGAACTTTTTTTTCGCGTACAAAAAGTATAAATTTTATTAATCGTCCACTCTTACCAACAATGAATCGGTTTGCATAGTTTTCCTGAGGAATGACTCTGAAGTCTAGAAACCAAGCTTCTCCCCATGCTATGACGAAAGACGCCAATACGAGCAGAACTTCGAAAACTGGCTGAGAAGAATGAGGCCACTGCGAAAGATACGGTTTAATACCAATGCAGAGAATAGTTTAGAGAAGGTACTTACATCGAAATAAAGCACTTTTGCTATTAAAAAAGCGCATGTAACAGCAGTTGATAGCTGAAAATATAAAATATGTTAAGTGAAAAATATTGGTAATAATATCTAGATCTAGATATCTAATATATTTAATAAATATGATTCATTAGGAATCTAATGATATACATGTTCTATTTAAACTATTAAAATTAGATAAAAAACGATACACTCACCGATATCACAATCCAATGATTAATGTAAATAATAGCATAGAACAGTATTAAAATAAAAAATCTGCAGAAGGATACCAATACGATATCAAATAAGGAAGTGTGTATGTTATAATGTACCACTTGTTCTATCAGTGCTTTAACGATATATTCCCCATTTAACTAAAACGAAATCAAATGAAAGATTTACTTAATTTTTTTCCCTACAGTAGTCGAATTATTGTAAACAGTTAATTGTTGATAATGTAACAAAGAAACTTGTCTATAAAAACGTGATTAAACTACTCACCATAACACATATAATCCACATTAAAGAAGTAAATAGAAAATCAAAGGTTACAAACAAACAGAAGAACCTCCTAACGTTGGACATTCTTCCATTGGTACGTTGTCCAGCTAGTAAATCTTCGGAAATGATATAATCTCTTAGAGAGCCTATAGTATTTACACTATGAGCATATGCTGAAAGGTCAAAATTTCCTATATTTTGCTTAGCGTTTGAAAAGGAAATAGATAATTCGAAAGGGACATTTTTAATCTATCTATTATATTACATGCTTACTCACAGACATCAAAAGGCGGTTGAATCTCATTTTCATGACCAGGAGTCGTCATATTTACTACAAAGGTAATTTCACAAAATCGAACTCAAAATTTTCTCACTGTACGAACTAAAAGAAACTGTTACAAATGGAACAACTGAAATTTTCTTTTCCCTAAGACATATTTTACTTCATTATTTTTTAATGATAAAGAATAAAATGTTTACTAATTTAAAAGTTTTTTTATCATATTATTTATCAACAGTTGATAACTGTCAACATCTTGTATCTTGTCAATTTCGTGACATTTCGTTGACTGTCAACCGAGACCTCAGCCAATAGAATCGTCGCATTTCATGTTGGCAGCAACGTAGGTTAAATGTCACTGTCGCGATTGTCAATGTCAATTTTTTTAATTTACTGCAGTGCGCAGCCAGCCAGGAGCAATTATTTATTTATTTTTATTCCGTCTGATGTTTTGAAGGTTATTACGTCAGTCAGTATGTTGTATTCACTGTGCTACTTAGCCTAGTGTTTAGTTTCTTGAGCTTAACTATTATTTTTTATTTTAGTCGACAATCCAAACCAGTGAAAAGTGAAAGTGCGTAGTTATGGAAAATCCTGTAGTGAATCCTGTAAGTTATTTCAAATGCCCTTTTAAAAAAATTACTACAAAATGATTTTTATTATTTTAGCATGTTCCCTACAGCGGGAAGATTCCCGGTGGTTTGGTGCCCGGAAGAATGTGCAGAATTCAAGGAGTAAGCCACCCTGAAGCTGATAGGTAATTTTTTTCATTCAACACATCCCAGCAAAGTTCTTCTTGAATGATATCATTCCTTAAAATAGTCACTGATTCACATAATCGTGTAGCTAAATAATTATTTTATATCGTGACCTCAAAATTACTACAGCGCTACCTTGAAAATAGCGCACTTTGTATACGAAGATTAACAAGCTTCGATTGATTTAATGCAATAATATTTAAAAAGATTCATAAACAAGTCTATTAAAAATAAGATTTTAATAAATCGTTTTTTGTAGGTTTGACATAAATTTCCAAACAGGCCCTAACGCAGAACCTCAAGACGATACATCATTGCATATTTCTGTGAGACACAATCAGGGCTACATAGCCAGAAACTCTTACAAAGATGAGGAATGGGGAGAAGAAATGGGAAGCGGGGATCTCCCGATCGGCCACACGGAACCCTGGGAAATTATCATTCTGGTGGATGAATATGATTATAAGGTAATATAGTGTATTTTCATATGTGTGGGTAATAAACTGGAATAATTGGAAGTCTCGTTATGTACCACCTACAATGGCAATTTATTTATTATTTGTATACTCTTAATAGAGCACTGAGCATATATAAAATAATGATATAATACTTAATAGGTCGATAATATACATTGTTTTAATTAATTGAGTGCCTATACTTAAGGATGTGAATATTTGGATGATTTTAAGAAGAAAAGTTTATATCAATATATGTCCTAAGTAACACCCTGTAGCTCGAAAACTAAGAGGTTTAGGACATTTATTGATATAAACTCATATTCACATCGTATCGTTAAGTATCGGCATTCAATTAATTAACCCCCTGTATGTAGATATTAACTATTTTTTATATCTACTTTCATTTCAGATTGCTATAAACGGCAAACACTTCACCGAATTTCCTCACAGAATTCCATACCATGAAGTGCATTATCTTCTAATAAACGGCACCGTGACGATTACTTTAATTTCTTGGGAGGGAATAACCGGTTTGGGTGAAGGAGGAGGAGAAAGTGCGACCAAAGCTTCGGCGTTAAAGTCCCAAGGGGGGCCCCAATTCGGGGGATACGCGCCGCCCCAAGGGGGATATGCGCCGCCCCAAGGGGGATATGCGCCGCCTCAAGGCCCAGGGGCATATGCGCCGCCGCAGGGCTACGGTGGCTACGGTGCTGCTCCTGGATATGGGGGCCCACCTCAAGGTTACGGACCACCACCGCCTCCTGGGGTAAGTAATATTGCTTGTTTAACGAAATTGTCTGGATTAATATTAATTTTTATTCTTGCTCGCGCAAATGCAGGGATATTATCAAGTAAAAAACTAACTATTTGTTATTTTCGTAATAGTTAAAATATTTTTTTATGAATAGGCGCAACCTCAGGGTGGTTTCGATTTCTTGGATACGGCTCAAAGCTTGCTGGCCGGTGCTATTAAAAGTGGTGCTGCCGCAAATATCCTTAAAGGATTTATGTCCTCGGGATCTCAGCCTAAAGGACAAGGATATGAACACCACAATGCTGTAAGTTAAATTCGTTTAGCTCTTTATCTGGCACAGCAATGATGCATATAATAAACATTCGTTTATGGATGTGTAAATTTTAATTAATGCAAGACAAGGAAGTTAATTAATTTATCACCAGAGTAAAAAATATATTTGAATTGGTATAAGATATTTTTTCGGGAACATTCTTGTTTCGCATTATTTTTTTGTAAAATAATTGTGCTCTTGTTGTGCTTTCAAACTTTGTGTTTTCGTATTATTAACTAACTGCCTATTTTTTGCCTAGTTTTCACATAATTGGAATATTTTTTTGGCTTATTGTGGTGCTAAATTTTATTAAGGCTTTACTGTGTTTTGAAACATTTTTATTTTCCATTGGCTTCTGTCTGGTTAAATTACTGCAACTTCTTTAATTTTACTAAAACATTAATATAATGATTAAATCTAAGTGAAACAAAATTTAAGTGGTGTAATTAACAATTATTTTTTAACTACGTGTACAACAGAAAATGCTCCTTGGCAAAATATAGGCATTTTACACGAACAATGATCAAAATGTAGTGAAAGTTTTAAAAATAAATGATTTGAGTATTAAAACAAGCAATAATTAAACAATTTATTTTAATTAATACAGCCTTGATTTACATGTTTGTACCAAATAAATCAAACATTATTGACCTTCTTCTAGGCAATAAAAATAGTCGACCCGTATTATTTAATAACAATTCCTTTAACAAATCTTTCTCTACATTTGACGCAGTCAACGAATTCAAACTGTTAAAATCTGCTTTTTACACCACTTCTCAGAAATATGGAATCTATCCCGACCTTCCCCAAGACACGAATTTAAATATAGACCCGAACAAGCGCGAACCGAGCACCGTCGAAAAATTGCTAACCGGCTTACTCTCCGGATCGAGCCCCCAACAAACCGCCGGCGCCGGTCCCATTTCCCAAAACCAACCAGTCGACATCGGCGCCATGCTAACGAACTTGCTGAGCGGCCATCAATCGAGCCAGGCGGCGCCCTCTCACGGCGCCCCGCAAACGAACGCTCCGGGCGCCCAACCGCCCGCCGGAGACATCGGCAGTCTCCTATCCTCGCTGTTGTCCGGCGGCAACCAAGGCGAAAAACCCCACGGCGCGGGCCCCAATCCAGCCCCCAATCAAGGCGCTGACTTGAACAATCTCTTGTCCGCGCTTCTGTCGGGCTCTGCTACTAGACCTTTGCAGGAGAATACCGGCGCTGGTCACCAACAGCCCCACGGCGGTAGCCAACCGCAAGGGAACGATTTCGGTTCGTTACTGTCCGGATTACTGTCGGGCGGTTCTAATCAGAACGCTCCGGGTTACCAGCACCCGCCGGGTCATCAATCAACGCAACAAACGCAGGGGCTCGATCTGAATTCCTTGCTGTCGGGTTTGTTGTCCTCCACGGGGGGACAGCAACAGGCTGGAGGGTACGAAGCGCCTAGAACGGGCGGCGGGTACCAGCCGCCGAGGCCGGTACCGCAGCCCAGAAGGGACGACGGTGCTCCCGGCGCGGACTCGCAAAGACACGATCCCGCTCGGGCACAACGAGAGGCTAAACCTGACGAGATAAATGATGTGACCGATGCGTTTGAAAGGGAAGTAGGCCGGGCTGGAGGTGGCGGTACTAATCAAAGGCCTCATGGAGGTCAAGGTGACGAGGTAGGTGGAATATTAACAACTAAATTAAACCTGAATGTGCTCTTAAACTATCTAACGTATTTTTGGAAAAATGTACTATACCATTTCAAACTGTATTTCAAAAAGCGTCAGGTTTATTTAAGAATGCGTCTGTTGAATTTCTGAATAGTCACTTATATTTCGGAAAGTATCAATTGCATTTCAGAAAAGTCATTTCGATTTCAGAAAGCATCAATTGTATTTCGGAATAATATACTTGAAACTATCATAAGAATTTCAAAATAGTCAAATGCAGTTCAGAAATCATCATTTGTATTTCGGAATTCTTCAATATCTATAGCTTTTCTATCTCAATTTCAGAAAAAAATATAAAGGTATCAGTTCCAGAAGAAAATTTTGGATTTCAGAAAAAAAAGTCAATTCCGGAGTTGTTTCAAGTCCGAAAAAAGTAATACAAATTGTGGAGTGGACTGAGTTTTTCGTCTTCGTTCATAATTGTAATAATAATTGTCATATGATTTCTGCATTCCAAATGGGACTCTGAAATCCTTTTGACGGTTTCCGAAACACGAATGACACTTTCCGAAATACTATTGACTATTCTGAAATTCAATTGATGATTTCTGAAATCAAATTGACTATTCTGCAATACAACAGATACTTTCCGAAATATAAGTGACCATTCTTAAATTCAATTGAATCTTTCTGAAATACAACTGGAAAAGGTGTAGATGGGAACAGTTTGTCCAAGTTTTGAAAACCAAATGTTAAGGTGTTTGTTTCTGTTTAATTACAGCAATATGGTTATTATCCGCATCCTCCTCAGGAGCAACGGGGTCCACTCGAAAATTTACTGTCTGGGCTTCTTTCAGGTGGGCAAGGACAAGGAGCTCAAGTAAGTATCTATAATTAAGTAACGTTGAAGTATTAATTATTAAATTTTCAGCAACCGCACCATCCTCCCCAATTTGGAGGTGGCCCGTCACTTGGTGGACTTGGAAGCATGAGTGGACTTTTGGATAATTTCCTTCATCCAAAGGTACGTTTAGCAACATTTGAATTTTTTGCATAAATTATATTGTTTGGTTTTTCAGGACCCTAATGCCCGTCGAAATTATTAATGTTCTCGATAGTTCAATGGTACAATGGTTCAAATGGATAGCTTCTTACGCTGTATTTTTTTAAGCGGAGTGCATATGAATCTCAGGATCTTCCAGTATTTTTTTAACTCAAATTTTCAATTATTATTTTGCTAGATTTTAATTGTTTCAGCTATTAAGCTTTTTATACTTATTTTATTTTTGTGAAAATTGTCCTTTTATATTATTTATGTATAGTGTTTTGTCGAGATTAAAATGAGAATCTATAAAATTGTGTAATATTAAAGTTAAATGTGTAGTCAATAATATAATATTTATAAGCGCACACAAATAAAGCTATTATTTATTTTTTTACACTTAACTCTGTTGTATTGTAGATTGAATATTTTACATGGTAGCTTTACAAATCGTTATTTTAGTCAAATTGTTGATATTGTTGAATCTCTTGTTAATACATTGATTGGAATTTTATAAAATTAAAAGCAAAGCTTAAAATAAACTACTAACAAAGAGTGGATATTTTTTTCAGATAACCCATTGAGAATATTTAACTCTACTCATAAAATAATATAATGGTAAAAAATGAATGTTGAATACCTTATAAACAATCTACCAATATTCTCGTAATAGAAAATCTTTGTAAAAAAGGGTTGCAATCGAAATAAAAATGGATCATTTTTCAATATTTACTCATAGAATATTACATAAAATTATAAATAAAAAGAAAATAGTTGGCAACAAGATTACATAAAATATTGTGACGAAATAAGGCCTTGAAGAGAGCGTCCTTAGCGAAAGAAGAAAAAAGCTTACTTATTAATGTTCAGTTTATTAAATAAATTTCGCATTTTCCACAAGTGCAACTGCAAAGTTTTTAAATTTTCTACTTTGCCTCTGCGTTAGTTTAGAAATGGAAAAAATCACATTGAATATTGTTTTAGAACCCTAGTTTTACACCTAAACATTTATCGATTGTAGGTGCAATAAATTTCTGGTAATTGAGATGATCAAACGTACTCTAGAAGTTACATTTACACACATCAAATTTTTACCTTCAAGGCCTTTTAAAAAAAATTAAATTAAATACAGTTTAGTAAAGATCGACTGAAAAATTTAAATATATTTTAATCACAAGAAACTAGTGCGATAAACTTTAGACTGTTATTGATATATGATTTTTAACTTTAAATAAAGAATTTAAAAGCAAAAAGGGAACAAAAGTATAATATGAGTCGCTCAGCGCCAGAGTGGCTCAACTGCGAATTGCATTTGCTGGTATAAATTAGGAAAAGTGCTGCGTATTTTCTAAATTTCAAGTACACGGTGATCCAAATGAGGTTTTCTGGTTCATTATTAGACATATCGTGCATACTTGTGCCCATGAAGACTTGAAATTTAGAAAATCCGCAACACTTTTCCTAATTGATACCAGTAAATGCAATTCACAGTTGGGACACTCTGGCGATGAGCGACTAAATCCATACAGGTCTAAAATTTCCAGCAGGCACTAAAGAAGAATCGAATTTGATCAATTTAAAATGAATCAAACACCAAAAAAAGTCGATCACTACTTACAAAAAAACAAAAAAAAGACGAAGAAAAAAAAGAAGAAGTTACAAACGAACTCAATTCTCATCGGAATCAGCACCAATTTTCTTTTTGACCCTCCTCACCTTGCGCATCGCGTACCTACACTTCTTGAACCTATTGCTCTGATTGTCGGGGCTCCGTTCGCCCGTCGAACAGCCCGGCGTCATTCGCGGTATCTTGTGCGAACCGTTGCTGCCGCTCGAGCTCGGCCCCGTGCCGCAGCCCGAATCGAAGGCGTCCTCGTATTTCCGGCGCGGCGTGTGCGCGTACTCCAGCTCGCTGTCGCTGCTCTGGCTGTAACCGTGATCGGATGGATTGTCGTCGAGCTCGCGGGCCGGCGGCGACGCGAACCCGTTCGCGCCCGACCGCGACGCCGACGTCGCAGACCTGCAAATTATTCTATGTATAGTATGACAAGAAATACACCGTTGGAAAATAATTCGCGCATAATAGGGAAATCAATGTTAAATTCTTAGCCTGCTGAAATCCAGTCTACCAGTGTAGATTTCAATAGAACGTCGCGATCAATTTTAATAAATTTAATTGTTCTACTGGACTTCACAGCGCGATTTGGTTCGGTTAGATTAAAAATCAAATAATTTCGACGGTTTCGACACATCGACAGTATCAAAACGGGTTCGGATGGTTGAACGTCGAGTCGATTAAAAAGAAATGAGAATTTTTAAACGATAATTTATTGAAAAAATATCACTAATATTAAAATAGAATTATGTAGATATGTCTTTTTGGCACAATGGCTTGAAAAAGAAAGTAAATTCTAAGAAAATAATAAAATGGAAACTCCAAAAATAAACTTAAAGATTATTTTAAAACAGAAAATAAAAGAACTCAAAAAAATAGTCCACCGCTTTCTGCTAAACAATAGCCAAACCTGTCATACAGATGTCATCTCATATTACTGAGCTGAGGTGTAATTTTAGCAGAAAATTGAATTATTTTTTCCCTTATTTTAACAAGATTTGTTGCTCTTTCAAAACTGTACCTACCGATACACATATTTTTTGAAATATCCCCAAAAAAATTATTAAATGTAGTTTCTAAATAATTTTGTACCTCATACCTAACACAAATAACTTTGTACCTCTACAAATCGAGGCGTGCGGTCCAGTAGAACAATTAAATTTATTAGAATTTATCGCGACGTTCTATTGAAATGTACACTGGTAGACTGGATTTCAGCCGGCTAAGAATTTAACATTGATTTCCCTATTATGCGAAATTAAATTTCCAATGGTGTATAAGAGGTGTGACTTTATAATAATCATCCGATTAACAAGTGCCCAGCTGAGAACAGATCGACGGAACGCAACTAATGCAGATCATTCAATAGGGACCATTCCAAGTAGAAAGAACTAGCTGGGATAATAACTGGTAAACCCTAACGAGTTAATTGGAAATTACAACTTAGGATTCAAAAGTCACCACTTATATTTCTGCTCGTACTGTATCACAACTAATCGTTAGTGTAATCGATCCGATACCTTAGGTTCCTCGGCGAATTGCCGTTGGTCACCTCGAGGATGTTGATCAGCACGTCCCTGGAGCCGTTCAGAGGCGTCGGTAGGATGTTGACGAAATTGCTGGCCTCGACGCCGTCGGGACGCTCGTTCTCGTTGGCGTTTCTGGCGTCGTCGTCGGAGTCTTGCTCGATCAGCCTGAACATCGATCGCTCCGAATTGGTGATGCCCGTACTGGTGCTCGGGGTGTCCAGGGAATTTTCAGTCGATTCGTTATCAGTCATTTGCTTCACGCTTAACCTAAACCAATTTGATTTTAGGAGCACTGTTGATACTAATATAACGATTGATTCAATTCAGGTCGCAATATGGTCGTTTCTATGAGTTGAACAATTGGAGAACAATCTATTAGTGAATTAGAAAGCTCATTTGGGCTAATGTGGATTTGAAATTTAGAAAATACGCAGCGCTTTTCCTGATTGATAACAGTAAATGCAATTCGCAGTTGAGCCACTTAGTTGTAATAGTGAAAGGATAGTTTATAAAGGGTGTGGTAATCGAAGAGAACAATTACCTAGTGAAATATTTAGAAGGTCTATCACGTTTCGGCTTTTTCGTTTCCTTCTCCGAAGACTTTTTGTGGGACTTTTTGTGCAAGCCGTTGTGTTTCCTCGATTTCGATTTGGAAGATTTCCGTTTGGGATTCTTCTGGTATCTTCAACAAAAAAATTAATTAGTCGATAAGCTCGAAGGGCGATGTAATCAACGAACTTTTTCCTGTAACTCGAACATTTACTATGCGCCAGCTTGGCCAAGGTGTTTTTCTTCTTCGATATCAACTGAGTTATCCTATTAGATCGGAACTTCTTTGGCTCTTCGGAGTTGAATTTGCCGTTTTTGAAAATCTTCGATATAAGTTTGGGCCAATCCTGGAAGAACCGATGCGATTAGAGTTAGTAAAACAAATTGAAGGGTTAATTCCGTTACCTCTTCATCGCTATCACTATCGGTTGAAAACGTTCCGTCCGTTTGGGAATCCCACCCTTCGATTTCCCTTTGGATAAGCGAATCGAAGAAGGCCATCATTTTCGCATCTTCGCAGGTCGATTGATCGCTGTAATCGTGGTTGATACGCTAAAACGTGCACATTATTAGACACAAATTTATCAAAAAAATGTATCCTTACGTCGCTATTTCCCACTAGACTTATGTACTCGTCGTGACTGTAAATGGATCTAACAGGTTCGGTGTGTTCTTTAAGTATAGACCCTTTCCAGTTTCCCACAGGAATTGCACTCCACAACTAAAACGATAATTAATAAAGGAATATTGGGACTATCTAGCAAACCAAATTTTACTTAAATTGGGTAAGTAATTTCGAATGTACAGATAGTTTAAATTCATCGTAAAATATCGCATATAATGAAATGTATTTCTGTGAAAAAAAAATCCTTACTTTGACCATTTTTTCGACACCGGAAGACGCTATGAAATTGTTATGAACATTATACCGGACTTGGTTCACGATGGACCGGTGACCGCGCAAAATCATATGCGAAGAGCCCCATTCGCCTACAACAAAACGCAATTAACGCTAATAAAAAATTGCACACAACACCCACTGTCATCTGTGGGCATCTTCCACATGTAAATGTTGAAATCGTCGGAACCGCTGAGGATGTACTCTCCATTTTCGCCGGCGAAACAGCAGGTTTTCATGGTGCACGAATTGTAATACTGCGGATGATAGAACTGGCAGATCGCGTTTTCGGAATCGGACGAATACAAAACCGGCGGTAGGCGCCTTCGAAGGGCCAGGATTTTCTTGCCCGAGTCGTCGAAACAGGCGCTGATGCCGCTAGTTTTGCCGCTTTGAGAATCGTAACGCATCACTTGGCTACAAGACAAATAAGTGTACACGAACAGCTCATAAGAGCAGCTTGTAAGCTTGCATATTAGGCGTTTAGTAGATAAACAAATTACCTTTTCGGTTTTCTACAATCCCAAAGGCCGATACCTTCTTCTGAATTTGCTGTCACGATATATCGGGGTTTCATCGGATTGAACATTACCGAATGGAAACTATTGTTCTCTTGCGCGACTACTTGTACTTCTAATAACAAGAAAAAACGATCGTAATTTTAAGCGATAGAAAATTATATGGGTATCGTAACAACGTGAAGGAGTTTCTAACACTCACAGCACTCGTTTTATTTAATATCACCAACCTTGATTTGGGACTTCTCTTATGTCGAAGAGTAATATCCTTCCATCTTCTCCAGCTGTGGCGATGATATTATCATTTTGGGGGTGAATATTTATACCGTACACAGGCTTATCGTGTGGAATGGAACTTTTTAAGGTGCGACTGAAACAAATTAATCCAATTATTATAGAAAATTGATTTAATGGAATGAATAATAGAGGATTCATCTAGAAATTAAAATATACAGAATGTGCATAAGTAAAGAGGTGGGCAGTGAATTAATTCGATAAAAAATTATCCAAAATTGTAAATTAAATTAGATTCAAGCGGTTTATTGGAAACTAAAAGCTCCGATTGTATTCGAATAAACTGTGTGATTTAGAGAAAAATCCAACTAACTTAGTGTTGTTTTGCAATCTAAGCCAATTGTTGGTGTTTCATTATTATATCTTAAGAATTAAATATGTAGTTCATATGATCTTAACAAGAGGATATGGGATATTTAATTCCATACCTCTTTTTACTAGGTATTCAAATTTCTATTATTTTTGATGGTCAATTTCAATTTAGAGAGGATTACATAGAGTTAATACAAGAGTATTCAACATATACATAATTAGAATAGTAACAAATATAATTAATCAGGGAAAGAAGTTATGTATTATGTAGGTGTGTCATATCAAGAAAATCTACAATAAAATGCATAGATAAACAATTTAACTGAACGAAATGTGTAAAATGTATAAAGGGATTGTTGTAGTGGTGTCTTACCTTTCTATTTGATGGATGAGGACTTGGTCATCGTTGCCTCCGGAAAAGATCTTTTCTACACCGGAATCGAAAGTCAAGCAGAAAATATTGCTCCTGTGTGGTGTGCACATGGCTATGGGTGAGCTCCTATCGTACATGGCACCGGGTACGTACCATAGAAGCACTCTTTTATCATCTCCACCTAATACGATGAATTAATTAGAAACTAGAAGGTGTAAAATGGAGGCAACTTACCGGATACTAAATATTCACCGTCTAAAGAAAATTCTATGGCATTCACACACCCATAATGTGCCAGTAAATCCTTCCTGTATAAATTCCTAGCCTTAGACAACCTAGCACTATATAATTTGTTTTTTATAAAAATATTGTCTTTATACTGTCTCTCAATGATATAATTAATTGGGTTAATTGATGGCATGGCCATTTTTATCTAATAGGAAAGAAACATCCACCAAAAATGGTCTTTGTTGACAAAAATTATATGACTACACGAACCACGAACTATGGAAATGTCAACAACAGCTGATTGATGCTACACGCTATACCGTAGCCACTAATGGCACAGGTTGCCTAAAAAACCTGCGAAAGATTCAAATAAAAGTCTATCAAAACCGCGATTTTTCACCAACATCGACTATTTTGCATCTACATAGAATTATTAATTAATTCCCAGTCGAATTTTAAGAGATAAATTAGATTTACCATCTTCAACTTCAACCAGTAGCGTAACTGTGGGTTTTACTTTCGCTTTCGATTATTTTTTTGTAAAAATCGGAAAGCGATTTTCGAATCGAATCACAAAATCGATTAACTGTTTAGTGGATGGATAAGTATCAAGAGAAAAGAGTAAAACAGGTAAAACTATTCACTGTACTAACGCGATTTTTGTTTTAATAAATTATTCAGTAAGTATCTACACAAAACCACTTTTATGTAAGTGTGGCAAACTTTTACTTATCGCACTGAAATTATCTTTGAATATTAATATTTGTAATATACAGTTTGTCCCGGAATAATGGACACTACGCAATAAGAATCATAAATTCTATCACAAATTTTATCATAAATTCAGTCAGAGCCAACTTATTAATTATAATTTTTAAAATTTCGTTAAAAAGAGAATTTTGATCTATCTAAATGAGAAAAAAATTGGGATTCCACTGCTTTTGACATTGATTACAAATATGAACAAAATTTTGTATACAGGTAGATGCAAAATTGTTTGCAATATAGACTGAGTGCAACAAAGACAACTTCCATTAGTCTCATATAAAGAAAAGGAAAAACAAAGAGTATGGGATTGCAATTTTCTCAGTCTAATCTAAAGGGTATTAAAATAACAGTTGTCTGTGTGAAAAATTGCATTTTTTCTTTATAAGATGGAATATGGAATCTAATGGAATCTAATGGAAGTTGTCTTTATCGCACCCATCCCATAGCCTATATTGCAAACTAAAATGAATCAACCTGTATGAGGTTTTTCTAGGGGTTTTTTTTACACAAAACTACAAAACTATCAAGTAGGCACTGTTATTTTAAATAAAATAAGAATAATAAATGATATTTAAAAATTTTTTTACATGGATGTGATCTCTATTAATAAATTTTAAACAACTATAAGGAATTAGCAAAAAAAAGTATATCTTAAACGAGGCATGAATTCGATAAGATTCTAAACAATCAAATTCAAATTATCCGATTGTTGAATCAAAATTATGAATTTTAAAATAGTGCCGAAAACCCAAAAGTAAAAGACCAACCTCGCATCATCGTGTTATGTTTTCCCAAATAGAAGAAGTGTTGGTTATCAAAATTTCGCTATTTAACGTGATGGTAATAGTTAAACAACTACAATTAACAAAAATATACATATCTTGAGAGCACAGCTTAACACAGGAATTGTTATTCGTACCAATTAATTTAGAATGACTTCAGAAACGAAGCAAATTTCACCTGTTTCCGAAGAAAATATTAAGTCGGCGGAAAAGTATAAAACCGATGCCAATGAATACTTCAAGAGTACGTATCTTCCAATTAATATTTGCTCGCATAGCGCATAGCGTAAGCTAAAACGTCTTTCAAACATAAATCGCGGCGATCTTTCGCGAAAAACGCATAATCTCGTACAATTGCCGTTTCCAGAGCAAGATTTCAACAATGCAATAGATCTGTACACCAAAGCAATCGAGGCGAATCCCGATGTAGCCGTTTACTACGCCAATCGCAGCTTTGCCTATCTTAAAACGGAATGTTTCGGATATGCCCTGGCCGATGCCTCGCGTTCCGTGGAGCTGGACAAGGCCTACGTGAAGGGGTATTACAGGAGAGCCGCTGCCCTTATGTCTTTAGGAAAGTTCAAGGAGGCTCTAAAGGATTTCGAATATGTAATTTAAGCTATCTAATTAGAATAATAGCACGTCATTGATTAACGTTTATTTGCAGGTAACTAAAGTCAGACCCAGTGATAAAGATGCGAAGACCAAATACACTGAATGCAACAAAATAGTTAAGAAATTGGCTTTCGAAAGGGCTATTGCTGTGGAAGACAATATGAAAAATATAGCTGATACCATTAATATTGATGCTATGAGTAAGTATTGGTACTTTAACATACAGGTAGATGCAAAATTGCTTTGCAATATAGACTATGGGTGAAACAAAGGCAACTTCCATTATTCCCAAATAAAGGAAAAAAGAAGGGTGATGTTGTGAGGCGATTTCAACTTTCTCACTTTAACCACTGTTATTTTAATAATCTTTCTTTGTTCAACTCATAATTGACCATAATGCAAATAATTTATTTGCATTTATGTGTATATCTATTTAAAATTTAACTCTCTGAATAAATTTCGGCAACACAAAGATTCAAATTGTGCATTTTTATCTTTGTACATAATGGGTATTAAATAATAAGTACAAGAAAAGAAATGGGATTAAACAAATTTAATTAATAAAGAGTCGAGATAAGAACATGTGTTAAAAATGTTATTATTTAAAATATATTCAACTGCTAATGGCCAATAACAGCAAATTCTATCAGTAAGCATTGGAATGACAAAATTATTCAGTTTTATCTAATGATAATTTAATATGCTTTGATAAAGGCTAACCTAAATTTGAAACGACTAATTAGTTCCAGTTTTATTGCTTATTTAGTTCAAACAACATTTCGAAATATCTATGGATTTTAAAATAACATCTTTCTTTAAAGGTGAGATCTTGAATTTTATCTGCAACTAACACTCGAATAATTTAACTAGTATTTAATTAGTAACACACAAAATTATCCTTTTGCAGCCATAGAAAATGAATACTCAGGCCCTGAACTTGAAGATGGTAAAGTTACCCTTAAATTCATGAAAGATTTAATGGAATTGTACAAGAAGCAAGGGAAATTACATAGAAAATACGCCTATAAGGTACATACTCAATTACCTAAACGTGCTGTCATTTTACGAAAATGTATATTTTTAGATTTTGTTAGATATAAAAGCGTACTTCATGAAACAACCGACTTTAGTAGACATACCCATCGGAGACGATGATAAATTCACGGTATGCGGAGACATCCACGGTCAATTCTACGATTTAATGAACATATTCGAACTCAACGGACTTCCATCGGAAACCAACCCGTACCTATTCAACGGCGACTTCGTCGATCGAGGATCCTTCTCCGTTGAATGCATTTTCACGTTGTTCGGCTTCAAATTGCTCTTTCCCAATCACTTTTTCATGTCCAGAGGTGAATTTAACATCTAACAACTTAATAAAACGAATCGCTAAGTGTTTGAAAACTTTCAGGCAATCACGAAAGCGCCACAATGAACCAAATGTACGGCTTCGACGGCGAAGTCAAATCCAAGTATACCGCTCAAATGGCCGAACTCTTCACTGAAGTCTACAATTGGTTACCCTTAGCTCATTGTTTGAATAAGAGAGTATTGGTATGGAGTGTATCTACTACATATTAAAGATGTATTAAATTATAAAATGGTTGTAGGTTATGCATGGAGGTCTGTTCGGATCTGATACGGTAACATTGGACGATATTAGGAAAATCGAGAGGAACCGACAGCCGCCCGAAGATGGGCCGATGTGCGAGCTCCTGTGGTCGGATCCCCAGCCTCAGAACGGGCGAGCTCCGAGCAAGCGGGGCGTAGGATGTCAATTCGGTCCGGACGTGACCAGGACGTTTTTGGACCTCAACAAGCTCGATTATATCATAAGAAGTCACGAGGTGAAAAACGACGGGTACGAAGTTGCCCACAATGGGCTGTGCATTACAGTATTTTCTGCTCCTAACTATTGGTGAGTTAAACACTTGTATTCAGCGTCCCATTTTAACCTTAAACGATTTTAAAGTCACTTGTCTAACTTGTTATGGAGTAACTAGGAACAATAGGTTTGTTCCAGCAGCATGTTAAAATTATGTTTGTATCAGTATTGTATTGCGTATGCCCTGATGTATTCAAGTTCGTTATAAGATTGTAACATTTCTTGCTAGAACATAAAGTTAAGTTATTAAAGTTAAAGTGACACTCTAAAGCCATGTTTAAGTTTACAGTGGGGGCTGAATGGCCACTTAATTTTGCTACCTTTGTATTAATCTTTTTATTAATCGTTTCTAGTGATACTATGGGTAATAAGGGTGCATTTATTATCCTTAAGGGGAAGGATATGTTACCGAAATTCACGACCTACGAAGCTGTGGTACGTAGATTTTTCGTTTTGGCGTGTTCGGAAATAAATTTACTGTTTTGTTTTTCAGCCACATCCAAATGTAAAGCCGATGGCATACGCGAATTCGCTGATGAGCCTCTTGTGCTAGTACCTGCTCTTGTAGTAAAATTTTTTAGATTACATTTTTTTGTTTTAGTAATTTTTTCAATAAGTTAAAGGATGATAGGCGTTTTATCGATAAGTAATTGCTTTAAATTTACCTTATCCTGCGAGTTTGATGAATTAAGATGTATGTTTCATTGTTAACAGTTCGTTTGCTTTTTTTATACAGACTTAAAATCGATTCGTAGCCTTATTTCAATAAAGTGTTTATTTATTTAAAGTTTTTGTTGGTTAATAACGTATTCAACAACGCAATAGATAATTACTGCCCTTTAGCCTTTTTCGATTAAGAAATGTATAACTTTCATTCAAGCCCCGAAATCGTTCAATTTTATAGGGTATATATTTTAATAAATATTATAAACCGTATATGTTTATTTTACCTTTCTAACATTACCTATATTTGCAGCGCAATAATCTTATGAATTGTCGTAAAATAAAAATGAATGGTAAGATACACAGTGACAAAAAAGTACCCGAGAAATTGGAATAAAACGCAAAATTCCTAATCTTTTTTAATTCATGAATTTCCTTCAAAATATGTCCTTTTGAAACGATACACATTCATTGCAACTGATTCAATCAGCTGCTACAACCAAACTGATTGAGAAATCTCTCTAATTTTTTGCATGCTAATTAAAAACAGTCTTACCTACATACAGAAACTTGAAATAGTTAAAAATATTAAGTGCATAAGTAATTTATATCACAATTTCCGGTTACTATTTTGTCAGAAGGTATAATGGTACATTGTGTGTGACCTGCTGAGTTAATGATAAAGTTGAGTAAGTGATAAAAAAGAACAATAAAATATTTAGAACATCACCAGTTTATTGGTATATTTATTTACTTAGAGAGAAATATACTAGGTATTTATTGCACAATTATTATTTAACTATTAGATTTATCAATTTTATAATCAATTTTTTTCAGTATTTTGGTGAATACCCACTTTTTATCGTGTATTACATGAAACAATTAAAGTAGGATTTTAGGAAATGAAATTCCTGAAGTTACAACAATATCGAAAGTTTTAATAAAATATCCACCTATTGTACTAAAATTCTCGTTATCGACTTGTACTTTTTTTTAGAGTATTAGTAATAGAATCGGTCAGATCGGTGGGATTATTCGCGAAAATTTATCAGATACATCTTATTTGCCACATACATAGGTACGATCATTCACAATTCGGTTTAGCATCGTAAATCATAAGATTAACGCAAACACAGCACGATTCGTCAGTGTACACCCGTAGAAAAATGTTCTCTCCTTTGTTCAAATTTCCAAAATCCTCCTTTTGGATTTCGGTTTATTTTTTCCAAATGATAACAACCACTTTCTCACAACGTAAGTACCAATTTTTCTCTATCAATTATTGATTTCCCCCTATTCTTTGCATCCCTTTAAAGGATTTTATTCTTTTAAAGTTTCTTTTAAAGAACAAAGGATTAGTCCATATAGAGAGTTACTAAAACGTTTTATTAGATTTTTCGAAACTTTTTAAAACCTTTTTAAAACTTTTTGAACAGGTTTTCTACCTCGTGTATTCTTTCCTTTCAAAATCCTCTTGTATCTTTTTAGCAAATTGTCCACAACGAGATAGCATGTTTCCTGTCTACATCCCTCACGAGGATTGCAGCAAGTTTTGGCAGTGCTCGAACGGGATACCCTATTTATTCAACTGCAGCGGAATATTGCACTTCAATCCAACATTAAACGTCTGCGACTGGCCACAATTCGCCGGTTGCAAATCTAAAACAGGTATTTTTACTTACTCAGCTTCAACATTGAAACTTACAAATTAGTTTTTCTCCAGATCCCTCATCGTCAACAACTTCTAGTTCGAGCAAACCTCCAATTTCAACGATTACCAGTAGTTCAAGTTCTGAGTCCACTACTACTGAAAGTAGTTCAAGTTCAGTAATTTCATCTTCCACTATCCCATCGACTACAACTGTAATTACTTCTACTAATCCTTCAACGATAAGTTCTAGTACTAGCACAGCTAGTTCTACAAGTAGTTCAATAACAACCAGTACGGTTACCAGTTCTAGTACCACATCGACTGATACACCAGAAACAACAGTAACTGAAATTTCTGATACTTCTACTTCCACAACCGATTCTCCTGAAAGTAGTTCATCAGCTTTTTCTTCCTCTACTTCTGCGAGTACCGAGCGTACTAGCACTGTTATCACTACTAGTGAAACGTCCACAAATTCGGAAGTTGATACCTCTACTTTAACCGAAATGACTACATCAATCGAAACTGAAAATTCTACTGAAAGCTCTTCTACCCCGACTGAATTTGTTTCTACCACTACTGATACATACACAGAGGTTACCACGGAGGAAACTACAGATTCTTCCTCTATAGAAACCGCAACAACTACTGAAACTTCTCCAGATAGTATCAGTACTAGCAGTATTTTCACATCAACATCATCGACAACAACAGAAGCCAGCGACATCGACGACATGATATACATTTGCGAGAACGTTCCAAATGATTACTTCTTAACGCCTCACCCGTACAACTGTTCGTTGTACATAGCCTGTAATTTCGGCCGCGCGATAATAATGAACTGCCCCGCCGGCCTCGAGTTCAACACTCAGAAACAGAGATGCTTGCAGCCCGAGGACTCGGACTGCCGGACTCAAGTTCGCTCGTTCAACAAGACCGAGGCCGAGAACAGCGATTACATCTGTCGCATTTACGAGATCGCCTTCCTGGCCCATCCGATGGATTGCTCCAAGTTCGTCGTGTGCATTTACGGAAGGGGGCGCGTTCTGCAGTGCCCCGATCAGAAGTGGTACGACGCGCCGCGGCGCCAGTGCGTCCACCCCTTGGACACCACCTGCAAGATTAGCCGCAGCATATCGATATTGAAATAATTGTTTGCTGTTACTTTATATGAGGAAATATAGAAAATTTCATTAGAGATTTCGGTTGCTTTATTTTCAATGTGGTGTTAGTTAGTACAATTGCATATGTTATTGAAAGCGGCGAAGGTGCTTGAGAATTTTTTCGGTGATGGACAGTTTACTACTGCACCTTTACCGTACACGCAGTACACGTATTTAGTGCAGTCGCAGTAATGAGGTTTTTCGTAAATATTAGTTGGATCTTCGCAATAATTTTTAGGAATTTGTATTTTGTCTGGATAATTGCATTTTTGGATGTTCGGATCGTACTGGAGATGTGCAGGACATGCCATTCTAATAGGCGTACTCCCTTGGCATCGTATAAACTCGGAGCAATTATCGGGGCAGATAAAAATCGATGATGATGATGATGGACAATTATCTAAAAAATACCATTATCGAAGACTCGAATTTGATTGTTGGTAAAAAATGCTCACCTGCTACTATAATAAAGGCCATGTAAGCTCCCGCGAGAGCGGCAACGACAACTTTTCTCATCATGACGCTGGATTAATAATACAAATTTCTATCAAATTTACAGTTTATAAATTATAAATTTTCGAATAATAACCTTTTTATTACCTTCATATCAAATTGCTGCGATTAGCTTCGGTACCTAAATTGCGCTAAAAATGATAAAGGTTTTTTTGGTTTAATTTAGCTTGGCCAGACATTTTCCCATCTTCTTAAGCATAAGCCTTAAAAATTAGTCTAAATGAACATTTTATACTGCATGAATGCTACATAAAAAATGCATGAAATCTATTTTCCATCAAACGAAGAAAATTGTCTGGACGTAGGCATAATTATTGAATAATCCTTGAATTCGAACGATGGCTTGGAATATACCTTACTTATCAATTAGCAGTAAAGATAGCATTGGAAAAATTCATTACCACAGTGTTACAATCGAAGGCAATGGGTTTATCGGTGAAGTTCGTTGAAAAAAGGATTCCGATACCTTTTCACGGGCACGAATCAAAGAACGGCAAATAAAAGTGGAGATCATTTATCAGCCGAAGATAAGTTTGGTGAAAATATCAATAATCAACGTTTTTGTGTATTTCGTCGGGGGGATTTACTTTTATTGTCCAAATTTGATTACAATTTGTTGTTTGTTATTTATGGCGGTAGATTATTGAATAGATAAGGTGAAATGTGCGTTTGTCTAAAAAATTGTAAATAATAGGAAGTAGGGAATTATATTGCAGGCGACGTATCCACCATTAAGGGGCACACCTTTGCCCAATATGAGTAGCAGTAAATTTATGTCCCTTAACGGATTACCTAGATAAGTGTACTGATAAAGAATTGATGAAAAAATGACTTTTAATAGACCTATTAATTTTCCTTATACTAGTTAATGATTACAAAATTTCTTTGATTTGTACAATGAATTTGAAATTTAATTTTTATATACACTTTTTTGTAAATGAAGTAATAAGAATTTGCCATTTATGTTTAAGCATAAGTGAAATTGGAGTACACAGAAAATGATAGCTTAGATTCAGAGAAGATAAAATTATAAGAATATACAATAAATAATATAAATATGTATTTTGATGTGTTAAAAGATAAAAAATATATTTCTAAGAATTTAGAATTATTGCAAAAAATTCATCAATACCTAATCAATATTACTATGTAAGATCATTCCTAAATATACGTGCTTTGAATTCAATAAAATCAACTAATTCTGGATTATCCAACGAGCTGGCCATAAATTACGATAAAGTAGCTTAGATATTTGATAATACTGTTTAATCCTTCCTTTATTATACATTGTACTTACTAGAGGTTCCCAATATGGTATAAATAAAAGTAATTAGATATCTACAGTATATTCCAAGTCGAGTAGGTCGAAGTAGAATTATGCACAATAGTGGATAAGATGACTTTGGCACTCTTTTCCTTGATCGTTACTGCCGGCTTATTTGCTGGCAGCACAGCAGGTATTTATTCACAATTTTTAGCCCTAATTTTTTATATAATTTTCCAAAAAAAAATTGTAAATTCAACCAATTTAACTCAATATAAACGTTTTTTAATTTTAATTTCTGGTTGTACAATTTGTGAGAAATATTCATAATTCTTCAATATTCATATTAAGTAGGTACGAAATAATTAATGACTATTTTTTATAATTTTTGTGGCACATTTTTGCAGTTGATTTAACTAATTACAATAGAGACAACACACCCTGCATCGAAGCAAATGTTGGTAAGTTATCGCATATAACTACATTAAAATTAGTACCAAAAAATTAGTACCAACATAATGATGTTTATCATTTAATAATCATTTATAGTATGTCCACCTGTGGACGGTCCGGATTCAATATATTCGGCCCTGCCTGATTGCACCAAGTTTTGCCAGTGTTCGAACGGGGTACCATATTTACATGAATGTCCAACGCCACTTCATTTCAACCCTGTTTTAAACGTTTGTGATTGGCCATCTGAGGCAGGTTGTTCTGGTGAAACATCTCAACCAACAACTGAAAAAAGTACAACAAAACAAAGTACTGAAACAACAACCTCACAAAGTACTACTACAACTGCATCAAGTACTACTACAAAATCTCCGGCTACCACCACAACTGAGAGTCCTGAAACCACAACAGTCAACGAGTGTGTTCAAGCTGGAATAAGTAAGTAATTACAATAATCAAACTTAGTATATATAAAAATAAAAATAAATTATTTTATCTTAGCCTGTCCAGCTGTCGATGGTCCTGATTCAGTTTACGCCCCGTTACCGGATTGTACTAAATTTTGCCAATGTTCAAACGGTGTACCATACGTTCACTCTTGTCCAACGCCACTTCATTTCAACCCAGTTTTAAACGTTTGTGATTGGCCATCTGATGCAGGTTGTACTGGTGGAACATCTCCATCAACAACCCAAAAGAGTACAACAGGCACATCAAGTACTGCATCTCCACAGAGTACTAACACGACTCCATCAAGTACTACTACAAAATCTCCGGCTACCACTACAACTCAGAGTTCTGAAACAACAACAGTAAACGAGTGTGTACAAGCTGGAATATGTAAGTAATTGCATCCGTTTAACTTCCTATTATAATAACATATATTATTTTATCATAGCTTGTCCGGCTGTTGACGGTCCTGATTCAGTTTATGCTGCATTACCAGATTGTACTAAATTTTGCCAGTGTTCAAATGGTGTACCATACGTCCACTCTTGTCCAACTCCACTTCATTTCAACCCTGTTTTAAACGTTTGTGATTGGCCATCTGATGCAGGTTGTTCTGGTGGAACATCTCCATCAACAACCCAAAAGACTACAACAGGTACATCAAGTACTGCTTCTCCACAAAGTACTAACACGACTCCATCAAGTACTACTACAAAATCTCCGGCTACCACTACAACTCAGAGTTCTGAAACAACAACAGTAAACGAGTGTGTACAAGCTGGAATAAGTAAGTAATTGCATCCGTTTAACTTCCTATTTTAATAACATATATTATTTTATCATAGCTTGTCCGGCTGTTGACGGTCCTGATTCAGTTTATGCTGCATTACCAGATTGTACTAAATTTTGCCAGTGTTCAAATGGTGTACCGTACGTCCACTCTTGTCCAACTCCACTTCATTTCAACCCTGTTTTAAACGTTTGTGATTGGCCATCTGATGCAGGTTGTACTGGTGGAACGTCTCCATCAACAACCCAAAAGAGTACAACAGGTACATCAAGTACTGCATCTCCACAGAGTACTAACACGACTCCATCAAGTACTACTACAAAATCTCCGGCTACCACTACAACTCAGAGTCCTGAAACCACAACAGTCAACGAGTGTGTTCAAGCTGGCATAAGTAAGTAATTACAACCGTTCAACTTCGTATAATAATAACATTATTATTGTATCTTAGCTTGTCCAGCTGTCGATGGTCCTGATTCAGTTTATGCTGCATTACCAGATTGTACTAAATTTTGCCAGTGTTCAAATGGTGTACCATACGTCCACTCTTGTCCAACTCCACTTCATTTTAACCCTGTTTTAAACGTTTGTGATTGGCCATCTGATGCAGGTTGTACTGGTGGAACATCTCAACCGACAACTGAAAAGAGTACAACAAAACAAAGTACTGAAACAACAACCTCACAAAGTACTACTACAACTGCATCGAGTACTACTACAAAGGCCCCAGCTACCACCACAACTGAGAGTCCTGAAACCACAACAGTCAACGAGTGTGTTCAAGCTGGAATAAGTAAGTAATTACAATAATCAAACTTAGTATACTATATATAAAAATAAAAATAAATTATTTTATCTCAGCCTGTCCAGCTGTCGATGGCCCTGATTCAGTTTACGCCCCGTTACCGGATTGTACTAAATTTTGCCAATGTTCAAACGGTGTACCATACGTTCACTCTTGTCCAACGCCACTTCATTTCAACCCAGTTTTAAACGTTTGTGATTGGCCATCTGATGCAGGTTGTACTGGTGGAACATCTCCATCAACAACCCAAAAGACTACAACAGGTACATCAAGTACTGCATCTCCACAGAGTACTAACACGACTCCATCAAGTACTACTACAAAATCTCCGGCTACCACTACAACTCAGAGTTCTGAAACAACAACAGTAAACGAGTGTGTACAAGCTGGAATAAGTAAGTAATTACAATAATCAAACTTTTAGTACATATAAAAATAAAAATTAATTATTTTATCGTAGCCTGTCCAGCTGTCGATGGTCCTGATTCTGTTTACGCCCCATTACCAGACTGTACTAAATTTTGCCAATGTTCAAACGGTGTACCATACGTTCACTCTTGTCCAACGCCACTTCATTTCAACCCAGTTTTAAACGTTTGTGATTGGCCATCTGATGCAGGTTGTACCGGTGGATCATCGACACCAACGACTCAAAAGAGTACAACAGAACAAAGTACTGAAGCAACAACTCCTAAGACAACTGCATCAAGTACAACAACTCCACAAAGTACAACTACAACTGCATCAAGTACAACAACAACACAAAATACAACTACAACTGCAGCAAGTACAACAACACAACAAAGTACAACTACAACTGCATCAAGTACAACAACTCCACAAAGTACAACTACAACTGCATCAAGTACAACCACTCCACAAAGTACTAATACAACTGCATCAAGTACAACAACACCACAAAGTACAACTACAACTGCATCAAGTACAACAACTCCACAAAGTACTAATACAACTGCATCAAGTACAACAACACCACAAAGTACAACTACAACTGCATCAAGTACTACTACAAAGTCCCCAGCTACCAGTACAACTCAGAGTCCCGAAACTACTACATCAGTAAACGAGTGTGTACAGGCTGGCATAAGTAAGTTACAAAAATTACTTAAATTCTAACGAAATAATTTTGTTTTATTCTTAGCTTGTCCTGCTGTCGATGGACCAGATTCTGTCTATGCTCCACTACCAGATTGTACTAAATTTTGCCAGTGTTCAAATGGTGTACCATACGTTCACTCTTGTCCAACGCCACTTCATTTCAATCCAGTTTTAAATGTTTGTGATTGGCCATCCGATGCTGGTTGTACCGGTGGATCATCGACACCAACGACTCAAAAGAGTACAACAGAACAAAGTACTGAAGCAACAACTCCTAAGACCACTGCATCAAGTACAACAACACCACAAAGTACTAATACAACTGCATCAAGTACAACAACTCCACAAAGTACAACTACAACTGCATCAAGTACAACAACACCACAAAGTACTAATACAACTGCATCAAGTACAACAACTCCACAAAGTACAACTACAACTGCATCAAGTACAACAACACCACAAAGTACTAATACAACTGCATCAAGTACAACAACTCCACAAAGTACAACTACAACTGCATCAAGTACAACAACTCCACAAAGTACTAATACAACTGCATCAAGTACAACAACTCCACAAAGTACAACTACAACTGCATCAAGTACAACAACACCACAAAGTACTAATACAACTGCATCAAGTACAACAACTCCACAAAGTACAACTACAACTGCATCAAGTACAACAACTCCACAAAGTACTAATACAACTGCATCAAGTACAACAACTCCACAAAGTACAACTACAACTGCATCAAGTACAACAACTCCACAAAGTACAACTACAACTGCATCAAGTACAACAACTCCACAAAGTACTAACACAACTGCATCAAGTACAACAACTCCACAAAGTACTAATACAACTGCATCAAGTACAACAACTCCACAAAGTACTAATACAACTGCATCAAGTACAACAACACCACAAAGTACAACTACAACTGCATCAAGTACTACTACAAAGTCCCCAGCTACCAGTACAACTCAGAGTCCCGAAACTACGACATCAGTAAACGAGTGTGTACAGGCTGGCATAAGTAAGTTACAAAAATTACTTAAATTCTAACGAAATAATTTTGTTTTATTCTTAGCTTGTCCTGCTGTCGATGGACCAGATTCTGTCTATGCTCCACTACCAGATTGTACTAAATTTTGCCAGTGTTCAAACGGTGTACCATACGTTCACTCTTGTCCAACGCCACTTCATTTCAACCCAGTTTTAAATGTTTGTGATTGGCCATCCGATGCAGGTTGTACCGGTGGATCATCGACACCAACGACTCAAAAGAGTACAACAGAACAAAGTACTGAAGCAACAACTCCTAACACAACTCCATCAAGTACAACAACTTCACAAAGTACTAATACAACTGCATCAAGTACAACAACTCCAGAAAGTACTAACACAACTGCATCAAGTACTACTACAAAGTCCCCAGCTACCAGTACCACTCAGAGTCCCGAAACTACGACATCAGTAAACGAGTGTGTACAGGCTGGCATAAGTAAGTTACAAAAATTACTTAAATTCTAACGAAATAATTTTGTTTTTTTTTCTTAGCGTGTCCTGCTGTCGATGGACCAGATTCTGTCTATGCTCCACTACCAGATTGTACTAAATTTTGCCAGTGTTCAAATGGTGTACCATACGTTCACTCTTGCCCAACTCCACTTCATTTCAACCCTGTTTTAAACGTTTGTGATTGGCCATCTGATGCAGGTTGTACTGGCGAAATTTCAGAACCAACGACAAAAAGTACTAACGCTACAACTTTACCGAGCAGTACATCAACTCAAACTCCTGTAACCACTACTGAAATTGAAGAAAGTACTACAGGAAATGGGGAATTGACTACAGAAGGCCAAAAATCTACTACTGAAAATGATGAAACTACTGGAAATGATGAAACCACTACTGCAAACGATGAAACTACTACTGCAAATGATGAAAGTACTTCTGCAAATGAGGAAACTACAACTGCAAATAATGAAACTACTACTGAAAATGATGAAACTACTGGAAATGATGAAAGTACATCTGCAAATGATGAAACTACTTCTGCAAATGACGAAACTACTGGAAATGATGAAAGTACTTCTGCAAATGACGAAACAACTACTGCAATTGATGAAACTACTACTGAAAATGAGCAATCGACTACTGAGGACTCTGAATCAACTAACAATGAATATACCACCGAAGAAATTACAGATGTTACTACCTCCGAGGCACCAATTCCCACCACTGAAGAAGGACCAATTGAACCAACACCCTGTTCAACTGTCACTGTTACCGAAACAATTATTACTACAACCGTTATAAGCGGAACTGAATATTGCTTACAAAATAACATAGGTAAGTAAAAAATATTTTTTATACCTATAACAACCTAAACTTCCACACTTTTAGATTGTTCTTCAAATGCACCCTTGTACAAGGCCCTACCAGACTGTTCCAAATTTTGCCAGTGTTCAAACGGTGTTCCTTACATGCATAGTTGTCCAGACCAACATTATTTCAATCCGGATTTAAATACTTGTGACAAGAATAGGCATTCGAGTTGCTCTGATCAGAATAGAACGACCATTATCGACGACAGTGTTATAGAAATTGATACAGAATGCACAGCTCAGGTTACCGAGGTCACCACAGAACAAGAGGTCTCCACAAATCCTGAAACCACTGAAAATCCTGAAAGCAGTGCAAATCCTGAGGTCACCACAGAACAAGAAGTTACCACAAGGCAAAATGTTACCACCGAGGTAGATAATGTTACTAGAGAAAGCGAGGTGACTACAGAAGGCCAGACAACAGAGCAACAGACGACGACAGAACGAAAGAGCAGTACAGAACAAGCGATAACCACAGAAGGAACCACACAATCCGAAGTAACTACAGAAAAACAGGTCACTACAGAAAAAGGGACAACTTCATCTCAATCTTCCTCTACAAAACCTTCTCCTGAAGACGAGGGAGTAAAACTTTGCCAGCAAACTGATATCGGTACTTATTTTGATAGTAATTTTTTACACAAGTACTTATACAAATTAATATTTTTTAGCTTGCCCCGCTATCGATAGCTATGATTCGGTTTACGGACCAGGACCTAACTGTACAACATTCTGTCAATGTTCTAATGGTGTACCATACCTTCACCACTGTCCAGAACCCTTACACTTCAATCCCATCAAGAACGTTTGCGATTGGCAAGATGACGCAGGTTGCGCAGTACCTGCCTAATTGCCTAAGATAAATACATTTTCTCAATGAAGCATTAGTTGCAATATAATGAAATAACCAAAACAAATTTATTAAAAATTTAAATATAAAATTTATTTGATTATATTATATTTATTTGATATTATATATTATTTGAGCATTTATTTAAAGCGTACATATGTGATAGAAATAATGTGTTTGAGTTCACCACATGCTAGTATGTTTTAATATCGCCCAAAAAGGTAGGTAAATAAATAACAAGGTAATTATTATATCTCTTTAATTGCCCATATTAATTACATTTGATAAACATTTTGGTACATTTGACAGACAAGTTTTACATTTATGCAATGTTAGATATTTTACATTTATCACTGTTTAATAAAATACCCAGAGTTTATTTTCAAAATAATCTACACCAATTTTTAAAAAAGTTTATGTAGGTAAGTTGGTAAATATTTGTTATAGAATTTTTCGAGAATACCTATTAAAATTCAACAATTTTTTAAAATCATTTTTGATTTATTCATTATTATCTTGATCATAAAATAATATGTAGGTAGTCGATTTAAATGTTACCTTTTATTATATTTTCCAAAAAAACATTGTTTAGATGGAAATACATCAATTTTCTTAGTAAAATAATTAGTGTTTAATTTACATATCAAAACAAGTTTAAACATTCAGTATAAAAAATAAGAAAATCGAGAGTATGTAGACATTAACAAATGATATTTTTGTATATTTTGTTTTTTTTTAATTAGCGATGTAACAAAAAACAAGAAAAACAAATCTAAACTAAGAAATGTGCGAAACAATTAACGAAATTTATACACCGTTATTACCGAAATTTAATCGCGCATAATGGGGAAATCAATGTTAAATTTTTAGCCATCTTTCTACCTACATATGTAAGTCTCCTATACATATGTAAGTCCAGACTACCAGTGAACATACATTTTGATAGAACGTTGCGATAATTTCTAATAAATATCATATTTCCACTGGACCATCCGCCGCGCTTTGTAGAGTTATTTGTGTTAAGTACGAGATGCGAGGACGAAGTACAAAATTATTTAGAAACTACATTTAATGGATTAATTTCTTCATGTTACATTCAAGAGGCCCCCAAATCACCAGATTTATCCCCAAATGACTTTTTTTGGGATATTTCAAAAAAATATGTGTATCGGTAGGTACAGTTTTGAAACAGCAACAAATCTTTGAAATAAGGTAAAAAATAATTCATAAACTTTCTGCTAGAATTACACCTGAACAGCTCGGGAATATGAGACATCTTCTTTACAGGTTTTGCTATTGTTTAGGAGAAAGTGGTGAATTATTCGAACCCTTATTAAAATAGTTTTTAGTTGTTTACAGCTCTATTATTTTCAGTTTTAAATTATCGTTTTGTATATTTTTAAAATTTCCTCTTTATTTATTTTTGGAATATACTTTTTTATCAAGCCATTGTGGCAAAAAGACATAGGTACCTACAGAATTCTATTTGAATATTAGTGACATTTTTTCAATACATTTTTGAGAATTTATTTGGGAAATTATTTGATTTTGGATCTAATCGAAGCAAAGCGCGGAGTACGATCCAGTCAAACAATTAAATTTATTAGAATTCATCGCGACGTTCTATTGAAATATACACTGGTAGACTGGATTTCTGACGGCTAAGAATTTAACATTGATTTCCCTATTATGTGCGATTAAATTTCCAACGGGCATTTGTAATTTTCATTTGGATAAATCTGAAATTGAATGAATTATAATAATTATAAAAATTCATTCAACACAAAATAAATCTTTACAATTCCATTGCTAATTTTATAAGCTATGGAACTAAACTAAAACAAGTCTTCATAGAGACTTATTTTTCCAATAACACAAACATTCATAGGACAAACATAAATCAATTTTTTAATATAAAATAATTATCTAAAAGATTTGGAAATTAAATTATTAAAATTCTAATTTGTGAAACTACTAGATAGTACCTATTTTGATTTTTTTTGTATTATGTTATTTTTTGATATATAGGGTGGTCCAGAACTCGCGCCCCACCGGGACAAAAGCGATGCCAAAACTGCAGTCAGACATAAAGAAAGTTTTTCCTTTGGTAAATGAAGAATTTAAAATCGCCAATCCACGTTTAATATTTCAAATTCACTTCAAATATTTACCAAAGGAAAAAGTTATCATGTCTTCGGCTGCAGTTTTAGCATCTCTATTGTCGTTTCCATAATCCTTTTCCCGGTTGGGCGCGAGTTCTAGAGCACCCTGCATTGCGAACTTACAAACATAAATAAAAATTATCCTGCATAATTTCTACAAAAGACTCCAACAGTTAACATTTTACAACGGTACAATTCAAATAGTTCAGAAACAAAATAACAAGAAATGGGACACACACACACACACACACACACACACGTATTTTTATGGTTTATGAGTTTCAGTTACGACAAAGATATAGTCAAAAAATTAATATCAAATAACGACACAAATTATTCTTTTTTTATCAAATATCTTTAACCAATAATATTGTTAATGTAAAGTCGCCAAAAAGGTGAATTTTAAACGATCTGAGTTGTTATGCATTATTAAAAATTAATTGAATTAAAATTATTCATTTATTGTTATATAATCGTAAATATGAAGGGCACTGAGTAAATAGGGTGTTTGACAGTTTTGCTTTAGATTTATTCATAAATTTTTAATAATACCATTAAACAGATCGTTAATTATTAACCTCCTAGAAGAATTTCAATGGCTAAAGAGCAAAAAAGTGAAGATTGTAGATACTCTCTGAAAATATTTTAAATTTTCACTCTCATGTCCTTTAGAAATTTGATTGTGGTTAAAACTTTAATGTATAGTAAAAAGGTATATTAAATAAATAATTTACTAATACTTACATATGTATATCGATATTTGCTTTTTATATTTGTTGTTTTTTTTACTTTAATTAATTATTTTATTTGTCAAAAATTTTATATTTAAATCGACTGTTTAAGAATTAATTAGTTTAATCATTCTTAAATAAATATTAATAGTATTTCTACACAAAATATAAGAATGTTTTGACCTTTGTGAAAATTATTTGCGCTTTTGTGAATAAATTCATTTTGAAAATACAATCCATAAGATATTCCAGATTTCATCAAAATTTGAAAAAAAATCTAAAACTTTTCACCTTTATGTAGGTATACTTTTTCGTTGAAAAATTATTGGATTCTTTTATGAAACAGTGATAATTAAAAATGACTTTGATAATGAAATTTCTAGCCTAATCTATCCTGACAAAATTCAATTTCAAGTTACTAGTTAAGTTAAACATTTTTTTTTTTAGTTTTTACACGGTTTTGAACTTCCAATTAAATAGCGAATTTTAAAATCAACACATTTACTCGTACAAAAACCTGACGTACCGGCAAGGCGTTAATTCAAGTAACTTTGATAAACCTATTGCTCGTGATTAATAAAACCTTGTAAAATAGATACTAGTTGCGGATAAGTAGGTTGTTTGCATTTTGGTAACTGAACGTTGGTAACTGACCGATTTTACAGATTTTATTCATACATTTGCATTATGAATAAAGGCACTTATTGTGCTATCTCCATTTGGAAATTTCCTAATAGTTAATACGATAAAAAATTCATTAAGTAAGTACGTACAACGTTTTAGTAGATTAAATGATATCGGATGACGTCCCAGTCTCTCTTTTGGTGCTCAACGTTTGCATTTTTCTCGAGATGGAATTGATGGAGTCGAAGAAGATTTCCACTTCTTGTTGGGAATCGACTTTCAAAACCGGGTTTCCGGGCAGTTTAATCGGCCTGTGGCTTCTTTTGGACGAGTGCTCCCGTTGGTCCGGCGCATTTTTGGCCGGCGGAGCCTTTTCTGGGGCTTTTTTCATTCATCTATCGCTCAGTGGATTTTCTACTGGTAATTTCTAAGCCGAAACGGGGTCTGTCGAAGAGATGTGGTTTGGACGTTCATTGTGTTTTACATTTTTTCGGGCAATAAATTTTGTCACACGTTTGACAAAATTATAAAGAGTGTGTTGTCATGGAGATTAGTCACTCATTTGTTAATAGTATTTAGGTGGCTTTTAATACAGGGTGTTTTGTTTTGTATATTCTTTATTGTACAGGTAGATGCAAAATTGTTTGCAATAAAAGCTAATTGTAAGGGTGCAACAAAGATAACTTCCAATAGTCTCATATAAAGGAAAAAGAAAGAGTGATATTGTGGGATTGCAATTTTCTCACTCTAACCACTGTTATTTTAACAATATTTCTTTGTTCAACATGCAACATTTTGTACAGTGAAATTTATAAATTTCGAATTCAAATTTTCAGAATGAAAAATTACGACGATCTATTGAGAAAAATGACAACTAAGCGTACTGTTGGAATAAAACTGCGATACTACGTTTACATTACCGAATGTAGAGGGCAGCACCGTAGTCGAATCTGCCATTTGCCAACTTTGATTTTATTTTAGAAGAGGGTTACAAAAAATAAACCAAAAATAAGAATTTTAGGTGTCGCAAAAATTGTAACGATAATGATTTATCGGTAGTGTTTCGAGTTCGATACCGCGATTCTACCTTCGATCGTCGCGTAATCCCCGAATATCGATCAGTTTTAGTGCGGGAATTGCAAGTGCTCGTGCGAAATTGATTAATATTTACCGTGTATTAATGCTGAAATTTGCGGTTTTCGCGAATTTTGCCTTGCGATACGTCCTTCGATTGCCAGTGACTTATTTAAAGTACGCTTTCCATTGATTATTGTCGTCAAACCAGCGATGTGACAATGAGAAAATCTCAAACGTCAGGTAAAAAATCGTGACACATATTTGTAGGTTATGTTTCTCCGTTTCTCTGTTTATTTTATTTCTATGTTTTTATTAGGTATTTAAAACTATTTATTAGTGTAAAAAATGGGACTACTATACGTTGTAGTTTACATCCGCATTTATTGCTATTTATTTCGGTTTTTTTATAACTATTAATCCTTGAGATTCAGGAGCCCATCTATTTATAGATCATTCCATGGCTGCTGTATCTGTAACGTGCAACTGTTACAATTTACAAAGCATACTAGATGCAAATACCTGTTGTCTTTTAAAATCGAATTATATATTCAAATATTCTAATAAATTACGATTATGAGATAATCAAAAAGTATTGTTATAAATTATCAATTAATATTTGATTAGATCACCGTCTACCCAAGTGCAGATCAATTGAATCTACTCTAATGGATCTGGCAAGTTAAAGGGATAGTTAAGGGAGATTATTGCACACACATATCCTCAACCCGCATCATAACTTGATTTGTATGGGTTTATTAGTTACGGTACAATCAACCGCAATCTAATTAATCGATTAAATATCGCTTTCAATCGTATCTTCTCCTTACTGGTGAACTGGTGTTTGTTTTAAAAATATTGTAAAGTATACCGAAAGTTGGCTGTGACATACATCACTTAATCCAGCCAATCACAATGCTCGATTATCCCTTAATCTTATTACTCACCAATAAGAACCCTCTGTGAGTAGTGACGTCAGTACCAAGAATCATAGCCCGCCTGGTATAGATATTTCAAAGTTGCTAGTAAACACGTAAAGGCAAACATGTCAAAGTGAAATTTCCTACCACGAAAATTCCAAAGGCCCTTTACCTGGAAATCGTTTTCCCCAAAGCTATGCATTATGAGCCCTTAATTCCGAGTAGCGACGCGGAGCGAAATTCGCGGTATCGACGAAACTTCGTGCTTCTCGGAAAGGAAAATCGTTTAAACTCTGCGAGCGCGCCTGTCGACATGTCCACACAAATCCATTCGATTCGGACACATTCGGCGAATTGTTCAATCGCAGATTCTCCAAATCGAATTCCCAATTTTCGACACTAACTAACGAGAATAAATTATTCTCGTTATATCGTTCAATAATTTTTGTCCCACTTTTTCATAACTGCGTTCCTCATAAAATAGTTATTCGGGAAAAGCATCAACAAATCTTCAATGTTAGGATTTGATGTAGTACGGAAAAGAATTGAAAAATAATCAAACCGTCACCACGCATTGATTTGAATATGTGAATCTTGAATGGAATCGATAGCTTGGTTGTCGCGAAGTCAGCGATCCGAATCGGGAATGCTTAAATAGGTCATCCTTTGGGTCAGTCACCTCTTTCCAGCTTTAACCCACTTTTGGTCGGTGTTCGAACGAATACAGGACCGATGCACAGGATGAGATTAGAGATGAGACGTACTTGTATTCGGTTACAATTTACTTGTACTGGAACATCTTCAATATCTTATAGATTTGTTGTTTGTAGGTGTAGCTATTTTTTGTCAAATTTGAGCTAATTTGAGTGTTTTTGACTAACTGTTTCAAACTTTTATTAGAAGTTAACAGTTTTCTCTTCCATTCTATGTATAATTATTCCAATAAGGATTACACGTGCTTTATAAAATCAATTGAATAGTCTTAAGTTCAAAATATTAATAAAAATTGGTAAATTCGTGTGCTACAAATTCTTAGGTTTGCCAATTAAAAAATTGAGTGGTTAAGAAAGTTAAATTTTCACGAATTAATCCCCATACTTCTTGAATCACACTGTATTCCGCTTTAAAGCTTTAAAAAAATAGAACCGCAGCGCCCATCTCTACAACTCTTGTGCCTTTCCTCGAAGCCCGTACTTTGTTCCCGTTCTCTCCCGTTGTTTCCAGGAAAATTCTCGTCCACGAGGGCGCACTGCATCACCTGCTTGCTCTAAATTTTCGCGGAAATCCGCTTTCCGCGAAGTAACCTTTGGAAATCGGCTGAATAGACTGTTGCTCCCTCTCATGAATTAATAGTTCAGCACATTCGCTAGATTGTTTACGTTCGAATGGGGTTGATTATTCGCAATTCTCAGTGCAATTTATACCGATGACTGTCGAAAAGTAAGTTACATACATGTTTTGCGTTAATGGTATTTAGTGGGTAGATTAATGTTAATATTGATGATGTAATCGTGCGTTTGATGAAGTAAATATTTACTTATTGTTAGTATTGGAGCTAGTTGGGGTTATTTGTAATAAGTTTTGATAGTTTTTAGCTACTAAAATAAAGCATCTTGATATGAGGACTCGATAAAAATAATGTTATTATTCCGTTCATTTTTCTTAATAGTACATTTATAATTAGTATAATCTATTCACTGAACTTGTGCATGTTTGGGATTAAAACAGTATTTATTACTAAGGATAGTAAATGTTCAGTATCTTCCAGAAGTCGGGTCAATAGCACTTAAGGGTTAATACAAGTCTTAAATTAATTATTACTCTGCAATAAATACTATGTATAATGTCAGTTGAATTTATGGCTTTGTATAGCATTAACAATGATTTGTACAATTCAAGTAAATGTGTGTTTTTTTCGATTTTATTCATAATTATTTTGACAGTTCATATTTACCCAAGCAATATGTAAAATGTGGAGTTACCGACCTTGCAATTCACTGTAAATTCCTAATCCGAAACCCGCGTAAGTTCAGTGAATGGACTATAAAATACTGGAATAGATTTGTTTGCCTAGTTTCACCTGTTCTTTAATCAGGACAATAAAATCGCACGTTCTTTCATGGCCGTATAATCGACCCATAGTGGCCCATCAACGGGATTGCCCTTGATGGTCCCGCAATATCCTTGAATAGAATCAATGCAGCACTTGCGATTTTCCGACTGTCGGGCCCGATGAGTAACGGCCCGGGGCACATTAACTGAAGTCGACACGCGATGATAACGTGCCGGGGCGATTTCAAACGAATTTTCCGGCGAATCGTGAATTCTATACCGCAACTGTTACTATGCGTTGCATACTTAAGGCAGGAGTTTTTTTTTATTGAAGTATCTCAGTTAATCAATTCGAAAATAGTAATTTAAATTATTTGGTAATTACCAATTTTGCATTATTATCTACTACTCGAACAGTATGGTAGTCATAAATGTCATACTAGTATTGAATCGCTCTTTTAAGACTTATTTTGATAGAATTATTACAACAGAAAATAACGTAATGCCTTACACGCTGTTACAGCATATGAAATTACTTTTTCCTTTGTCATTTTCTGATATAAAAATTTGTAGCGCAAGAAGGCACTGTTCGTTTTCGTGGGGAATATATCACATAAGTAAAAAACCAATATGTATAGGTAAGCCTAATCCTAATCTCTTTCTTCTGATACGTCGACAGATATTTGTTCCATAAAACCTTATATACATCAGAGGAGATCGATTTAAAACAAAAAATATATACCTCACATGATTGGAATTTCATTTTAAATAGAAAATTTTCTAGAGACATTAATTAACTCGCAACAAAGAGATACGATTAAAATATTGATTGCAAGATACAGTCATGATGAAAGCGCTTCGTTATTTCCTTTGATTCCATCAATTTTATTATGTTCCCCTTGCAGGATTTAATCGTTGACCTTTAACAATCCCTACGGATAGGCATCTGTTATTGGCCCTAATTTGAGTCATAAATTTTTTATACTATTAGCACACTTTCGCCACCTCGCCTACATTTTCTTCCCGGAATTCCCCGGCCGTGACCTTAAAGTTCGGCGGAAAGGGCGACTTGATAAGTTACAAGGGCCGTTTTCAGTGAAAGTACCTATGTATTGTTTTACGACTATGCTAAAGTTTGTTTCGATTCAAATTAATTTCAATTTACTAAAATTTAATATGAAACAATATTTGCTGATGTACCTACTGGACAATTATGTGTTATTGTGCATTGAAAAGTGGAAAGGCCAGGCATTTTTGTGTTTAATAAACTATGGTAAAATTAAATGCTCTTCAACTACTGGCGATTTATTAAAGTTATGTGTTCCAAAAATAACCGCATTAACCACCAATTTCCCGATGTACTTCCATTTGTACTTTTGGTCCACGGAACTCCCATTTATAAAACCATCCATTCGTGCATTCCATTAATATTTCGCAGTGACTACTCAAACTATTTGCATCATTTGAAATTTGAATGATATAGCAATGTGACTTTTTGACACACTTAAAAATATTGTATGCAATTTTCTTTTTTCTACGTTATCATTTAATACGTTTTTAAATACGATACCATAACCAGTTTAGTTAAGTATTTAAATACGTAGTTAAATACACAAGTTTCCTTTGTATTTACAATGTATTTAAATTAAAATTAAAATACATGTTTGTCCAAAATTTAAAATACTTGTATTTAAAGATTAAATGCATTTTTATAAGTAATGTTGAGAACAATCACTTCTTAATTATATTTCCCTTGAAAACAAAAAAATTTATTACCTCTAACTTCGGATTACCCCTTGACGTAGACATACATTTTGTAATTGTTTTTTTTGACAATTTTCACTTTAATTCAGGTTATCCATGTAAAATATTGTTATAACATTAAAAAATTTAAATATATTTATATACATTAAATACATGAAGAAAATATTTGTATTTGTAATAAAGTATTTTTAACAACACTGACCATACCAACTTTTGGTACGGTGCTTTTGCCATGGTGCAGTAGACACTGCTTCTCTATTTTTTGGCGCTGTTCAATTCGTGTCTATTGCAAATTGCAAAGGTAAATCGCATGATGATGCTCTATTTTCCTCGATACAGTAATACAAAAACTGATAGGAAACCGAGTTTCGTTGGTACAATGCCTGTATCCAGTGTCGACCTTCGATGTTCCTTGTTCACTGATGCATTTAAAAAATGGTTTTAAAATAGAGCAAAAAGAATCATTCCCAGTTGCACAAATATACATCAATAATCATAAATCATTACCAGTTTGAAATCTAATTTTTGGGATTCGTAAATAATTTATATACCGATAAAAATAACAATTGTTCATTATGACATCTACTTCTTTTCTATATTGGCCATACAAGTAATGTTTGTTTTATTGATCGATCGAATGCGACCTGCTAAACCTTGTGCGAAACTAATCCCGGTCCCGCGTCGGTGTATACAAACAATCTTTTTTTAAAGATTACCTCAAGATAATGTCACGGCCGTAAATTGTAAGTCTATTGAGTCGGAAAGCCCTAGCGTGCAGGTATGTCGAATGAGTCACAGGTAAATTGCTTAATCAATTCTTGACGAATGTTCTACAAATCTACTTTATAATTGCTAAATCGAATCTTCTATCTTAAGTTAGATGCATCAGGTACTTACAATCAGGGCCGGATTCTATGGGCTATTTTATTATGAGCTTTGTATTATGAGCCTCTGATCATCTAAATTCAGCCCTGCTTACAAGTATACAGATAATATCCCTAATACAAATATTATCTACATCAAATTCAATTTTACTTGATATTATACCATTACGAATTTTATTCAAATTAGTTTTATTCAATTCAATCCAAAAGTAATAATGATGTTTGTATTCAATATTCCGCCGTAATTTAATTCTCGAGTTAGAAACACCTCGCAATATAAATTTTAGGTTTTTCAATGTGCAGCTTTGCCCGGCAGTTTGCGAACTTTTAATTGCATTTAACGAACGCGTTACTTGCAGTTAGCTAATTAGTTATTAGGGCAGACACGTGGAGGCATTGACGACGGACCCGAGCTATGTATAGACGCAGCATGCGACTAATTCTGGTGATATATCTGTTGCGATAAATCACATTTTGCTCTTATTCCTCATTAAAATTTGATCATTTTAAACGACTTGTTACAGGGAAATTTTGGTTAACAATGCGTAAACTTACGGACTCGAATCAATGCAAATTATGCAAGTAAAAGGTAAACAATTTGTATTTCCTCGGAACTAATTGAATCCTTATTATTGAGTTTCTCCGTTGGAACGGAAAATCGTCGTTTCGTAGAAGCCGAGCGATGAAAAGCTTTTGATTCTGAGAACCTCGATTCGCTTTCGGAGTATCGTTTAATATTTTCTTGCAAGCGTAATTGCATTCGATGCAAAGTAGATATTAAAAACGTGGAGAAAATAAGCTTTTAAAAATCGTTTAGATACCTTGATATCGAATAAATTCACAATTGTTTGTGATATTAAATTTTATGGATGAGTCTCAATAAATGTAAATGAAGTCTTGTAAAAAATTTCCCATAATCAAAAAACGAGTCCCAGTAGTTTCCCTAGTGAATTAAGCTCTTCGTATAGGATCCCCTTCACTAGTAGATGTAGATTTTCCCCCATTGTCTTTTAAATTAGATATAGACAACAGTTATAAGATTTTACACCTTCATGAAAATCTCCCATTAGTTTCCTATACGTAAACTCATCACTTCTAGTAAGACCTCTGCGACACGAGCATCAGGCCTAAGGTACTCTTTTTTGTGGTAAGAGTATTCCAGAACGCCCCGTATACGTTACCTTTCCGGGTAGGTTCGATTTCCCGCTCGCCCGACGATCCGAGATCGATCGATGAAAAGGAATGGGTAAACGGTCGCCGGCACATGCCAGCACCGAATGAGTCAAGTTCACTGGTTCAGTAGGTCCTTTGAACTTGGTGCGAGAGCGCCGCACTGGCACACACATCATACGGACCGACACGCACGATCGCGAGATCGCGGTTGTTTTGTAATACCAAAACGATTGTCGGCTAGACGGGGACTCCTTCAGACAGAACGACGGTGCTCGCTCGGATTTCTGCCGGTGAATCACCGCCGTACGTGGATTTGCCGCGACTATTGAGATCATTGTTGTCGGTCGTTTGTTGATTGAATCGTGAGTATGGTGCATTGCGATTTAGATCGGTTTGCGAGTAGGTGGGATTTGCTCCAAATTGCATGTAAATCTTATGTGATTTTTGTAATTTTTATTTGGTTATACACATTTTTCTTATTGTCGTTTTTTTATTGTGATACAAAATGCATTGAATAACACTTTGTTATAAGGCACTTCATTTATCATCTTGTTTTTCATTTTTTTGTTCGTATTTTTTTTAGCTGCACAATTAGAATCATTCTTAAAAGACTTAACAAAATATTGTCGATTCCTACATCATTTCTCAAAATGTGACTGAACCTTGTAAGATATTTAATATTTTTACACCAACACCAAGCACTTAACTATAAAATAACTAAGCTCAAACTACGTTAATAGGTACTATAACTTTACATTTATTATAAAAAAAATACACCTTGGTAGGTTTGTGAAAAAATCTTTGGTGTTTTGATCCGATTTCGAGGTGAATAAAGAGGCGGCCATTCACAAGGAAAACCGAAAAAATATAACATTGGAATGCCGCCAAACGCGTGACGCAAATTCCTCATATGACGTAATACAAAAGATCTAAATATTGTACATAAGTTGGCAATGTTGTACTTACGATTTGCATTCACGTTTAGTACATAAATTTTCTTTCTCAGGCCGAATTTTTTCGCGAGTGCTGTGTTATGACAGCGAATCGACACGAGTAAAATATTTCGCATAAAACTATGCATAATTACGAGCTCTTTCGCGGTATTTTCCTGATTATTAATGAACAAAAAGAGAGGGTGGTATTAAATAAAATTTGTTTGTTTCAGAATAATCAGGATAAACGTTGCTATAACGTTTACGCATGGAACATAATAAATATTTGTAAGTATTGAATATTAAGAAAAAAACTAAATTATCAATAAATTTTACAATAATCTTATAGATATAGTAGATCTATAAACTTGTGGACGTAGATAGAACATAGGACATAGATAGGACAAAGGACATAGATACTTGTGGACTAAAATTACTAAAAAAACTTTTCAAAATTTAAAATTTTTTCACAAAAATTCTATTTTTCTCGATTAGGTCTTGATTTTTCCACAATATCTTTTAATAAAATAAGGAACAACTAAAAACATTGTTTCTTTTGTCTACTCTGCCATCTCACTATTCCAAGGATATGCATATAAAATTATGCTTTAAATATTTGACATTATAAATTTTGTAAAATTTGTGAATGTTTAATGCGTAATATGTTGGCAACGATCGTGAGCAGCGTTTTGTTTGTAATGAAAATGAAAATATATCTAGCAATTTGCCAACGTTTATTTAACAACTTTAGCTAATGAGAGCTATATGCAGACTAATTTAAGAAAATTTCGACTAAAAGCCGTTTCATGTACCTAAACATTTTCTATTTACACCTACAATTTATTTCTCGTAATTCACACATCATATATTTTTTTTAATATTAATTGATGTCTAAACATATTGATTGATTAATGTATTAATTAATTGGTGATGATGAAATTTTACAATATATTAATTGATTAATGACCTACTTTTATCTATTATGTGAATATTAAATGTTTTTTACAGATACATATTTGGTGGTTTGAGTTAACACAATGCAACAGAGGGGCTCAAACACAACCATGGATTCCGAAGAATCGGACAATTCTTCGTCCACAACTTCGTGCAGAACCAGAGTAAGTGTAATTTTCTACACTACCACACTTACAAAATATCCAACAGTTAAATTTTATCGTTGCCCCAGCTAAAGCATATTTCCCAATCGATGATTTTTCAGAACAACGCGAAATTAAAAGTTCTAGTCAGGAGCCACGCCATGCGCGAAGAAACCTCGCCGCCGCGAGAACCTAGTCCGAACCACCAGCACCTCAATCAACCCCATCAGCAGCCCCTCCATTCGCCCTGCATCACCGTCATCCCTTCGCCCGAAGTCTCCTCGTCGCCGCTCGTCGTCCTCAGCCCGTCGGCCGGCTCTCCGACGCCTCTGTGCAAGTCTCCTCAGTGCCTCTCTCCCACAGCCACTCTAGTACCTTCTCCTAACAATAACTCAAGGAGCTCCCCTAATCTTAGTGCTTCCTCGGACGTCGTTTCTCCCAACGACAGGCTGGATATGGACCATCAGCAAGATGGCAACTACGGTGAATACGCGGTGAGTATTCATTACCTTAATATTTTCAGGGAGTTATATAACCCCCAAAAAAATGATAATTATTTTAATCGAGATTCTTTTTATTTATTTTTTTCTTTTGTTGGCTGTTTTCATTTTAACTTTGTTTATTGATGCTCTCTCTAATTATCTAATTTACCTACTGGAAATCTAAATGATGTGATTTCGAAATGCGATTTGTTGGATATTTGGGATAAATAAATAATATTGCAGGGGAAAGTCAATAATAATCCAGCATTTTTTGTTTACCCAACGAACGATAATTAGTTAATTCGATGTTTATCAATATAATTTGTAAACACGCTGCAAAGAATATTCATGAAACCAATAAACTGGAATTTGCGTCTCTCGAGAATTTTGAACATTAACCAGTGTTGATTTTACTCGACATAGTCGAATAATTTATTCACAATAAACAAATCGATAGTTGTTTTGTATCCAGTACAAAATTTACCGGTAATAGGCCGTTATTTGTATGGTTACTGGTTAATTAGAAAAGCTCCTGGAAAACCTTAAACAATGATACGCTTGCTTTGAGTAATTGTTCCGCGAAAAATAAAATGGTAGGTAATAATCACAATATCAAAGGACTTGCTTATATTAGTGAACTAGTTTAACTTACGAGGCAAAAAAATAGTAATAATAGTTCTTATAGCCAATTATTGAAAACACCTTTAACAAACGAATTAAAATCGATTAAAAATACATACACCTTGCTCCATTTCCGATTGCAACATGGTCATTTCTATGAGTGGAATAAAGAAAGATTATTAAAATGACAGTTGTCAGAGTGAAAAGTTGCAATGACATAAATGTCACTCTTTCTTTTTCCTTTGTAAGTGTCTAATGGAAGTTGTCTTTATCGCACCCATGGCCTATATAACCTATGTTGCGATCAAAAATGGAGCAACCTGTATATTGTTTGGATGTACTTTTATAAAAATTATTTAATTTCAAATGTAGCTTTATTTATCTAATTAACCCCAAATCAAAGGCTAGTCGATAATTAATAGAAACATGATGAATGCTACCTCCAGCGTATTTCAAATTATGGTTTAGAATTTTGAGATTATAATCACGTAGATTTATTAGCATATTAATTAGCAACTGAATTTTCAAACAAAATGAAAATTTGAACCAGGCAAGGCAACAAATTAAATAATAGCGTACTGTTCCACTATTAATCCTATTAAGGGTTTTCTATTAATTCCGTACTAATTAATACAAGGCTGCGCTTTACCAGCTGGTGCAATAGGTTGTTGCGAACAACCAGTCTTTTAATTAAATTATTCAATCTAAACCGTACGAGGGCGGTTCGATAAGTACTTAGCCTCACCGCCAGATAGCGCAACTGTCGCGAGAGAAAATTTTGGACCAATTTTTCTATAAACTATATTTCGCTATTTGAGTATCGTTGTTTCAGACTTCTAGTCCTAAATTTGCAAATAAAACGAACTCATCGAAACAAGCTAGTCATAGTTATAAGAGAAAGAACGCGTGCGAGTGCCAAACTCAGAACTGTCTGAAGTGCGTGAAGAACCAACAGCAAGAGAAGATATTCGTCAACAGCGCGACGAACGCGAACGGCGGCAGCCCCAACACATTGACCGTCTCCAGGGCCGGCTCCAAAACCAAGCTGCGCCAGCAGAGCTCCTCGTTGGGCAGCTTCGACAGCTCCATCAACTCGCCCTGCTTGTCCAGAGGTAAATCGTTATTAACTTCCACCGACGCGCCGTTCGACTGATTCGATTGTGTTGCAGATAATAGTTCCGAACTGTACACCGACACCACCGGCGTCGATCTGGAACTGTTCATCCCCGAAACGCTAAACAGAAACGCTAAAGATAGAGCGTTGATGCTTCGAATAGAACAAGAGCTAGTCAGCCTTGCCAAAGATAAAACGTAAGTGAGAGCCTTCTCCTTTCTCTCCTTCTTTTCAGCCTCCATTCGTCCACTTTTAAACATAAGCCTCTTCTTCTTAATCATCTTCATCATCTTCTTCCAAATCTTTCCATGTACCTATACATCTGTCTTTTGTTGTTATTGGCCATCTTTTGACCATTCTCTGTGCCCATTTACCTGTATTATTTCTTGCTACGAGTGCGAGTAGAGTATATGTTAAATAATATTGATAAATTGTAGGAAAACGCATTACAAATTCCCGCCAATGTCGTCGTATCAGCGAATGCTGGTGCATCGATGCGCGGCCTACTTCGGCATGGACCACAACATCGAGCCTACGGGAAAATGCGTTGTGGTTAATAAGACGAAGAACACTAGAATACCCGAGGTGGAATTTAAGGAGCACATTAAAGAGGATATTATATTTAGCGAAGAACCTAGGCGGTCCATCTTGAAAAGGGATTCTAATAGCATAGATGATTATAGGTAAATAGGATTTGAGGCGTAGTGTACCTCACCTTACGCAGGATATAATTAGTATTTTCTGTTTTTTATTGTTGTATTAACATTCAATCCTCTCCAGTTTCAAATCGCCAGATCGATCTTACGGGTCCGACAGTCGCAGAAGTAAAAGCTTCGAGGAACGCGAGGAGGAGTACGAAAAGGCCAGAAGAAGAATATTCAACAGAGAGGTAAAAATGTTCTCGTACGGTAAACCTGTCGCGTTGTAACTTTGGCTAGTTTTTCAAGATGCGCGACGAGTCTTCGGAGGATTTTGGCTGGTCCGAGATACCTTGGTCGAGCACGGAGAGCGAGTATTCGTCCAGATACAGGCTGCAAACGCCGGATATGCATCACCGGCACGCGGGAAAGTTGCTGTTTAAGGTGAGCATTCGATCGGTTTCTCGCGACACCACCTTTACTGATGCGATTGTTTCAGGGCCACTCCGAGGATCCCGGCGAGGCGATGAGGCCGTGCGTGTCTAAGAGCTACAGTTTCGGAGGCTACGGCGGCAACCTGTCCGTGTTGAGCAGAGGAGACAGCGTCATGTCGACGCACAGCGCCGGGCCGAGATTGCTCACCAAACAAGGTACATAATTGGTTGTTTCGGCGGTGGTAAATGGAACGAAGAAATGTGTTTATTACACGTGAACTTGAAAGGGAATTTTAATCCTGTAGACGCGAGAATGTTTCATATAGAAAAGGGAATTTTTTCGAGTACATTGCAAAAATAACAGTTATTTTGTAACAGTCGTTACTGCACCTCTATACAAAAAATATTCCCATCTCTATTAAACTGCTGTCATGCAAAATGTCATTAATGTCAATTTCGACGATAAGTTTTTGTTGATGTATCATCGAACGCATCTTAAATACTCACTTCGCGTATATTCGCGTCCACTGCGAAAGAAATAGTAAATTAATCGAAGAAAATTGGAAATTCTAAATAACATAATCATTATATATTAAAAAAAATAATATGTTTATGAAAATAAGTTGCATTAAATAATAATGTTCAATCGCCAAAAGAATTATTTGCTGATATTTCTCGGGGCAGCATTAATATATCCGATTCCTTTTGCTCCGAAATTTACATCCGTTTCGTTGTTTTCCTTCCTGATCGTCGCTTGTGAAATTGCTTGTACCGTCTCAATTTCTTTCGGCTCCATTTACTTTTGCCTTACTTCTACTAGGAAGAGTATTTGTAGATTCGGGAGCCAGCTCGGTGTCGTGGCGTCTGAGTCCGTCCAGCTCGGGCTACAAATCCCAATCGCAGATGTCCGAATCCGTGACGCCTTCGCCGACTTCTACGCCGCATCTGACGCATCCCGACGTCAAGGAAGACAGCATCCTTTGCGGCGAGGATAACAAATCTAGCGACAAAAATCACATTATTTGGGCCGTTTCGAATATCCATAATGTGCCGAAAGGGAGTTTAATTATCAACCCGCAGGTAGGTTTTTTTGCTGTTTTAAGCATCAAATTTAACTCTTTGAAAATTACTATTCATATGGACCATGTGGATTTCATAAACAGGGTGTTCCCTGTTAATTGACTGCCGATACTTCAGGATGTGATTATTTGGATGATTTTAAGAAGAAAAGTTTATATCAATGTGTGTCCTAAATTTCTTAGTTTTCGAGCTACAGGGTGTTACAGTTTTAGAAAAAAAATTTCTATAGTAATTTCCCTATTACTCCAGATATTTTTATGAAATTACGGAGATTTAGTTTTTTAGAAAAAGTAGTGGCGTACCAATTTTTCTTCAAACATATTCAGTTCAAACTCCGTACGAACGTAACTAGTAAAAATAAAAAAAAATCTTTTGCTTCAAAAAATGCTCCTTAATAATTAAAAAGTGTGTAAAAAAATTCATAAAAAATATCTGGAGTATTTAATAAGAAAATTGTGATAGAAAAGTTATTTTCTTCTAAAATTGCAACACCCTGTAGCTCGAAAACTAAGAGGTTTAGGACACATATTGATATAAACTTTTCTTGTCAACTCAATTAATTAACACCCTGTATGGTGCATCATTTATCATCAAGCATCAACCTCATTAAAAATCGGACGTACTATACAAAATAGGTAACCAAGTCCAATAAAATTTCTGCATAATACAGAGAAATTCACAATATCTTTAATGCTACATTTTCCATTTCAGACCGGCCAGCCGTTGAAAAACGAAGACGGCACCATTTATCATTACGATCCGAACAATTTACTGCCGGAAATATCATCGCCCGCTAAAACCCACCATCACTCGTCACCGCTGAAATCGCCCCATAAAGAAATCCACGATTCGCCGAAAAAGCCCCATTCCGACACGTTGAAACCGTCGCCGTCGAAAAAGTCCCAAATAACGCACAGCTCGACGAGCCCCACGCTGCCGTATTCGCCGCCGGTCGTCGCCGCCGCCGCGCCCGAATTGCCCCAGAAGAGCTACTCGTTCAGCCAGCCCGATCAGCAGCAGGCCATGCAGCAGTACGGATCGTACCACGCCGCTATCGCCAGCCCGCCTGCTGCCGATCCTGGCCCCTTCTATCAACAACCGTGCGTCATCTACTCCACCCCTTACGGCTTGTACCAGTCTCAACAGTACGATAACCGTTTGGTAAATATTTCTTATTGTATTACCAACGTTTGCTAATACTATGTAGTACTGTGGGTACTGATGTTGGTTTTGTTGCAGGATTATACAGCGGATGTATCAAACTCTTATTACTTACCGGAGGCTTCGGGCGCGCCTCAGGTTACTTATCAAGCGCCACAAGCTGCTCCTTACTGGAACCAAACGATAGCTTATTACCAAAACGGGGGGCCGGTTCAGAGCGTTACACCGCCTAGGTACTCGTCGGTACCTCTACAAACAGCGACCCAGCCTGGTATGCATTACTACCCCTTATTAAAACAATATTTACAGCGTTTTTTTTGCAGCGTACGTATCGACTTCGTACCCACAGACTTACATGACGTCGCCTACACAGCAAATACAAAATTCCGCGGAACTCCAACCGGTCTATCCCAGTCAGCCGATGGTGATGTACCAGAACCAACCGACGCCGCCGACGTATTATCAGAACCAGCCTCCCATGGTTTACAGCCAGAACGCCGTGTACGCGTCCCAAGGGTATCCCAGTCAAATGGCGCAACCGGTACCACATCCTCACAATATGACGCCCAATAGCGGCGCTTCGAGCGCCATGCAAAGCGGCCACGACGCCCAAACGCTGTACAATCTCACGCAGAGCATACAGCAGATGAACCTCGGCGGGACCGTGCCCTGCCCAACGTTTGTAGCCAATAGAGGTGAGCATAAGCCATAGAGAATATAGAGTGGAAAAAGCGTGTAATCATAGATGGTACAAATTGAATTCTGCGCATACTGTTACTTGTTATTTAAGGTAGATACCAGTGTAGCCAGAAGCAACGGAATTGCACTACTTTTAGGGGGTCGTGTCTAGGCCTTATATGGCTAAAATGAGTGAGACTTAAATGCTTAACAAAATTAATGAAATTTTCTATTACTAATAGTATCAAAAATGTTAAATCATAATTAATATAAACTGCTCCGCAAAAGTTAAGGAAGTTCGCAAATTTTGCGATTATTTTAAATGTTACAAACTTATTGATCACCAAACTTTCAAATATGCGAAATTAAATGTTTTTTTCTCATATATGAGTGGATTTTTTGTCCATTCTTCTACAATTCATACTAAATTTAGCGATAAAAAAACCTGCAACATTTAAATTAATCTCAATATTTGTGAACTTCCTTAACTTTTGTGGAGCAGTATATATTCTGTGCTTCATTCGCTATTGCAACATGGGCATTTCTATGAGTTGAACAAAGAAAGATTATTAAAATAACAGTTGTTAGAGTGAAAAGTTGCAATGACATAATATCACTTTTTCTTTTTCCTTTATAAGTGTCTAATTGAAGTTGTCTTTGTTGCACCCACAGCCTATGTTGCAATGAACAATGGAGCAATCTGTATACAGTCTTGAATTACCTATCTACTAAAAACCAAAAAAATTTCGTCACATATGACTTGAAAACACAATACAAGGAGTCTCATAAGTTGTTACTTTTTTTAATTGCTTCTGGAAACTAAAAAAGATGGAAATTTTTAAAATTTCTTTAAATTTCGAATATTTTCCAATACGGACCTGCCATAACCAGACAGGTGTCAAAAAAATAATAAATAATTAAAGATAATAGCTCATCTTTATAGAAATAATTCAAATAATGAATTGGTGGACATGCTCATTATTTATGGAGAGTTTTTCCAAAGCGTTTCCAATCAAAATGGCGACAATTTCGAGCAGTTCCTTTAACTTTTAAGCAACAAGGGCGTATTAACTAACTTTTTAATAATTAAAAATTAAAAAAAAAACATGCTTTCTTATTTTCCAGAATATTAAAAAATTTTACTTGAAAAAGTTGCTTAAAATTAAAAGATTACACAGTTAAAAAAAAAGTATAAAAAAGTAAGTAATAAAAATCATTTGTAACATTCAACGCTTGTAAACATAACGATTAATGTCGCGTTCTGACTTTTCTCTTTTCTAACTTAAATGACATGACAATGTCAAAACTGTCAAATCTGTCAATTTCAATTGGTTCCATTATTTTCACGCGCATCCGTATGCTTTTGCCATTCTATATTTTATTTCTCTATGGCATAAGCCGACGGTGCGCCAAATAATCTGTAACATAAGATGGATTCGAAGGTGCCCAATTGCCGTGCGACGTGCGCCAGAGACCGTCGAGCAACGGCCTCAAAAGCAAGCCGTTCAAATGCTTCTTCGTGGGATCGGGCCAGAGCAGCGCGGGCACCAACTCGCCCGCCGCCACTGTGATAGCGGGCTACTGTCCGCAGGGCTCCGCAGGGATGTACAGGACGCCGCCGGAGACGCCGCCCGCGCAATTCGCCTATCCGCCGAACTTCGCTTCGCCGATCATTTTGAAACAGGTACGATTCGTGATGGTGGTTCTGATAGGTGCATGAATTGATCGATGATTTGTAGGTTCCCAGAGCAAGTACTCCGGGTACGGCAAAGAGCAGTCGATCTCCAACCCCAGCCGGTGACGTTTCTTATTTCGATAGGCAGAAGATGGCGTTGCCGTCGAATTTGTACCAAGGCATGCCTTACATGGTACCAGGTAAGCAGGATATAATGATAAATACAGTTGGTGCAAAATAAATATTAATGCACGTCACCTATGATTTACTACGTCACAAGTAGGCAGTGTTGCCGAACTGTTATAGAGTTTACAAAATCTAATAATTTTCTAAAATTATCAAATGGCAAAATGACGAGAAAAAATTGAAAATTAGGGGTACCTGTTTCACGTTTCTAATTGGCGGTCGATTCAGCTGAAATATATTTAACCAGTGCGAGTAAAAAATTTAGTGTACAATCGACCCTTAAAAGAGTACATACTGAAATTTCTGAGAAAATTTCTGAATCTGAATTATTTAGAGCTTAAATTGTGTCGTTTGTAACATGTGGAAAAGATAACTACGCAAAAAATTGTTATTTCTTGATTATTCGGCTGAATAGTCTTTAGTAGTTGAGGCTAGTAAACTAAAAAAAAAAAATTAAAATTAAAAGTATCGAGCAGCAAGTTTCAACGGCAACTATGGAAATTGACAGTCAGTGCCTACCAACTTACTACAGGAAAATAATAATTTTAAATACAAACGTTGAATTTTACAGTAAATACGAGTACAAGTTAAGAAAATACAAATAAGTAGTATATAAGTAAATACAAATTAAGAAAAATATTTATTTTGCAGCTACGGATCCCAGGCTAGTTTCCGGTCGAGGACAGCCTAACATTTACAGACCAAATGCACAAATGACCAGGCCAAATAATCAAGCGCCTGATAATCGATCTAACAATAAAAATCGAAAGACAAAGTGAGTTGAATTCGATAGCTGCTTTGTTATTGAATCGATTAGTTTTGTCGTTGTAGATCTTAAATTTCGAAATTTTAATGATTTTTAGGACCAATAAGCAACAATGCGGATTGCCGCCCAGTGGAAAATAGATTTAAATACGGTTATTAAATATTTTAAGAAAGAAAGTTATTGACATGATATTAAACTATATATTTGTGAGAAATAAATCGTTGAATTTTTCTAATTTATTGTTCGCGTAGTTTTAGAAAGTCGAAATTTATTGAGTGGAGGTCAGGAGTTCCTTGGATGTTTTTGTTATATTTATTTTTTAGACGATGTATAATTTTGTTCTGTTATAATTAAACCAGGGAAACCTCTTTGGTCTTGTTATTTCCGAAATGAGCACAAAAATAAAATCAGCTTTACATTTCAATTGATATTATCTTAATAGCATCACATACATTTCGTATTAGAAGACAGGTATCGAAAACAACGAATTCTCTCTAATTAAAAACATTAAAATAAGTATTTTAAGATAATCTTCTGTAACAAAGGATTGCTGATAAATGACACAAAAAGAGGTACCTTGGTCTAGAGTATTTATTTATTAATGCGATATTTGATTAATTCAATCCTTGAAGTGATATTTTTTTATAAATAGCAATATATCATATGTTTGCTCAATGATTTCTCGACACAAGTTATTTCGCACAATATCCTTTAATTTAAGTGATCAATGTACTTAATGTTTTTTTTTTTTTTAGTTTAATTCTCGTCACAGTTTCTAATACGCTGAACATATTACAAATCAAGTAGGATCTGCTATCTACCTAAAAGTATTCAACTTTTTCTTAAGATTTTTTTTTGAATTAATTATCCATTTTTAACAGTTTATACTATTATAATTTATCGATTCATTATAAGGAAATCTTATACCAATAATTCCTTCTTATTTATGAACTTCTGTTCTTTTTATAAGTGTATTACAAACTGCGACGAATCGTATTTAAACAATTAAAATTCGAGATGATTTTTTATGTACTTATATATTTAAATTTTTCTCGGATTCGCTAATATCGTACGTAGACAATCTATTTTCGTGTTTGTGCCGTTATCGACTTACATTTCCACAAAACAGAGTGTCCCATTACCACAATTGGGCCTTTTATAAAGTGGTAATTACGCTACTTTAGAACTATGACAATGGATTTTCTAAAGAATTAACAATATCAGACGGTATTAAAATCGGTGTTGTTGGGATGGAGAAACATACAGGTAACTAACGTAAAATCTACTGCCAAAAAAAAGTTAGAAATAAATTTCTTCGGGGCACTTGTTCGAATCAGAAGGGTTCACACGCGTACAGGATATCACGATTAATGAGGGGATGTAATTGTTTTGATTATTGATTTATTCAATCGGCGATGTCTGATAGCGATCGGTGATTTATAAATGGTTTGTTAATGTTCGGTAAATAATTTAAAATCACTAGCATGCTTATTAATACTACAATATTTTTCTAAAAGCTGCTACAAAGTGGTAGATTTAAACTGTATCAGACTGTACTTAACCGTTGATGTAAACTCTTTCTTCCGTAGCTGATTCGAATCTATGAAATTTTAATTGAGTACATCGCTTGTTTTAAAATGATCATTTAACCTGCGATACTTCGTATGAGGTAAAGTACGTAGTGTTGAGCACTTAGCAATTAAATGTAATAGATGTTTTTGATTATTGTTGCGTTCAAATTCGACTTTTTCCTCGGGACAATTTTGGAAAATCAGTGGAATTTGAATGCAAGTGTTACTGTATTCGATATCTCTGGTGTTTACCCAATTTCAACCCCTCCACGATAGATACCCGTTGTTTGCGATTTCGTTGACTTTATTAGAAATTTTACGAGAAACGTTAATTTGCAATTGCGATAACGTAAAGTTGATGTGATTCCCTGTAATTGTTTAAGGAGTTTTTGATAACAGTGTTGCGAATTTTTACATACCTACCATTGGAGGAGAAATTTTGATACTTTTTGAAAGGGGTTTTATTTAAACCGTATTGAAAATTCCATCCATCTAAATCTAACTGGATAAATCTTATCAATTAAAGTGTAAAAAATTGGAAATATCGTATTCATTCAACGCACACTTCAGGGTGATGTAATATCTATAAGAACAAATCTATAAATTATAATAATAATTTTTAATAAGACTCTAAAGATAAGAAGTCTAAAATATAAAATAAGAGGTTTTTCTTTATTTCCATTTTTTACAGCTTTGATTCAATTTTTATCTAGATTTTATTATAAAATGCAAATTTACATTTACCAAAATTGTAGATGTCAATTAAAGTTTATGTAGATACTTGCCATAAAGTTAATTTAAAAATTTGATAATTGTTTTATTATTTGATGAAATATTTAAAAACAATCTGTACTATCTACTTTAAAGTAGTTTTCTAATTGTACACACAACATTCTACTCCTGTCTGTGTTCAATGTACACTCGGCATTTTCTTATAATACGTAGTATTACCGTTATAGGCCACTTATGTTTGTTTTTATTTAAAAAGATTTTATATTGATTTATTTTTGTTCTGATGTGCCTCAGATTACGTGTAATATAAATTTATTTAATAAATGTATATTGTTTACTTCATTGATTTTGTATTTGCAGCACTCACAATTGCCGATTTAATTCTTTATCGATGAGATTTCCACTCCTTTACCATATATCCAACAGTTATAAAATATTTTATTTTCAGCTGATATTAGGTATTGGGGAAAATAAGATGGAAATGATATAAACAGCAACTTTATTGAACATAAAATTTTATCATAATTGAATTAATTCATTCGTCTTATGTAATGCATTTCGCCCTGGTAATCGGGTTTAATGTTTCATCGGTGAAGTTGTAGAGTTTGTAGGCGAATTTGAAAATCCAGTAGAAAGATTGAATGTTTTGGAATACAGCCGAAGATTATGCAGAAGTTGAATGTGCTGGATGTGTGGGATGGGTAGGATGTGAGGGATGTGAATGTGTAGATCCCGAAGTTGAAGGTTCTGTAGATGCTTCCGTGCGACCAGTTGAGGTTTCTGTAGAAGCTTCTGTGCGACCAGTTGAGGTTTCTGTAGAAGCTTCTGTGCGACCAGTTGAGGTTTCTGTAGAAGCTTCTGTGCGACCAGTTGAGGTTTCTGTAGAAGCTTCTGTGCGACCAGTTGAGGTTTCTGTAGAAGCTTCTGTGCGACCAGTTGAGGTTTCTGTAGAAGCTTCTGTGCGACCAGTTGAGGTTTCTGTAGAAGCTTCTGTGCGACCAGTTGAGGTTTCTGTAGAAGCTTCTGTGGGACCAGTTGAGGTTTCTGTAGTATCAGGTTCTGGTGCGGTTACAGTGGAGTCTGTTGAATGGGATGGGTGCGTTGGATGTGTGGGATGAGATGGGTGCGTAGAATGTGAAGATCCTACAGCACGAATTGAAGATGATGGGGGAGCTGACGTAGGTTCTGGTGCGGTTACAGTGGAGTATGTTGGATGGGATGGGTGCGTAGAATGTGAAGATCCTACAGCACGAATTGAAGATGATGGGGGAGCTGTCGGAGGTTCTGAAGAAGTTGAAGGGGGAGCTGTCGTAGGTTCTGAAGAAGTTGAAGGGGGAGCTGTCGTAGGTTCTGAAGAAGTTGAAGGGGATTTTGTCGAATGTGGTGGATGAGTTGGGTGTGGGTGATGTGTGGGATGTGTGGGATGTGGAGGACGCGTAGACAAAAGTCGATTGCCGCAATCTACGTCGTAATTGCAAATCCCTTGTTCTATGTTGTAGTAAGTTCCAGGAGCGCAGTCGAATTCAAAGGCAATTCCATCGGAGCATTCGTAGAATTTTCCACAGTACGTGTCGTCAGGAAGGTAAATAGGGCGTTTGGGATCTGTTGGTGGACATTTCACTGAAACAAAAAATTTATGTGTAAATTTTTGCTCTATAATATTCGAATTTGATGGATAATATTTAGGAATTTAATGAAGAAATAAATTCAAATTTACCTCGACAATGGGCGACCCCGATTACGAACGCTAGCAATATTATTTTAATCATTTTTGGTGATTGAAATAGATTTTTTTTTCGGTGGTACGAGTATTTATTTGAAAAAATAATCCTATAAGAGTATTGACTACTGACATTACATACTTTTGGATATATCAGATACGCATCTGAAGTACTGAGATATGCAGATTCGCATGAATAGTCATCGCTCACTCATTATGCACTACTCATGCAATCCAATTCTTATTTTAATTAGGTACTTGTCCGTGTTTTAGGATTTCTAAGAAAAAACGTGACATAAACAAAATCATGACGAAATCAGAAAGGCTTAAGAACCCATTTTTTCTTATCATCAATTTTTAAGTAATCTGGTATATTTAGATATACATTCAAATTTAAATAAAAAATTTTGCAAAAGATTGTATTTGCGATAACTTTATTTATTCGATGTTACGATATTCTTTGAATTGAATTGATTCGATAAACATCTAAAGGGTTATCTAATAAAATATTTTGAATGGGAGCTAATTCTAAAAATTTTGCAATCTACATTTGCTGATTTTATCTATTAATATCTTTAATAAAGGGGATTTTTGCACATACACCACCTGTGTTGGTGCCATTATTCCAAAAAGTATTTAAATACGAATATATGTATACCTACATACTTCTGTAGAAATGTATAAATATTGGTAAATAAAAAGTATTTAATTTCGAAATCAAATACTTTTGTAAAGTATTTAAATAGGTACTACTTAATAAATACAGGTATGGAAAAAACGTTTAAAATAAAAGGTACGTAACTTTGGTTCTTCCAATTTTACTGCTTGAGCCAGTTATATGCAAATGAATTTAATTTCGTATATTGTAAAATTCCCTTAATCATTCGTTGGGGGAGTGTACAGGCAACGAATCAAGTAAGGGTATGAGTATTACTTGGAAAATTCTCTTATTTATTATTAACTATAATATTTTTAACAATTAGCAATTTCCATATTTCCATGTTAATTTGGTTTGGTAGGTGCAACAGAAGATGTGGGAATCGGGGAGGTGGATAGACGTCGATTGCCGCAGTCCACATGAAAATCGCACTTTTGTTTTATTATGCTGTAGTAGGTTCCAGGGGCGCATTCCAATTCAATGGGTTTTCCATCTGAACATTCGTAGAATCTACCGCAGTAAGTTGCATCAGGAATGTAAACTGGGTCGTCCAAATCACCCGGGGGGCAGGTCGTAGCTGAAACGCAATTTATTTCAATAAGGTTCAGGCTCGTATTGTGCATTAAAAATCGAAAATAGGCTTGAAAATAAAAAGATTCAAAATATTTACCTTGAGAGTTCACACACGAAGCTACCAAAGCTACTAACAATACTATTTTCATCATTTTTTAAAAATTAAAGATTCCTTGTTGAAGTAAAACAGTTATCCAAAATTGTGGAATTAAAATATGAATCCGTTGCACTGGTATTTATTGGAAATTTTTATCTCTCCTAGGAATGTATTTTCCTATAGAAATATTTCTGTAAATTGTATGTCATATATCTCGAGGGCTTTGATAAAATTAATAAGAAACCTTGTCAAGTGTTCCTAAGCAAAATGGTGAGAATTTAATTAAAAAAAAAAACCTTACAGCCGATTGCATCGACTATTTTTTAATGTACCCTTAAGCTAATGGTGGTTTAATAGTGCATTAACATTCTTGGCTCGTTGCACCACCTTTTAATATACCTTTAAGCGTTTTTTTAAAGCGCCCTTTGTCAAATATATGTCAAAATATTTGTATTGAAACGTCTAATTTAACATATTTAAATATGCCATCCTACAGTTAAAGGATCCAATGTAGATAAAATTAGGTCATCAAGATCAATTTCAGCCTTTTTCTACCTCAACGCCTGTCTTCTATTTTCATAATATCTTTTTAAGTGTTCAGTTCTATTAAAATTTTGACTTGTATTAAATTATATTATTTTAAATTAATATATTAATTTAAATTATATTAAATTTTATTACTATGTACAATATTATTTTAATTATAGGCCTAATATTTTAATACAATTGAGAACAACATTCCATCTTAATTTGGTTTGGTAGGTGCAACAGAAGATGTGGGAATCGGGGAGGTGGATAGACGTCGATTGCCGCAGTCCACATTAAAATCGCACTTTTGTTTTGTTATGCTGTAGTAGGTTCCAGGGGCGCATTCCAATCCGATGGGGCTTCCATCTGAACATTCGTAGAATTTGCCGCAGTAAGTTGTATCAGGAATGTAGACTGGGTAGTCCAAATCTTCCGGGGGGCAGGTCGTAGCTGAAACACAATTTATTTCAATGAGGTTCAGACTCCTATTGTGCATTAAAAATCAGAAATAGGCTTGAAAATAAAAAAATTCAAAATATTTACCTTGAGAGTTCACACACGAAGCTACCAAAGCTACTAACAATACAAATTTAATCATTTTTTTAAAAATTAAAGTTTCCCTTTTGAAGTAACACAGTTATCAAAAATTGTGGAAGTAAACTAGTAATCCTTCGCACTGGTATTTATTAGAAATTTTTATCTCTCCTAAGAATTTTTTTCCTATAGAAATATTTCTGAAAATTTATGTAATATATCTCAAGTGCTTTGATAAAATTAATAAAAACCTTGTCAAGTGTTCCTAAAAAAAATGGCGAGAATTTCATTTGAAAAAAACTTTAGTATTTGATGTTGCCTATTACCCAAATCTGAATAATGAGAATACGAATAAAAATCTAGGTGAAGGATACTTATAAAAAAAGAAGAATAAATTTTAGGTTAATGTCACTTGTCATTCAAATATTTCTCTTCTAGATTTTAATAGTGTGAAAATATTTTTCACCAAAATAAAATCGACAAACATCGGCGTAAATCCGCCAGATTTTATCGGAATAAGTAGAAAGTCTAATTAATAATGCCGCCTAAATTCGATCCCACCGAAGTAAAGTACGGTATGTGTTCTCGATATTCCAAAATAACTAAAAATGTTGATATAACCTAAAATTTCCATTCATTAAAAATATGTTTTATTTTAGTTTACTTGAGATGTGTAGGAGGAGAAGTAGGAGCTACATCATCTTTGGCTCCGAAAATCGGTCCCCTTGGTCTGGTGAGTTTTTCGAGAAATACATTTTACTCATAACTCATCAATAACTTATGTTATTACAGTCTCCCAAAAAAGTTGGTGACGATATTGCCAAGGGTACTGCCGACTGGAAAGGTTTAAAAATTACGGTACAATTGAAAATTCAAAACCGTCAAGCCACCATCTCTGTCGTACCATCGGCTGCTTCCTTAATTATCAAGGCATTGAAAGAACCTCCTCGTGACAGAAAGAAGCAGAAAAACAGTAAGTATTCAAGCTTTATTTTCTTACAAAGCCTATTTTTTGCTGTATCAAAGTAATCGTTAATTTTCTTTTTAGTTAAACACAGTGGAAACATTACATTCGATGAAGTGCTTGCCATTGCGAAGCAAATGAGGCCTAGATCAATGGCCAAGAGCCTTTCTGGAACTGTTAAGGAAGTGCTAGGTACAGCTCAATCTGTAGGTTGTACAATTGACGGGAAAGCCCCTCACGACGTCATAGATGAAGTCAATGAGGGTACTGTAGAAGTTCCAGATGAGTAAACTAAATATATGTCTTTTTTCTAAGTTTATTTGGTTGTTTTATTTTCCTAATTTTGAATTAAATATTTTTATAAAAAGCGAGTTTTCGACTTGGGGCAGTAAAACTAATCTAAAAAAAAATATTCTTGAACTGGCTAATTGCCGTAGATAAACAGATCGAAAAAAAAAAGAAGAAATACTTTGACGTATTTGACACTATTGACAGATGTATATTTATGCTAGTTTTGATAAAACATGGTTCAAATTTGTCCTAATTTACATTAGTTTTTGTTCTGAAAGACTGTAATATTTAGAAATTAAACACTTGAGGTTTATTATATTTTGTATAAACAATGGATGATGAAGCAGAAACCTATAAACTTTGGAGAATTCGAAAAACCGTCATGCAGGTATGACATAACCTATCTTTTTCGTAAACATTTTTAATTTTGTGCTTGATTTTCTAGTTGTGCCACGACAGAGGGTATTTAGTAACGCAAGATGAATTGGATCAAACGTTAGAACAGTTTAAAGAACAATTTGGAGATAAACCAAGGTTTGTGTGACTAACATTTACGAACTATCGAAAACTCCTCATTTCATTATTAGATAACGAGAGATATTCTTTTCCAGTGAAAAGAGACCATCTAGAAGCGAGTTAATTCTATTAGTAGCCCATAATGACGATCCTACAGATCAACTATTCGTATTTTTTCCCGACGAACCAAAAATTGGAATAAAAACCATCAAAACATATTGTTCCCGTATGCAGGAAGAAAATATTCACAGAGCTATTATAGTCGTACAAGCAGGTATTGTATCATTAAAAAACGCATCTTAAATGTTGTCTCCATAATTTAATTTCAAAGGTATGACTCCATCAGCAAAACAATCGTTAGTAGACATGGCTCCGAAGTATATATTAGAACATTTTTTGGAATCTGAGTTATTGATTAACATTACTGAACATGAATTAGTTCCCGAACATGTTGTGATGACGCCAGAAGAAAAGCAGGAGCTGCTGGCTAGATAGTATCCTTTTAAAACTTACAAAGTACAATACAATACAAAATTTGTTAATATTAATATCCCTATTGAGCAAAAATATTGTCACTCTGATGCTACAATCTGTACAGTTTATTTTCCTTATTAGAAAAACAGCAAATTGAAAGAAAATATGTTGATGAGAATCCAAGCCGGTGATCCTGTAGCTAGATATTTTGGATTGAAAAGAGGACAAGTAAGTTTTAATTATTTTTTTTATGATTCGCTTTGTAAAAACTGTATACTAATAGGTACATTAATTACTTGTTTTTATAGGTGGTTAAAATCATTCGACCGTCAGAAACAGCTGGCCGATACATTTCCTATCGTTTAGTTTGCTAAGAATACATGTACATTGAAACGTTTTTAGATAGGAATAAAAAATTTTGTAAGCAGTAGAATTTGTATATTTTAACCTTAATGTTCTCCTATTAAGTATTTTGCCATATTGAGATGTAATGTTAGCAAGCATAACGATCACATTATTTTCCTGTTACATTCCTGAGAAGTTATATGCCTTCAAAAAGGAGTTATAAATTGAAACTACCTAATATCTCGGTAATACTCGAACTTAAAACAACTAAATTTTGTATACTTTCTGCGTGCCTAATAGCATTAATCGATAGAAGAGATCAATTGATGTAAATTAAAGGGTTCATTAATAGGGATGATGCTTCCTTAAAATGTTACAGAATTGTTTTACCTGATGGATGATTAAAAAAATATAACTTCATTTCATAGAATTTCATTTTGAAACTTTTTTATTCTTTGTCGTTTTGTTGAAAAATGCTAAAAATGAAGTCGTGTAAACTATCAAAATCGTCGATAATTCAAAAGTTGTCTGTATTAAGTTAAAGTTGGATTAAAAACATACTTTAGGCTCCCCTACAAGCCCCTGCTCTATATCGGTTCTTATGCGGGACCCCCTGTATTTATCCATATTGTTTAATTTCGAAATCATCTGAAACTTTGCCGCCAATTTCCCGGACTATGCGCCGTTCGATTCGTAATTGGAATATTATTTTGCGATGATTTTTCCTCCTCTGTCTTTTGTCGATAGTCGTGAATGCTAGAGGAGGGCCTTTGTGCGCGAGACAATCGCCATAAAAGATCCAGAACAATACCGATGGCGGTATAATACAAAAGAGCTCAGACTATAACACAATCCTGCGGAGTTACAACACCGCCGACGAATTCGTTACAGGATATTTAGCCCTTGTTCCTGGAAATAATTGGTTCATTTTTTTCGAACCAATTCGTGTGTACATTAGCATTTCAAAAATACGATGTGAAGAAGTAAATTATTTGTATTATATTTAGGTCGTTATGGCTTTTTTTCTGCTTTTGCATGATCACTCGAAGGTATTTTAAGTCCAAGGTTTTAGACTTTGGGTATATAAAATTGGTTTCTGAGGAAATTGCACGCTGATTTTGACACACTGTGTAAAAAAGATCAATAAAAAAATATTGTACGCGATATAATGGTAAAAACTAGCATTAATTTACATGGGTTTCTACTGGTCACAATATTTTTTCATACTATATCTCTAGAACATATTGTAGGATTTTGCAACATTGAACGTATACTGTGTTATCAAACGGTGCAATATATTGCAGTTAAAATACAAAGAGCGTTTTTACACGGTGCGATATATTGCAGCAATATATTGAAATTAAAATACAAAGTTAATTGTAGTTAAAATACGAGCACAAAGAGCGTTTTCACACGGTGCGATATAAATTATTATTAATATATTAAAACTAATTAATTTTTTGTAGATTTTTATTTTCGGGATATTCTTGTTTGAACAACTTTGTATTTTATAACATATACTATTAAAATTTCTACAAAAAATTTTTTATGCAATATCTGTCGAGTATACCTCTTAAAAGCTTATTAAATACAGTAGTTTTTACTAAAAAAAAACTTATGAAATTTATAAAATTGTTGGCTTTACGACCATTAAAAGATACATATAATTATGTTCATTTCATATTCATAACAATTAAATCTATTATAACACCCGGTATTGATTTTTTTTAAACTTTGATAAATACTTTTTTATAGCAAATTTAATGCACTTTTACGGTATATGATCAAAATTAATGTGACTATACCTATAAATGTGATATTTCGGTCTTTTTCGAAAATACCAAAAAAAAATTTAAAACAATGAACTGTTAAATAAAAGAGAAACTATCGACTTTTCGAAAAAGTGTTATAGGACATTTTTTGTTCAAAATTACTTGTATAATCACCTCCTGAAGTTTGGCGGTTTTTATACTAGACACCCTGTATAAGTGGAATATTTTATTCCAAGAGTGTTATTCCAGATTTTAATATTTTAATAAACTCTACCCACAGAAAATTTTGATTCAAAGTAGAATATTGTTTTTGCCGTAATCAATAATCAATTTTCCTACCATCAACGATCGGAAAAACCGCACGAAGAAAAATAGTTCATCGTCACCGCGCTATATGTTATCCTATTAAATCCGATATATTTAGAAGTATATGGAACGAAAACGATCGATAATCTGTGGCAAGATGATATCGCGGCCTCTTCGGCTCGATGTCCTGTCCCGTCCTCCGACTCCGCTATCGTTCCCTATCCATTCCCGATTCCGATTCCTGCCTTCTGTCCCGTCCCGTCACAAATTATGCAAGCCCTCTCTCTACTCTTCGCGTCTCTCTACTTAATAGTTAATCAATGAACAATGGCTGACGGCGGCCTATACAATGCGTTATTTCGCAAGTATTGATATTATTATCACGCTCTGCTATACCTATAGCACGTATTTCTTATGAAAGACGATGTTTGAGCTATAGGGAACATTTCCATTCGGTTTATTAAAGATTTATTAGAGTTTATTAAGTTTGCTAATAATTGTAATATGTGTAATAACCAGCGCTTTTTTGTATCTAATAGGTATACCTACAAGAGGCGAGGTGTGGAAATTATCGTTTAATTGAAACTGGTATACGAACGCTGACGGTGACGTAGAATAACTAGAGCAGTAAGTAAATTGATCTAACTGAACATTCGCCTTTTTTTAAAGGAAGCGGCGAGTAACGCCTAGATACCTGATAGGTGCGTTTTTTAAACGGGCATAAGTGGTTTTCGAAGTAGCCGGTCGGCCGAAGTACCACGAGGAGACACAGAACCCGTCTGCTTTCTTAATTGCTTCCTGGCTCTCATGTGGCCGTTGAATAACTGTTGCGTTAAAATTAATTTATATTTTGTTTTTTATTTGTATATAATTTAGACTTAAATACATCAGTTTGTGGAATTGCCATGAATATGTGCATTATATGGTTGAAAGGATTAGCAATCAATAGATCCATATTATCTAATCGAGCTATACACTTCATATGTCTTCATATAAAAAACCAGATCTAACGGGATGGCTCGTCTACTCTATCTTTTAGAAAATTAATACTATAAATGGGTACCCTTCGCTTGGTATAGGTACCAGGTGCAAGATTCTCCTATTGCCCTTTTTGTGCATAATACACCTGAACCATTCCGGTACACCTATTTGTGTCAGTATCCTGCCTTCGACCGTTCGGCACAATGCTCTTTACCTTCCACGTACCTACATTTCTACGCTCTTTTACTACCCGATTCGCCATAAAAAATACACAATGTGTAAATAAATAATTACAAATACGTCCTATCGATTTTACCGAAATAAAATTCCAATTGCTTTCGGTGCGAACCGACGAAATCCGACGTACGCGGGGATTTTGAGGAGATCCGGCAACGGCGCTCCGTGTACGACAGTGGTCCACACTCTCGCCTCCTTCCCTTTGGTGGCGCCCCCCTGCACCTTGCGCCATGTGGCCAACATAAACAAAGCACATTACGCACGCGGGGGTCGAATCAGCTGTGCAGTCTGCTGAGGTAAGACGGCGCACGCGCACTCCGCGTCGTCTCGCCGTGAGAGTTTCAGGTTGCCACAGTTCCTGAATTTCGGGGATTACCGGATGTTTGGTTCGCAAAGTTTTTTTGGTAAAAATGCATTAATATGGAGCATTTAACGCAGATTTTCTATAAAAGTTATCCTGATTGGTGCTAATTTGGGATATCATATGCAATCCTTATAGAGAAAGAGATGTATTTTTTTTAATATTAATGAATTTGATATATTTTTAATTACTATTATCAGTTCCAATGAAAAGCAAATAATGCAATTAAAGTAGGTATTTAGTATCTAAGCACGATTTTGTATGTGTGTGATAAAATCATATACTTTTATTCCGTAATTTTTAATTTTAGATTTATGTGGTAAATTTAATATGATTCAGAATAGCCTAAATTGAATTCGACTCTAAGAAACGGTGACAAATATTTTTATTTGGTATGTATACTGCTTAATGTTACAATATTTGAAAATGATCCAAAATTACAAATTACTACATACACTGTGCTTCATTCCAGATAGCAACATAGGTTATATAGGCTATAGGTGCAATAGAGACAATTTCCATTAGACATAACGGAAAAAGAAAGGGTGACTTTTGTGTCATTGCAACTTTTCTCTCTGACAACTGTTATTTTATCAATATTTCTTGTAGATTTCTTATAGATTCTATCTGTATATATTTCATTAACACATCTGTTCGCGAGCAAGAGCTATCTTTTTAGAATGGTTTTAGCTTTTCACCTTTCCCAATCTTGTTATTGACAATTGACATATTGCAACTTTTCACTCTGACAACTGTATATGAGTTGATAAAGAAAGAATATAAAAATAACAGATGTTAGAGTGAGAAAGTTGCATATCTACAATATCACTCTTTCTTTTTCCCATATACCAAACCGTGCCCATATACCATATTGGTACAAATTTGCACTTACATATGTGTATGTCACAATTGATAAAAAATATATTCTTATTTAAAAAAATGATTATTTGGGGAAAATGTTTCAAAAGTTTTTATTTAAAATCTCATTAAAATCTTGAAAATCCGATAGTTACTCAACAAAAAAAAATCTTTTATGTCAAAAACGTCAAAATTGTCAACGTCATTTATGACAGATAAAAAGTTTAAATGTTCGTAAGTATGTCATATTAAAAAATGAACTCCCTGCTAAATAGTTACTAGTATTTATTGTAATAATACGTAGAAATTCACAGCAACAAAGAAAGTAAGAGTGATCATATTGTTAATTGAAATTCAAGGAACCAGCTCGAGAAGACATTTCGTTTAGACTATATGACAACGCCGCATCAGTTGCGCCCTAGGACTTGGGCACGATCCTCTCCGGCTTCGTTCGTCAGAACTGAGAATCGTCAGTGAGTGAGAGGCAAGTGCGACGAGCGGATCGCGTAGCGTTGTGTCTTATGGCGGTGACAGCACAAGCCACCAGTAGGCGCCTGTGTTGCTCGCGGG